TCTCCTCTGGGGACCATGACTTTAATGAGCAAGCTTCAGTTGTGACTCTTAATATCCATTAGCTGCCATCAAGCCTGCTAATCTTACTTTGATCTCTGGGATACTTGGGAAAGACCCAACTCCAGAAAGCTGACCTCTGACCTCTGACCTCTACACAGAATAAATAGAAAATTTTGAAGGACCCAGGCTGGGCCAGCAGTTGTAGCACTCATCTTCAATCCTGGTGCACAGGAGGCAGAAACAAGTAGATCCTTGAGCTCCGGCCAGCCAGGGCTACATAGTGACAACTTTGTTTTGTTTACATTTGTACACGTGTCCCCAAGGCTGGGATTAAAGACCTGAACCACCACCGCTGCCCAGCAAGATCCCCGCCTTAAAAAGTTCAGGGTCATCCTCAGCTTCCAGGTAAGCTTGAGGGTAGCCAGGGCTTCATAAGCCTCTGTCTTGAAAAGTTAAAATGGTGCAGGCCTTTAATCCCAGCACTTGGGAAACTGGGCGGGTCAAGGGTCCCGAGACCAACTGGACAGCATAGTGAGACTCGTGCAGGGCCGCGATGGTGGGGACGAGCGGGTGGGAGTGTTAAGGGCTTTGGTGTCCCCTGCATTCTTGATTCAGATGACTTGTGTGTCCTGCTGCAGGGACCCTGCAGCCGCTGTCCTTGTGACCTCAGGCATGCAGCCTAACAGCCTCCAGACTGTTTTCAAAAGGCAGATGTTTGCTGATTCAGAAAATAAGAACGTGTTAGTGGGTCGTGTCCGCCAGCTCCCAGGCGGGTCTCCTAGAGGAGTGCTTGCTGGGTTGCTTAGTGCCACCAATGTAGCGACAATCCAAGTTTCCACCTACATTGTCTTTATAGAATTACTCTCAATGTGCAAAGCTCAGCTGGAAACCACATCAGTCTGTTCCTGTGACTTCAAGCTCTCTGGGGAGCCCTGCCTGGGGTTGGTGGGACAGCTGTGTGTGCAGCTCTGAAGTGTCCCATTCCACAGTGACAGGGACACAAACCTCAGCCGTTGCCATTGTCAACACATGGCAGGAGGGGCCAACGTGGAGAGGCCAGGAGGATGTGGCCAGTGACTGAACACCCTTGGGATTCCTACACACGGGACAGCAGGAAGTTCTGAGGACACTTGTGCGGGGCTAGTAAGCCTGCTTGTTGGGTCAAGCTCATCGCCATACCTGACACCCGAGAGTTTCATCCCTGGGACCACAGGCACATGGTGGAAGCAGAGAACTAACTCCTGCAAGTTGTCCTTGTCCTCACACGCTCTCCCTCCCTCCCCCACTCCACACACTGAATAAACAAATGCATAACGTAAAAGGCGGAATGGGGGTGTGGCTCAGGTAGAGGCTGTGATTAGAACCCCCAGTGAGGGGCTGGGGTATAGCTCAGGTAGAGGCTGTGATTAGAACCCCCAGTGAGGGGCTGGGGTATAGCTCAGGTAGAGGCTGTGATTAGAACCCCCAGTGAGGGGCTGGGGTATAGCTCCGGAGTAAGGAGGCTTGCCTAGTCAGTGCACAGTTGATCACGCTGTTCCCACAGGGGAGGTTGCTCCCCGCTAGGCCTGGCCTCTCCAGGACTAGCTCAGAGAACAGTAACTGGCTTATACCACACAGCCACTGCACAGAGTGGGGCCTGATGGGCCGTCTCAGAGTGCAGCTGTTGGCATCCAGACCCAGACTGTGGGTCAGTTGCTTGACCTGGCTAGATGTGGTGTGCGTCCTTGCAAATCTTGAAGGCTGGGGCTGGAGGACATTCAAGTCCATCCTGGGCTACAAAATTAAAAAAAAAAAAGGCTGGAGGGGACTGGAGAGATGGCTCAGTGGTTAAGAGTGCTGACTGCTCTTCCAAAGGATCTGGGTTCAATTCCCAGCACCTATATGGCAGCTTACACTGCCTATAACTCCACGATCTAACACCTTTACACAAGCATGCATGCAGGCAACACCAATGCACATAACAATAAATGCATTTTTTTAAAAGGCTAGAGAAATGGCTCCTTGGTTAAGAGGGCTTGCTGCTCTAGCAGAGGGCTGGACTGATTCAGCTCCCAGCACCCATATCAAATGGCAAAACCACCACCTGCTTCCAAGTTTCGCCTGACTTCCCCTGATGATGGGCTGGGACCCAAATAAATCCGTTCCTCCTTAGGTTGCTTTTGGTCATTGTGCTTATCACAGCAACAGTAACTAGATTGGGACTGTCCCCCATGAGGACCAACGCCCAGCTGTCATGACCCAACACCTGGGCAGATCAGAAGTACAAGGTGGCCCTAAAGGTATGCACCAGGTAGGACCCTCTGACCTCCCGCAAGGACTCTGGAATTCCAGCTGGTGCCAACAGGCTGGGAGCTTCTGGTGTGAGTGAAAAGTGTTTCTCACTAAATGCAACACCAGTGTGTGTCCATGCCTCACTAAATGCAACAGACACCAGTGTGTGTCCATGCCTCACTAAATGCAACAGACACCAGTGTGTGTCCATGCCTCACTAAATGCAGCAGACACCAGTGTGTGTCCATGCAGCACTAAATGCAGCAGACACCAGTGTGTGTCCATGCAGCACTAAATGCAGCAGACACCAGTGTGTGTCCATGCCTCACTAAATGCAACAGACACCAGTGTGTGTCCATGCAGCACTAAATGCAGCAGACACCAGTGTGTGTCCATGCAGCAGTCTGTTCTGGACTCCCTACTTCAGGGTCTCTACCTGGCTCCTCACACCCAGCCGTGTCAGTTGTCACTGTTAGTCCCGTGTGGCCGGCCCTGTATCTTAAGTGCAGCCCTTTCGCCCTGGCGTGTGCTCAGGGTCCATGTCAGATAGGTGCACATGGTCCTGACAGTTTGTAGAACCCATTGTTGCTGCCCAATCTTCCTGACTCCAGAAAAGGTTTGCTCTTGGGATCAAAGACCACAAGGAACAGCCAAGGTCCCGAAGACAGCAGTCAGGGAAAGGCAGGGAGGGTCAGGGTGGAAGGGGCTTTGGAAAGGGCAGGTGGGGTTGGGCCTGAGTGGGCGTGGGCAGTTCAGGCTGGGCTTGCTGGTGTCGGGGTGCTGCCCAGTTTGGGGGCAGTTTTGTGTCAGTCTCCTTCCAAGTTTCATCTGTGGTGGGGATCCCACGGGCCCAAGAGTTCTTTCAGGGACATATTCAAAACTTCCAAATGTATGAGCTTATTCTGACTAAAGTTCAGGGCGCACTTAACCTAAAGGGTTGAAAGTTGCCATGTCCATTTAGCTGTCCTCCCCAGCAACTGTCCCTCTTCTGTCCCCTGCCTTTTCGAAATGGGCCACCAGCTTCCACCTCCAACACCTGCAGAGATGTCCTTGAGTGAGACGCCCACACTTTCTGTGCTGGTCAGCAGAACCTGCTCAGTACACCCCAACTTAATGCCATGGGCTGGGCCACGTGCAGACTCCCAGAGACCCCACACACTTGAAAGGCCAAGACTCCTGCAGCCTGGGGAGTCTGTGTGATCCACACAGGAGGGGCCGACCTGCCAGCCAGGTGGAAGTCCTGTGTCTACTGCCTTAGAGGCCACCGGTAAGTGCAAACTGACCCCCAAAGTCGCACGTGACCTTCAGCTCTCAGAAAACAACAGAGTGTAGAGCTAGTCCCAAGAGCGCAAGCCTGTTTGCACACAGGACCTGGCTACGGGTGGCTGGGCCCCTGAAACACCATTGCTCTACCTGCAGCTGACCCCTTGGGTTGCGGGAGGAAAGGACACTAACCTTAGACTCAAAGGACTGTCACGCCTGTGCATGCCACAGCACATGTGCAGGTCAGAAGACAAGTTGGGAATTGGTTCTCTCCTACCATGTGTGTCCAGGGAACCAAACTCAGGTTCTCAGGCTTGGCAAGTGTCTTTGCTCGCTGAGCCATCTTGCCTGTCTGTAAGAAACATTGTTAAGTGCAGGGACAGCAAGAGCAGGGTCCAAGAATCTTCAGTCACACCTCGCAAGATCTCAGGACAAACATGGCAGAGCACCATGAAGGACCCAGTGCTCTAGAAGAGTAAGCGCAGAGAGCAAGCAGGATGGCTCAGTGGGTAGGACTTGCTGCACATGCTTGAGGACCTGAGCCTGGACCAGGAGCTGTGTGAAAGCCAGGAGTGCTGCCGAGACTGGCAATGAGTGTTGGATCCACCAAGACACCCATCTCCGGAATGTAGGCAGAGGCTGTCGCGATGGCACCTGCGGCTCTTGTCGAGGGGCAAGATTCCCTCCCCAGCATCCCACGACGCCTCACAGCCCTTTGTGACTCCAGTTCCAGGGCAGTGACACCCTCTTAGGACCTTTTTGGGCATCAGGCACACGTGTAGTGAACTGACACACATGCAGGCAGAACACCCCATACACACAGCGCACACACACACACACAGAATACCCCATACGCACACACGTGCACACACACACACAGAACACCCCATACGCACACACACACACACAGAACACCCCATACACACACGCACACACGCACCTGCACACATGCACACACACAGAACACCCCATACACACACATACACACAGACGCATGCACACACACAAATACCCCATATACACACACATGCGCACATAGGCACACACACAGAACACCCCATACACACAGTGCACACACGCACACACAGAACAGCCCATACACACACACACACATACACACACATGCAGGCAGAACACCACACACACACACACACACACACACACACGTGCACACATGCGCGCACATACAAGTTTTTTGTTTTTAGAGACAGGTTTTCTCCGTATAGCCCTGGCTGTCCTGGAACTCACCACGTAGACCAGTGTAACTTTGAACTCCAAGATCTGCCTGCCACTGCCTCCCAAGTGCTGGGTTGGATTAGTGTGTGCCACCAACTATCACCCCACCATAAAACAAGTTTTAAAATACGTTAAACATGGAGAAGGAATGGAGAAGGCACCTGCCCTCCCATGGCCTGGTGTCCTCACAGGCTCACACGCCCACACCATGCAGAAACCCACACACAAAGCACAAGGGTTGAGGTTTATTGTCGCAATTCTGAAAGGCTCCGTGACAAGATCAGGGTGTCCAGGGTTGGCTCCCAGTCTTTGAGGGAGAGACTGTCACACTTCTGGTTTCTCTGACCCCAGCCACCCTCAGTGTCCCTTGGCCTGTGGCCTTATCACTCTTTGCTGCCTCCATAGTCACACACACCCCACCTCTTTGTTTTCTGAGACAGGGTTTCCCTGTGCAGCCCTGGCTGTCCTGGAACTCACTCTGTAGACCAGGCTGGTCTCAAACTCACAGAGATCCGCCTGCCTCTGCCTCCCCAGTGCTGGGATTAAAGGCGTGCGCCACCAACGCCCGGCTTCACACATTCTTGTACTCTGTTACTGCATTTTCTTTTTAAGGACAGGGTTTCACACAGCCCAGGCTAGCTCAGCATTCATTATGTAGTCAAAGATAACCCTAAGCTCCTGATGGTCTTCCCCCCACTCAGTGCTGGGGTGACAGGTGTGCAGCCCTGAGGACTTGGCCACCGCCCTTCTGCAGACCTCGGCTCCACTAGTGACCGTCACAACTGCACTTCCAAATAAGGTCGTGCCCTGAGGATCCAGGAAGGGTGTAGTTTAAGGGAAGACCCAGTCTACCCTGAATGCCCCCTTTCCACCCCAGCCACCTGTCACAGAAGTGCAGAGGAGCAAATGGCAGTCCCTCGACTTGCCACCTCCCTGGACGCCTGAGAAGAGCTGCTGGTGTCTGGCCGGCGACACAGTATGGCCCGCACCTTGTCCCTGAACTCGTGGGATACGTAGAAGTAAATGAAAGGGTCCACGCAGCTGTTGAGGGTGCTGAGCGCCAGGCTGGGCACATAGGCTCCGTAGAGATCGCCCCAGGCCTCGGGGCTCGGGTTCGAATAGTGCAGGACCAGCAACACATTGCTGGGAGTGAATGAGGCCACGGCTGAGGCCAGGACCAAGGCTGTCAGTCTGAGCGCATGGCTGTAGCGCTGGCCACTGGCCGCCAGTGCACGCAGGGTGGCCCCATAGCACAGTCCCATGGCCAGCAGTGGCAAGAAGCAGCCCAAGACAGCCAGGCAGGTGAAGGCCGGTCGCCAGTGGGAAGTCTGCTCAGCCAGAGGCAATGCATCATGACACAGCGTTAGGTCGGAGCCAGCCAGTCGGAAGGTCTGCCGCTGCAAAGTGAGAGGCAGGGCCAGGGTGGCCGCGGAGAGCCAGGCCACCAAGCAGAGCCCAGTGGTCAGGCGCCAACCACGCAGTGCACGAGCTCGCAGAGGATGCACCAGGGCCAGGTACCGGTCCAGGCTGACTGCAGCCAGCAGCAACACTGAGCCATACATGTGGCCGAAGAGGGCGGCTGTGGCCATCCGGCACGCGGCCTCCCCAAAGGGCCAGTGCTGGCCACGCAGGTGGTAGGCCAGGCGTGGTGGCAGCACCAGGGCCAGGAGTAGGTCCGCGACTGCGAGGTTCATGAGCAGGACGGTGGAGGGCAGGCGGGGCACCCGTGTGGCCAGCACCCATAGCGCCAGCCCGTTGGCCGGCAATCCCACGGTCACCACCAGCCCATAGAGAGCAGGCACCAACCTCGTGGGGACCCACCCCAGCAGCAGTGCTCGGGAGCTGGCGGGGAGCTCCAGCGTGTCACTGTCGTTGGCACAGAACTTGCCCGGGAAGCCTCGTGGGTGAAGCTGGACTGGGGACTTGGACTCCTTGAATCCAGCCGTGGGACCCACAGTGCCTTCTGTGGGAGAGAGGGGATGCCAGTCAACCCAAGGACTGCCCGGGGACCCAAGATGCAGGGAGGGTGACCTTGCAAGTCTCAGGCACTGTGAGTACCTCAGTGTCCCCACCCAAGCCCCCAGGAACCCTGGGCTGGTGAATGGAAGGACCCCAGCTCCAAAGGCTCAGGGCTCATGCACCTAAGGCTGTAAGCCTGCCCAGCTGAAGCCCCATTTCTGATCCGCCCCCTCAAGGAACAGAGTCACTCACCGTGGCCTCCCCCGGTGCTCTCTCCATCATCATACATGCTGGGGGTCTGGGTGCCCTCTGCCAGGCTTAGCCCCAGCACCAGAGGACACAGCAGCAGCCAGGACATGCTGTCAGGGTTGGACTCCACTTCTGGGCTGTAGCCCAGGACTCTCTGCCTTGTCAATCCCACCCCCGGCTTCCGGAGCCCCAGCAGAGAGCACACTCTACCTTGGGAAGATAACCCTAAGCAGAGCTCCCACCCCCGCAGGCCTGATTGCTCACCCCGGAGCCTGTGAGGGGCCCTTCTGTATACTTAGGAGGCATCCTGACCAGGTCTGTCTGTGTCTCCAAGATGCCTCACGAGGAACAGGGCCAAGGACACAGACAAGGACCCTGGACTTCAGCCCCCACCCCATTCCCACAAACTCTTCATCCTACCCGGCCCAGGAAACATCTGTGAGCCAAGTGGCCACTTCCTGCGAGCTAGTCACACAAGTTCTGTTTGGATGACAGTCCAGCCCTCCTCCAAGACTCCACCATATGGGGCTCTTAGCCCTTCCTGAAGCCACCCCCTACTTCCTATCTGTGGCTGGCAGGACAATGGGCTCATCCAGGGAGTCCTGCCTCCGTCAGAGCAGGCCAACAAGGCCAGCAAGATGACAGTGCGGATGGAGGTGTGGGCTATCACGCCTGAGGGCCTGAGTTCAATCTGCAGGACCCACACGGTAGGAGAGGATGAACTCTCACAGGCTGTGCTTTGGCATGTGTGCATGTGCCTACGCACACACACACACACACACTACATGCACACACATACATATACATACACACACATGCACACACATACATACACATATACACACATACATACACATATACACACACATACATGCACACACATACATATACATACACATACATGCACACACATACATACACATATACACACACACATATACATACATACACACACATACATACACATATACATACACACACACATGCAGGCACGCACGCACACACACGCATGTGCTATAAATGGTCATGCAAACCTTTAATCCCAGCACTCCAGGAAGCAGAAGCAGATGGATCTCTGTGAGTTCAAGCATAGCCTGGTCTATGTAACGAGTTCCAGGACAGCCAGGGCTGCATAGTGAGGCCCTGTCTCAAAGTAAATAAATACATAAATAGTGATTTATACATGTAACTAAAAACTGAAGGCCACATCAGCAATTGTTGCTTCCCAGAGTACCCCAAGTCCTCTTGGGGGGCACCTGCCATATGGATACTTCCCTTATCCCTGGCCTGGAGTAAAGTGAGGTACAGAATTAAAGCCTCCATGTGATTCTGGGGTCATGTGGAGATAGCTGAGGGTGTCTGTCCCCTTCTATAGACATGACACTGAATGCCAGCTGTAAGGCAGGGTCTGGGGACCCTTAGAGGAACTGGTCACTGGGTCTCATAGTTCCAGGTGTGACTTGAAAGGGAGGTGGCCAGTCCTCTGCAGAGGGCCCCTGAGCTGTCTTGGTGTCCTAGACATTCTGGGGAGTTGTCACAGGAAATGATCAATGGGAACCCATTGTTCAGATGGGCAAGTGGTGGGCATGCCTGGCCAGCACTGGGAGGCTCAGGCAGGAGGACTGCAATTTCTAGTGAAGCCTGAGTTATGTGATGAGAATAGTACACAAAAAAATGATGGGGAGAACATTGCTATGAAGATGCTACTGTGCAAGCATAAGGACCTGAGTTCAAATCCCCAGCACCCATGTAAAAGCGGAGCATGGTGAGCACACCTGTAAACCCCAGCTGGCAGGTGGGGACAGGAGGGCCCTGGTGATCACTGGTCAGTGTGCGTGGTCCATCAGTGAGCTGCGGGTTCAGAGAGGAATCCTGTCCCAAAAGTAAGGTGGAGAGTGCTAGTGGAAGCCACGACATAGACCCTACTCCACATGCCCGTGCGTGCAAAGCTGTCTGAAAAGGAACGGGTGTGGAGAAGAGGAAGAGAAGGAAGAAACTGAGGTTCAGAGAGGCAGGAACACACAGGTCTGAGGAACACAGGGCCACATCACGTGCTACGCAAACATCCTGCTCAGCAATGTAAAAAGAAAGTCTGCCTCCACCATCCTGTCCTGTGGCAGGACTAGCCTCAGAAGGTGTGCTGCATTCTGGGAACAGCAGAACCCACCCAGGTCAAAGCCTGGGAACGAGAAATCAGCTGGAGGGGAAGAGGTCAACATGGTCATTTCCTGCCTCACCAGTCCTAATCCAGCAGGATGTGAGTAAACAGTCCCTCAGGGTTAGTCCCTGCACTGGGAGGGGAAACTGAGGCCTGGAATGCCCAGCCAGAGGTGTTCGAGGGCCCCAGGCTTCTCAGGGATAACCACGGCAAGGAGGATTAGTAATTCTGTGCTGAACTTGTGACCCATCTGCACTCAAGGCTTCCGTGTTTGGACAAGGATGCTTTCACCTGTAAGGATGGGGGAGATGTGTTGGGTCCCATTCACTAGGTCATTGTGACAGGCGAGGGAAGGGGCGGAGCTGCCTGTGAGGACACCACGCCAGGTCAGGTGTAAGATGGTCCCGGGTCCCAGCCCTAAATAAGGACATTGAGGCACATCAACTACATAGATGAGCACCGATGCCTTCCTGTTGTATGAGCTAAGCAGAGTATGTGAGACACTAGAGTCACCATGGTCATTAATGACGACAGCAGGCGAGACAGTGGACAGCATGGGGAGTCTGTCTACAAGTCGGAGAATTGTGAAGATACATGACCGCGATGGCTGGACATATATTTCCTTTCACAGCTTAGACTGGACTACTTCTCAGTATGTAGTCCAGGATAACCTGGTTGGTTTTCTTTTGTTTTTTGAGACAGGGTCTCATCCACAGAGATCTGCCTGCATCTGCCTAGAGGGCTGGGATTAAAAAGGTGTGTATGATCCACCGTGTCCTGCTAACCAGCACAAATTTTTAAAAGAAATTTGTTACAATGTAAAGTAGTTTTGTGCATGTGACTTCCTTGTCTCCTTCATTATGGTGAGGATGACTCTTATTTATTATTCCTAAAGCCTCAAGGAAAGGGGGTGATTGAGGCCTCTAAGTCTTCAGGAAGTGGCAGGTCTAATGTTAAGACCTCAACAGGCAGATTCAGTCAGGATGAGCCATTGTCACAGAGCCTCCCAGGCATTTCACAGCCACTATCCTACAAGAATAAGGATGAACTCCTACAGCCTAAGTCATACTATATAGCCCTTGGAATGACTATACCAGCTGTTGGGCCAACAGTACCAAGATTTCTCAGGATCGTAGCACCAGCAGCACCACATCTGCATCCACAGATGAGACAGTCATAAAGGACATCCCAGTTGGTTATTCTTACTACACAGTGACCTCTGAAGACATGATCAGTCGTATGCAGGGAACAGATGATGAGGGGTACTGGAATCCCCGCATTGCTTTATCCTCCAGAGGTGTACAGGCACAGGCAAAGAACACATATCAAGAGGATGAGCTGCCATATATCCATAGAGAATGTACATCTGATTTCCTACCAAGGGGCCACTTGCATCCAAGCCAAATGCAAGGATTCATCGATACTCATTGTCACTTGGACATGCTGTTTTCCAAGTTGTCCTTCCAAGGAAGCTTTGCTGAGTTCAGGAAAATTTACGGCTACACTTTTTCTAAGGAATTTCATGGCTGCATCTCTGATTTCTGTGATCCTCGTACCCTAAGAGATGGCCTATGGAAAGAGCTATTAAGTGAAGATCTGGTTTGGGGGGCCTTTGGATGTCACCCACATTTTGCACGCTATTATAATGAGTATCAAGAAAGAAATATCTTGTATGCCTTACGCCACCCCAAGGCTGTGGCATTTGGAGAAATGGGCTTGGATTACTCCTACAAGTGTACCACACCTGTCCAAGAGCTGTTGAGCGACAGTTACGGTTAGCTGTATCTCTGAAGAAGCCCTTGGTGATTCACTGCCGAGATGCTGATGAAGATCTAATGGACATCAGGAAAAAATGTGTAGCCCAGGCTGGCCTCGAACTCGTGATCCTCCTGCCTCTGCCTCCTTCAGCAAATCCTACCGGCGTGCGCCACCACAAGTGGGGCCTGGGGATCAAACTCAGGTTGTCAGTGACTCTGGTCACTGTGTGTGCCCAAAGTGGTTCCTACAGGCACAGCCCAGGTGTGGGAAGGAGACCCTCCATTGCATGTGAAAAGATAACCGGGGAAGAACATTCTAGAAAGCCGCCCCAGGTCAGGGTAGCTGCTGTCACTTTGGGCACTTTCTGCTCCTGCTCCTCTGGGTAAGGACTCTGGAGTGGGCAGCTGTCACCACTTGAGACTCAGCCACGGCAAGACCTGGCCAGCACTCTCGTAGGAAATGACGGCCAGACCCTGAAGTTTGGCGTCAATATTTAACTTTAATGTGCAAATAAATAGAAAAAGAAAACTACATTCAAAACAGCTGCGAAGGGAGGTCAAGGCTGGAACAGAAATCCCTCAAAAACATTAAGGAGCGGCTCCCCAGAAGCATGCGAAGGGGCCCCACTTCCTTACTGGGGAATGGAGGCCCAGAGAGTCCTGGGAGGCTCAGGGTCCCCACGAGCAACATCCTTCCCAGGAAACTAGGATGGTGTGCTCAAGGTGCCATGATCTCCGGTGAGGCACGCAGTCGGGCCTGGGTAGGCACACCTGCTCCCCAGTGCCCAGGCCCGGGTCGAAACAAAGGCTCAGGAAACCTGGAGAGCAAGTGCTCTCTGGAACCTTGGGTTTGGCACAGCGACACGTGGGCCTGCGGGGGACAGCTGCGGGACAGCGGGTGGTTCGCGGGGCCACAGGGAGGTCTCACCCGTGGAAGCCGGGGAGCTGCTGCTGCGGAAGTCACAACCACTAGGAGCGCAGGAAGGGGTAAATACTGGCACACGCATCTAGAACTTTGCGGGAGGGGGCTGCCCTCGTGGGGACGGCCCCTGCCGTTGCCCCGGGTCTGGCCTGCACTGCAAGAGCTACGGCCCTTGCTAAAGTGGCAAAGGTCCTGTTGGGGCATGACACGTGGGGTGGGGCGGGGTTCCCGAGCTGGGGCCTCGTCCGGACGCTCAGGGCGAGGCAGGGCGGCGGCTGTACTGCACGCGGTAGCGCGTTACCGGCAGCCCGTGCACGTGTGCAGTCTCGCAGAGCGTCTTGCAGGGCACCATGTCCTCCTCCTCCTCCCCCATCAGCCAGTCCTGCACCAGCCCCGCGGCGGCCACAGTCACGTTGTCCTCCAGCCAGCGGCTGTGCCACTCCTCGAAGTGACGGTGGTGTCGCAACAGCACCAGGGGCTGCAACTGAGGGAAGGAGCATGCTTGTGAACTCCGGGGGCCGGGGGCCGGGGGCCGAGGGCAGGGCTTCCGGGCCGGGTACGGGGCTTAGGGGCTCGGATGGCTGGGTGTGGACGCAGCACCTGCTTGGCACGGCACAGCGTCCCACGGCGGTACATGTAGTCCTCGGAGTTGACAATGAACACCATCTTGTGTGTGCCCAGGCGGAAGCGGCAGTCCACATCGCAAGCGCTCTCCACGCCCATGAGCCGCTTCCACGAGCTCTTGGCCTCACCCCGCAGGGCACGCACCTGCTCGCACTGCCAGCGCCGGAATTTCTTCAGGTTCCTGCAGGGACAGGGCCTCGGGGAGGGGACTTGCAGGCTCCGGAGGTCCAGGCCATAGTGACCACCCAGCATGCATGATACCTCATTCCCTACTGTCCATCTCCATAAGCTTCTCCCAGCAGGCTTGACGGTTGCTCCTTCTGCTCTCTGGGATGGGGTGGCCTCCTGTTGGCCCAAGACCACCCCACACCTCCCGCACCTCCTCCTCATGCCGAATCGCACTGCATGCACACCAGGCACTGGCAGCTGGCGCGTGTGGTCCTGTACTCACCTCTGCAGGAACACAGGCTTCAGCAGGAAGCCCTCGGTAGGCGAGCTGGACGCACCCTCAGTGCCCACGTACTGTTCCACATAGCGAGCCAGGTGCTGGGCATGGGACAGACAGACCCTATGACCCCCGAGGATAAGTGGCCCACCTCTTACTCTGGATCCCATGTCAGAAGCTCGTGTGAGTTTGTACCCCAACCCCAAACATCAGGAGACCAGCCATGGCTGAGGGGCTGACGTCAGGACTCACAAATCGGACTGACCCTCCAGCAAGGACATTACAGCCTCATGATACTGGTCTAGGACCAGCATGGCATGCCTCCATGGGTAAGCCTAGGCAGTCACATGGTGTCCTCACCTTAATACAGGGTTTCAGCCAAGAAGGAGGGCAGTGCAGATATACAGGGCATCAGATATACAGGATATAAAAAGGTTGGGTGTGTGGTTCGGGGGTAGAGCCCCTGCCTAGAATCCCCCAGTGAGGGGCTGGGGACATAGATCAGAGGTGGAGTTCCTTGCCTAGAGACTCCAAGGCAGAGGATCCCTCAGCTGAAGAACTGCCTCCATCAGATTAACGTGTGGGCATGTCTGAGGGAGCACTCCAGCCCCCGACTGGTATAGGACCCAGCCCATTGTGGGCAGAGCTGCCGCCCCACAGGTGCACCTAAGCTGCAAGCCAGTAAGCTCCTGCCTGCTGGCCTACATGGACTCACTGAGGTGCTATTCCCTCTTCCCAAGATGCTTTTGGGCATGGTGTTTATCATAGCAACAGAAGGCAAACCAGGACAGTCTCCAAACAAACTCCATAAAATATGTTCTCCCGACTTGGGAAAGGAAAACTGCTTCAGAGTGTTGCCTACATTGGGAGCCCATGTACACACGGTATCCGTGCGTGCGTGCGTGTGTACTGGGTGGGAGCTGCGGGGAGGGAGGCTGTTGACTGTATCAGGCAGCAAGGGTATCCTGGTCTTCAAGGATGTGCGAGCACGTGCCTTCTGATCTAGCCTGTGCTTCCTCACTCCTACCTCCCTGTATTTAACCAGTTCAAAGATAAGGAAGGTGTGGCCACCAGGGCCCTTGAATTTCCTGTACCTCTCGTCTACAGACTGTCTGGCTCAGAGGAAGGGTGGAGAGAGGGTGTGTGTGTATGTGTGTCTGGTTCTGGTCCTCAAGAGTCTTGGGACCTGTGTGTGACCTCATTTGCAATCAAGGTGAGGCTGCAGAGAGTAGCAGTCCTATTTTTTTTGTTTTTTGTTTTTCAAGACAGGGTTTCTCTGTATTGTTTTGGAGGCTGTCCTGGAACTCACTCTGTAGACCAGGCTGGCCTCGAGCTCACAGAGATCCGCCTGCCTCTGCCTCCCAAGTGCTGGGATTAAAGGCATGCACCACCAATGCCTGACTGCAGTCTTCATTTTTATATTCCATTTTGCACCATTGGGGGCGGAACCTGGGACCTGGCCCATGTCAAGCAAGCATCTACCACCAAAGCACAGCCCCAGGCTGTTGTTTGTTTTCTGAGACAGGAGTTCTCTGTGGAGCCTTGGCTGTCCTAGATCTTACTCTGTAGACCAGATTGGCCTACCTTGAACTCACAGAGATCTCCAGCCTCTGTCTCTCCCAGTGCTGGGATTAAAGGTGTGTGCCACTACGTGGCTATGGCAACTAGAACGCTCAGAAGAGGCAGAGGGGCTCCTAGCTGCTCTGAGGGCTGGGACCTCAGCATCCCTGGAATTTGGACCCCCAGGCATCCAGGACAAAAGGGTATGGCTCTGCTCTTGCAATGTCCTACTCTGTGGTCACTAGTGGGGGCCACAGGAAGTGAGTGCACATTAAGTGACAGGCACACAGGGACGGCTTCGGGGCGTACTTTTACTGTCAGCAGAGTGGGAGAGCAGGGCGGAGGCTGCACACAGCGATGACGGGCAGACTCACCTGCACCTCCACGGGGTCCTCTGCCTGCGCCTCCTCGGTGTCCAGCAGCTCTATGGTCATGATCACCTGTCCTCTGCGCTGCAGGAACATTACCTGGGGAGGTGGTCACAGCCTGAGCGGCCATCAGCCATCCCTACCACCCTCCAAGGTCCTGGCACTACCCTGTAGGAGGGACCTACAGGTGCTCCAGCTGCCCCGGGTGCCCCACCCAGGGTGCAGTCCTCTCCGGTCGCCCTGGCCTTTAGCCCCAGGCTCCCCACAGCCTCTCCTCACCTTGAAGCAGTTCTCGTCAGCCATGCAGCGCTCCGCCTTCCACTGGTAGCTGGTCTCCCGGGCAGCCCGGACACAGCGGGAGGACAGGTTCCCTCCAGCTGCACCGCGCTGCTGCTCGTTCAGGAAGAGCTCCACCACCTTCAGACACACGTCGTCGCTCACCAGGTGGTGAAGCTGGCAGGGAGAGAGCAAGGCCACAGCTGCCACCTCCTGCTTCCCCACCCCTGAAGACACTGGCCACAGCTCCACACCCGGGAAACACGTCTGTGACGGGGCCAGGAATGGAGACCGGATCACATGGTACAAGTAACAATTTTTTTTTGTAGGCAGACCAGACCAGACCAGACTAAACCAGACTAGACCACACCAGCAAATGGTTGGGTACAAGAAATGTGCCCAAGAGACACACGTGTCATTTGAAAGTGCTGCCCTCATCTAAAACTTCCTCCCAGACATGTGGAGACACACAGCCCTTTTGCCCATTTTTACAAAGAGGGACGTGATGCAAATATGGGCGGGGCCAGTTGGCAGGTCTTCGGTACTGCTGGGCACCACAGGGCTGATGGCCTGGACCCTGCCCACCCATCGTCTCCATGAGGGAACGGGAACGCTGCAGACAAGGCAGGCACCGTGCCAGCATGGTAGCCCCAGTGAGCACCTGGTTAGCAGCTACAGGGGTCTGACAGCCACAACAGGGCCCACCCTGCTCACTCAATTTCATTGTTCCCTTTTGGTTTTTTTGTTTGTTTGTTTTTGGAGACAGGGTCTCTCTGTGTAACAGTCCTGGCTGCCCTGGAACTCACACTGTAGACCAGACTGGTCTCGAACTCAGTCCTGAGTGCTGGGACTAAAGGTGTGCGCCACCAACGCCCCACTTATTTCCTTCTTTTGAGGAGTTTCTAGTGTGAGAGGGCGGGTGTGTATGCGTGTGCACGTGCACGTGTTCACTCAAGAGGACAGAGAGCGGTGGGTGACAGTGGGGACCCTGCTTGTCACTCTCCACCTCATTCTCCCAATGACAGTCCCCCCTGGACCTGGGGCCATTCATATGTCTGGCCAAGCTCCAGCGTCCTCCTGTTTCTGTCCTCTACAGTAGGGGCACGACTGTCCTGGGTGGTTTGTGTCAACTTGACACAAGCGGAGTCATCTGAGAGGAGGGAGCCTCAGTTGAGAAAAAGCTCCTCGAGACCCATCAGGCTGTAGGCAAGCCTGTGTGGCATCTTCTAACTAGTGACTGATGGGGGAGGGCCCAGACTACTGCGGGTGGTTCCACTCCGGGCTGGTGGTCCTGGGTCCTGTAAGAAAACAGTCTGAGCAAACCACGAGGAGCAGGACAGTGAGCAGCGCCCCCCACGGCCTCTGCAGCAAATCAGCTCCTGCCTCCAGGTCCCTGCCCTCAACTGCTTTTGATAATGAACTATATGGAACTGGGGGTGAAATAAATAAACCCTAAGACAAGGAGCACACTGCCATTGCCGGCCTCCCACAGGATGCTAGGGATTTGAACTTGGGTATTCATGTCTGCACACAGCAAGTGTTCTTATCCAGGGAGCCGGCCCTCAGTCCTGGGAGGCTACTTTAACTATCTAGTGCAGCAACGAGGCTGCTGTCCCAGGGGAGATGTCCCTCTGTTGTCCCCCACCTGGCTGCCCTGGTGTTGTGTGTGTGGCCCTGGGAGCCACGTTTCCACATAACCCAGCTGCAGTGGCCACTGTGGGCAGGGACAGCAGAGCCTCGCCCCTGGAACTGTAGGGAAGCAGAGGTGCTCAACGAGAGGGCATGGAGAGACTGTGAGAGCCCTGGCTGTGATGTGGTGGGGTAGGGCGGGCTGGAGAGCAGCAGGGCTGCAAGACAGGCTCCCGGCTCCCCAGGAGGACAGGACATCTAAATGGTCCCACAGTGGCCTCTGGGGGAAATGCACCATGAGCCTAAAGTGTGTCTACCAGGCAGGTGGGAACAGGGTGTGGCCTCAGCTACCACTAGGAGGCACCGTTGCCCACACCAGGTCAGAGCCACTCCTGCACGCCCGACAGGTCCCTGAGGGACAGAGCTCACTGCTAGGACGAGCCACTTGCACTCGGCTTCTTTGCAGAGCCAGGTGGGAAGCTTTGCTCCTGAAAATGCACTGTGTGGCCTGGAGATCTGGGTGCTTCTGTGCATGCTTTACCTCAGCAGTTTGGAAGGGCTTGGCAGGGGACACTTGCCTAGCACACACAAGGCCCTGGTTTCCATGCCCAACACCAAAAAGGAAAAACAAAAAAGAGCTAGCCAGTGGGATGGCTCAGCTCAGTGGGTAAAGGCACTAGCAGCCAAGCCTGACCTGAGTTCGATCCCCAGACCCACACAGCGGGAGGAGAGAACCAAGTCCTCCAAGCTGTCTAAGGCACACACACCATGGCGTTCCTGTGTCCAGACACACATACCTAAATGAATAACTACATGTAATACAGAGGTGGCTAACCCTGAAGAAAACGGCTTTCCAAAGCTCTTCCTGAGACTGAGTCAATTCACAGGAACGCCATGTCTTCCCGAGGGCACTGCTGGGCTCTCATCTTGGATGCTGGCCCAGCTGGGGTGTAAGGACTTTGTCTTAGAGATGGGTCACAGTGCTCACTGCTATGAACTATGCACTTGGAGATGGTTAATTCTGTTATGTGATCTTCATCTCACTGAAACAAAGGGGAAGACTTACATGTGACCAGGTGACAAGTACGAGGGTGGGAAGGGACAGACAGATAAGGAGTGTTCCCGAGCCCGCCCCGCCCCTGCCCCGCTCACCTGGCGAGCAATGTTTTGCACCAGCTTGTCCATGGTGAAACCGATGTAGGCATGGATGGTGAACATCTCGCGGAGCGTGTCCTCATACTGAGTGGGGTCGATGCTCCCCTCCAGCAGGCTCCGCACCATGTCCAGAAAGGCGGGGTAGTACTCCTCCAGCTCCACCTCACCTGGGGGGGGGGGTCGGCTGCTTCACTCACCGCAGGAGCCCTGCACACGCACTCACACACACGTACATACACACACACACATGCACTCATGCATACGCGCACACACATAAACACACACGCGCACACACACACGCACTCACGCGCACACACGCAGCAGCCCAGACTCTAGGGGCTCTCGAGGGAGGTGGGGCCCTGGATCCTCCGCCTCCCTCCACCAAGGAGGCCTAAAGGGGCAGAGGCTGGCCGGGGCCTCCGCGCCGGTGCTCACTGGGCTGCTTGAGACGCAGCTCCATGGCAGGGTCTGCGGTCTTCTCGCGGCGGCCCTCGCACAGCAGCTGCTCCCGCTCCTGCTCGCGCCGATGCTCCAGCAGCTGCTTCTGGGCCTGCCGGTAGATCTTCAGCAGGCGCGCGCACAGCGTCTGGTGCAGCCGCAGGAAGAAGTACCAGTTGTTGTTGGCGAAGAACAGGCTGTACACGTCGTCCAGGGCCTTGGGCGGCTCAGGCGGCGTGTCGGCGGGGGGCTTCTCGTCGGCGGGCCGCCTGTGCTCAGGCTCCCCGTCGCGGTCGCGCTCGTCCGCGGAGTCGTCGGAGGTGCCGGGGCGCTGCTGCGAGAAGAACAGGCTGGGCAGGAAGCGGTGGAGCAGCTGGCGGATGGTGCCCTGGTCCTCCTTCTGGATGGCCGGCTGCCGCTTCACGTAGTAGCTGATGAGAGCCGCCGCGTCCTCCAGGATCTGCCGATCCTCGTACACGAAGATGAGGTGCGGCTCGCTGGACGGTGCGCTGCGGCCCTCCGAGTGCTGCTCCTGGTGCTGGAAAGGGGCAGTCAGTAGGCGTGGCCTCAGAGAGGGTGAGCGACCCTGGGGAGTGGGGGTCACTCACCCACCCTTCCTCTCCTCTCACCGGTTCACAGCTCCCCGCAGGGTCCAGCCCCCTCCCCCCCTCCCTCCCTCTCATGGCCAGCGTTAACACAGAGGACTGCTCCGCAGCCGCTGTTCTGGGCTTCCCAAGACCTGGCCGTGGGGTAAGGTCTCCCTGGGGTGAGGCTCCACGTGTAGTGGGCCGTCACCATCTGTCACAGAAAGTCAGCTCCCTCCACAGGGCTGGGACGGTGCTCAGCAGCCCCTCCCGCTCATCCCTGCCTATCCCTAACCCCATGAAAACAGCGGCCACCAGTATTGCTCAGCGCTTGGGCACCTGCCCTGGGCTTTTGGAGACCCGTGGCCTTGGCCTGCTACTGTGAGTTCCCTCACTTTGGCCGGGCTCCCTCCTGCTGAGGCCAGCCCAGGCCTCTTTCCCACACACCACCTTAGTGTTGACCTAGATAATGACCCTCCCAAACCCAGAGCTGATGGCGGCCCCTCCCATCCCTATTCTCTGGGGCACCAATTCCAGGCACTGTGTAGAGAGGTGGATGCATGAGTTCTGTGGACGCTGTTACACGGGGAGCTTTTGGGGTGGGCTGGGTGTCACCTCAGCTCTTACTGGTCAGTGCACAGTGAGCTCTGGAGCTCCCTCAAACACCACCTGAGGCAGGACCCGGTTTGCCACACTCTTTTACTGAAGGCCAGGAAGCTCAACTCAGTACCTCAGAGACCCACGGCCGGAGCCCAGGGTGGGGCCAAGGCCCCCTCACCACAGTGCCTCACACACCCTGGGCCTCCTCTGGCCTCTCAAGTCCCACCGGGTTTACGCCACAGTGTTTGTGCTCCATTAGGGACTGAGGGGACTGTTTCGGTGCGCGGACTGCCAACACCAGACTAGCCCATGGGCATCTTCTTGATGGATGATTGATGTGGGAGGGCCCAGCTCACAGAAAGCAGGCTGAGCAAGCCAGTAAACAATGTCAGCGCCCCAATGATGGACTAAATAAACCCTTCCCACCCGAGTGGCTTGTGTTCATGTGTTTACCACAGCAACAGAAAGCAGATTGGGACAGCGCTAGAGTTTGGATACCTTGGTCCTAGCTGGTGGAGCCAATCACTCTGGTGGATGGACCATGAGGTTTTATGAACAGATGATCCAACGACGACTTCCTGGGAAGTGCAGCCCCTGGGGTCTGACTGGGGGTGGTGGGAACCTGGGGCTGTACCTCTGAGAGTGACTAGCTTTACGCTAGGCAGACAGGCAGAGGTTTCCCAGACTATGAGCCAACACCAACATTCCTTGTGTTGAACTGTTTCTCTCACGGCTTGTCATAGCAACGGAGATGGATTCACTAGTATACGGACAACTCAACAGCCTTTTCCCCGGGTGCTCACTTCAGTTTGGAACCCAGGCCTCAGGTTAAGAAAGTGCTTTACCTCCGGCCACCACGTCTCCCCTCAAAGGTCACCATGGGGCTAGAGAGAAGGCTCAGGAGCTAAGAGTGTTTACTGTTCCTGCACTTGAGGTGGGTTTCCAGGAGCTCACACCACCTGTAACTCAAGCTCCATGAGGATAACTAACCTCTGACCTCCGAGGACACCTGTACTCCCGTTCACTCTCCCACACAGCAAAAAAATTTATCTGTACAGCAAAAGCAAAGCCCAGGGCAAAGTCCAGCAAGCAGCAGCCTGTCGTGCCTCAGTTTCCCCACTGCAGGCTGTGGCGTAAGGAAGCTGGCCACGCCTGCCTCACACGTCTTACCTCGTCATAGACACTCTCGATCTCGTTGAGTAGGCTTTTGGAGCGCAAAGCCTTGGTGTCGTTCTGCTTGAAGTTCACGGCCTGGTGGTCCAGGGACTTGAGGTAAGCCTTCTCATACTGCTCGCGCCATATCTTGTTGAAGCCCTGCTGGGCCTCCCGCCACTCCTCCTCCTTGGCCTTCAGCCTGTAGGGAACAGAGCTCAGTGCCTGACACCCAGACTCTCCTGGGACACCAGGGGGGTCTACTTTCCTCCCAGCAAGTAATACATCTGGTCTGCACCACAAAGAACAAGCCAGCATGTGGGATGTCCAGCTCCAGGCTGGCCTGGGCTCCAGTGAGAAAACCCCAGCTCAAAAAACAATACAAAAGGTTAGGCGGTGGTGGCGCACGCCTTTAATCCCAGCACACAGGAGGCAGAGGGAGGCGGATCTCTGTGAGTTTAACATCAGCCTGGTCTACAAGAGCGAGTTCCAGGACAGCCTCCAAAGCCACAGAGAAACCCTGTCTCGAAAAACCAAAAACCAAACAAACAAAAATCCCAAACAAACAAACAAAAAGATCCTACCATCTAAATAAGCAAACAAACAAAAAAAACCCACAGAGGGAGAGGGATGGAGGAGGCAGTGGTCCCACATAGCCAACCTGGCTACTTAAAAAAAATTATGGGCCAGGCGGTGGCGGCACACGCCTTTAATCCCAGCACACAGGAGGCAGAGGGAGGCGGATCTCTGTGAGTTTAACATCAGCCTGGTCTACAAGAGCGAGTTCCAGGACAGCCTCCAAAGCCACAGAGAAACCCTGTCTCGAAAAACCAAAAACCAAACAAACAAAAATCCCAAACAAACAAACAAAAAGATCCTACCATCTAAATAAGCAAACAAACAAACAAAAAAAACCCACAGAGGGAGAGGGATGGAGGAGGCAGTGGTCCCACATAGCCAACCTGGCTACTTAAAAAAAAATTATGGGCCAGGCGGTGGCGGCACACGCCTTTAATCCCAGCACTCGGGAGGCAGAGGCAGGCGGATCTCTGTGAGTTCAAGGCCGGGCTGGACCAATAGCCTCCAAAACAATACAGAGAAACCCTGTCTCGTTAAAAAAAAAAAAAAAAATGGTATGTGCATGCGTGTTTTGTCTCCATGTACAAGCACCACATGCATGCCTGGTGCCCCTGGTTACAGAGAGCTGCCAGTCACCATGTGGGTCGTCTGAAGAGCAGGCAGTACTCTTAATTGCTGAGTGTCTCTTCAGCAGTGGCTGGTCTTAGGCCCCCACCTCCTCCCAGGCACCCATCTTGCCTGTTCAGCTGTCGCCAGTAGACAGAGGGCTGGGAGGTGTTTTATAGTCACAATTCACCCTTCACACCCCAGGACTCAATCAAGACTAAGCAGGAATAGTGCATCTACTGGACACACAGCACGTGAATTGTCACAGGTGTCCTGGGTCACCCAGAGGAGATGGACAGCCATGGACTTCACATAAGCAATTCTAGAAGGGTCTGGAGGGTTCCAGAAACCCCCCTCCCAAAGTGAGACTGCATTTCTACACCTGGAGACACAACAGATGTCCAGGAGCCTGGCTGTCAAGACTTTGCTCAGTACTAGCGTGGGAGAGGGGGCTGGGGCCAGCACCTGCCTTCAGCCCGGGGACAGGGTCAGGTGACACCATGGGTCGGGACCCTGGTCGCCCCCCTGTAATGCCCTGAGTCAGGAAGGAAAGTAGAAGGTGGGGACACCTTTTCAGAACGACAGGCACAGCGGTGACAGGGTTCCTCTTGAGGCTCTCGATGACCTCGGGGGCCTTGTCACCATAGATGCGGTGGATGGCCCGGCGCTGGATCACCTCTGACGTGCCACCGAGGCAGTCATCCAGGCGGAGCTTCTCCTGGTCCTCAGGTGCCATCCGTGATAGCTTCTTCTGCACGCTCTCCAGCACTCGGATGGTGGCCAGGTTGGTCTCCAGGACGACGTCTAACTGCAGGGAGGGCAGGCACCGGTGAGGTGTGTGAAGGCCACCGTGGCAGTACGGTGGGTGGTCAGGAGCTGCGTGGCACCGGCCACAGCACACTTGTGTGGCGGTGGAGCTCCAACGACAGCGCTGTGCACACCACCTCACGGGTGCTTGAGCACCACAGTAGCCCACTCGTGACAGCGTTTGGACTTTTATCATTTTCTGGCTTTTCTTAATGATTTTCTTCACTTTGGGGTATGTACAAGCAGAGTAGTCCCCTAGAGGCCAGAAGGTGGTGGCAGACCCCTTGGAGGGGGAACTGAACAGGTCCTCTGCAGGAGCGGTCGGCACTCTAACTGCTGACCCTCTCCAGCCCTTGTTTACCTTTCCATCTTTTTGAGACAGAACTCAGGCGACCCTTGTGCCTCTGTCCCCAAGTGCTGTGAGGAGGGGCATGTGCCCCACACCAAGGACATCGACGGATCTTGAAATGACAGAGCAGTACAGAGTGGACAGAAGGGAGTTCACAGAGGGAAGGGGCAGGCTGGGCGTAGCTACTGATGATTACAACAGCGGAGAGGTCAGGGGGCTTGTGTGGCTTAGACACTGAATCCACTGGTGACAATACATACACACGCACACACATACAAACACGCACATACATGAGCTTTCTGCTTCAGTCTGACGGCCTCTTCCCAAACTCACCCTGAAGTTTAGAGGTTGGTGTGGCAGTATTAACAAGAGGTCACACTTAACACAGGCCCGTGACCCCAGCACATGGGAGCCAGAAGCAGGAGGCCATGCACTCCAAGACAGCCTTGTCTTAAACAGAGCACAGGACTTCAAGGAGGTGCTCTAGGCGCAGGCTGTCCTCATGGGTGGGCGGCACTGCCCAGGAAGGGGAGACGAGACACAATCAGCCTCCTCTGTGTCCCTCCACCATGGACATCAAAGGCAGGCTTCCCCGGATGTAGGCCTTCACATTCTAATTCCCAGCGGTTGCCCTGTCCATTGGACTCTTGTCATAGCATATGACAGAAACACATGGGGGCTGGAGAGGTGGCTCAGAGGTTAAGAGCACTGACTGCTCTTCCAGAGGCCCTGAGTTCAATTCCCAGCACCCACATGGTGGCTCACAACCATCCGTAATGAGATCTGGTGCCTTCTTCTACTGTGTGGTCATACATGTAGACAGAACACTGTATACATACTAGAAAATCTTTAAAAAGAAAGGAAGAAAAAGGAAGAAGGAAACAGACAGACATACACATAGGAACCTGGGGTGGGGAATGTGTCATCCTGGCACTTGGAAGGCTGAGGCAGGAGGATCACAAGTTGTACACCAGCCTACACTACAAAGAGAAACAATTTCAAAAAGAAAACCAAGGGCTGGAAAGCTGGCTCAGTGGCTAAGAGCACTGACTGCTCTTCCACAGGACTGAGGTTCAATTCCAGCACCCACATGGTGGCTCATAACTGTCCTAAACTCCAGGTCCAGGAGAGCCAATGCCCTCTTCTGGCCTCCATGGGCATCAGACACACATGGTGCACAGACATACATGTAGACAAATACCCACACACACAAAAGTAAGTAAACCTTAAAGAAAACCGAATCAAAAAGATGTGAACTCTGGGATAAGAAGGGTGGCTGTCTGTCTGTCTGTCCTCCAGAGGTGTACTCAGCGGGGTCTGAGAGCTCAGTTAATAAAAATAAATAAAGGTAACTTGGTTTTAAGTTAACTAACCTATTGTCTTTAGTTGATTATTTACCTAACTGTATTTTATGTATGAGTACTCTGTATGTATACCTGCACTCCTGAAGAGGGCATTATATCCTATTACAGACGGTTGTGAGCCACCATGTGACTTCCGGGAATTGAACTCAGGACCTCTGGAAGAGCAGCCAGTGCTCTCAGCTGCTGAGCCATCTCTCCAGCCCTGCATTATCTTTGGTGTTTTGCTGGGAGCTCGAGAGCTGGCAGGGCCGGCAAGCAGGAAGCTCTGGAGCCGCTCGAATGGCAGGTAAAGAGACCGCAGAACAGGGCCACGCGGGCCATGAGGGCACTAGGCTGGGCGGACAGATGGCAGGCAGGACAGATGGCTGGGCGGACAGATGGCAGGCGGGACAGACAGAGGGGTGGAGGAGGGGCAGACTCACAGCTTCACCTACCTCAAACCTCTCGTCCTCACAACGATGCAGCTGCTCCTCATATGGAGTCTTCTTGGAGCTGACAAAGGTAGAGTCTTCAGACCAGGATGGGAAGGACACCCACGTGTCATTCAGGACCTGGACCAGAAGAGAGGAGTGTCACCAGGCACGCCATGCTCACAGGCGGTTCTCCCCGCCACCCCGTGAGTTAACTCTCAGATGCTGAGCAGGCTAGGGCTGCGGCACTGAACACAAGGTGGGTCTCAGGGCCCAGCACCCACCGCAGGGTGGCCTGGAGCCACCGAGACTTTACGCTGTCTTTGAATATCCAACTTGGCCTTTGGATAAGTAGAAATGGCCTGAGGCAGCACCCACAAAGGCATGCAGTGCACTAACATCACAAGGGTGGATCCGATCTGCTTCCCAGTGCTCAGCAGAGCCTCTGGCTATAAACTCTCTGGGCTTGAGTGGGACTCCTGAGCTCCCTCTTAAGAGAACCGTCTACAAACCGAGGCTCACCCTGAGCACGCATGGTGCTCGGCTAGTTTTATGTCAGCTTGACAGAAGCCTGAGTCACGGGAAGAGGGAACTTGAATTAAGAAAATGACCGCTGATGGGGACGTCCTTCTGTGTGCTGTGAATATGTTTCTGTTATTGCTTGATGGATAAAGCTGTTTTGGCCAACAGACAGGCGGGAAATCAAACAGGGACGGAGAAAGGAAACAGGTGGAATCAAGGATATGCCATGTAACAAGCGGGGAGTCAGGAGGCCCAGGAACCACCAGTAAGTCAACAAACTAACAGACTAACAGTCAAAGGCCGTGTAGACATACACAGACTAACAGAAATGGGCTAATAATTGAGAGAGCAGGGCGGTGGTGGTGCATGCACACGGGAGGCAGAGGCAGGTGGATCTCTGTGAGTTCAAGGTCAGCCTGGTCTGCAGAGCAAGTGCCAGGACAGCCTCCAAAGCAATACAGAGAAACCCTGTCTCAAAAAAACCCAAAAATAAAAACTTTAAATAAAATAATTAAGACAGCATTAGCCAGAGAGAAGCCTAAGCCAAGGGCCAAACAATTACAAATCGACATTAAGTCTCAGAGTGGTTATTTCATAGCAGCTTTGGGGACCCGACTGGGTGGGGAGAAACCAGTCCAATGGGGCTGAGACTAGATAGAGAAAATCACCCCCCCCCACCCCACCCCACCCCCGCAGTCTGGCCTGTGGGCAGTGCCACCCAGGGCGTGGGGTACTGGCTGGGTAAGAAAGCAGGCTGATAACTTGGCATGCCAGACTGCTGACTCCCTACGGAAGGCCTTACTCCCTCTGAGGAGTGGAGGGGGTTGGGAAGCAGGGAGGCAGGAGGGTGGGAGAAGGGGAGGGAGGGGGAACAGGGTTGGTATGCAAAGTAATTTTTTCAGATAAAAAAAGAAGAAGAAAGCAGGTTGAGCAAGCTGTGGGGAGCCAGCCCATAAGCAGCTCCTCTCCATGGTCTCGACTTCAGCTCCTGACTCCAGGACCCTGCCCTGACTTCCCTGATGGACTAGGAGATAAACCCTTTCCTCCCAAGTTGTGTTTGGTCCTGGTGTTTCACCACAATAGAAACCCTAAGACACCTACTGGGGACAAGGCAGAACTTGGCAGTGATGAAGCTGTCCAGGTCCCCACATTAGTGTGAACTCTAAGCTTGCCATCCAACAGGACACCCTCAGTATTAGATGTCCCCGGGCGGTCCTAACCCGGGCCCGCAGCTGCCGCTGGAGGGCTGACCCGCTGTACCCCGGGTGCTACCTCCTTGCAGATGGCCGTCCTCCCGCTGCACTTGGGTTGCTGGTAGGTCTTGGGAAGTGCCCGATAGCTGGATCCAATCCGCTTACAAGATGCGTAGTCAATTTCTCTGCTTATGCCATCTCCAGACCGGTCACTCATAGGTGGTGCAAAGGACAGCTCTTTTACTCCCAGAAAGGACTTGAACTGTGCAAAGAGTTCTGGAAATTTCCTTCAAACACAGACAGAAACTGTACGTGGGCAATGGATGTCGTGAGAATGATCTAGAGTCATCATGAAAATGGCCTTATGCGCCGGGCGTTGGTGGCGCACGCCTTTAATCCCAGCACTCGGGAGGCAGAGGCAGGCGGATCTCTGTGAGTTCGAGACCAGCCTGGACTACCAAGCGAGTTCCAGGACAGCCTCCAAAGCCACAGAGAAACCCTGTCTCGAAAAAACCAAAAAAAAAAAAAAGAAAAAGAAAATGGCCTTATGCTTGTGGAGCCTCAAAGATCATGTGAGTCAGAATCCAATGTTAGGAAAGGGAGCCAGGTCCTCCCTCCCTTCACTAACCACACCCCCTCTTACAACCTTAAATCTTGCCAGCTGCTCTAGGCCACAAAGCATAATGGGAATAACCTCTGTGGGCCCCACTGCCTTCATGTTCTCCCCTGTAACTTGAAACAAAGCAACAGGGGGCTGGACAGACAGCTCAGCAGTTAACAGCACTGGCTGCTCTTCCAGAGGACCCAGGTTCAATTCCCAGCATCCACACAGCAGCTCACACGTGTCTAACTCCAGTTCCAGGGAATATGACACCTTCACACAAATATGCATGCAGGCAAAACACCAACACACACAAAATAAAAATTAATTAATTAAAAAAAAAGAAGGAAACAAGGCTGGGTGTAGGGACACATCCTTAATCCCAGCACTCGGGAGGCAGAGGCAGATAGACCTCAGTAACTTTTAGGCAAGCCTGGACTACATAGTGAGTTCCACAGCTAGGGCTATAAGAGACCCCGTCTCAAACAACAAACAAACAAAACAACAAGACCCCCCAAAACAAAAGAATAAACAACAACAAAACCACTCAAAGTGTCCCAACCCTGTGACTGGTCAGTCAGCTACAGAGGTTCACAGCCAACTTATGTTCATGCTGTAGTCTGGAATTTTCTAGGCTAGAAATGAACTCATTTAGGCTACTCAAACAGACAGACGCCAGCCTTGCCCCCCGAGGCCTGGCATCAGTCCTTCCAGTCTCTAGCTGTACCCAGGCCTGGCCAGAGTGCTCCTGCGCCTCACAAGGCCACAGACATCAGTTTCCTGTCCTATGTCCTTGGGTAGGCTGGGCTTGTCTTCCTTGCATGGCTTTCTAGGTAATTCTGTGGTCGGCCAGTCTAAGGAGGCTGAACCTGCACTCGAAGGCAGGAGTCTAAGGTCAGTAACTGCCCTTGATCCAGGCCAGGAACCACACACTGCAGCCAAGCAGCCACGGGCTGTTCCGTAAATAAAGCTTTATTGGCACAGTTCTGCTCCACTCACTTCTTTCTCCGTGACGGCGCTGCAGGGCAGAGCAGAGAGCAGCTGTGTCTCTCATGATGGGGACCCCTGCCCAAGGCCTGTGGCTTCACTCTCACAAGTCAGGACGCAAATGGATACATGTTAATAAGGCAATTTCACAGGAACTGACATCCGGTGCTACCTCAATTTCTGTTCGCTTTTCTTTTTAATGTAAAACCTTTAAGTTGGTACTCGTGTGTTTATTTCACTGCTGTAGGGAGGGCACAGGTGACATGGAGGCCAGTGGACTGACCATTTAAAAGGCGCCACCTTGGGGAATATATGCAACACGATAAACATGCATGTAAAAACTTGAGAAACCCAGAAAGGAGCAGTGCCACTAAATACAAGCCCACAGCTGCACACACTACAGACATGGCTGTGCCAGGGAGGCACGCCTTGGAAAGGTCACCACGAAGTTGCCTTGATGCCACTGCCCAGCATCCTGAGAGAGGAGGGCTGTACATCACCAAATATCGACATCGACAGCTTGTAAATCACACGTGCAATGTTCACCCAATGGGGACAGCTCTCAAATCACACCAAGCCAAGAGTCATGAGCCGAGACGAGGACACTGTCCACACACACTGTACAAGGTCCCTGGAACTCAGGGACTGTCGGCTATTGTGACCACCTACCCCAGGGACCTGCTTTCTCCAAGTCACTTTTGACAAATGTGAGCCTGGAGAATTGCCATCAATGAAGACCACAGATGGCGGGCGAGACGGCTCAGTGGGTCAAGGTGCTTGCTGCCAAGTCTAACGACCCAGACCCACGCGGTGGGAGAGAACCCACACAAGAACTTGTCCTCTGGCCTCCAACCGTGCACACATAGGAACTAAGCCAACGTTTAAAGCATACACACAGACACACTTCACGGCTCACTTTCCCGGGTCTGCGTGTGGGGAGGGAGGGGAGTCGAGAGCCACTCACCCCAGGAACGGGCTGACAAGCTGCAGCAACTCAGAGCCAGACACCAGCTCCTGATTGAAGAGCGCGATGCAGCGCAGAAAGTTCTCGTACACCTCCTGGCTCTTCAACACCCTGCGCACCTGTGGGAGTACGGATTGCATGTGGGGCACTGCACACAGCGGGCACTACCAAAGCCACGTGCGTGCGTGTGTGCGTGCGTGTGTGCGTGCGTGCGTGCGTGCATGCGGAGCGGGCGCGGCCCTGAACCACTGGGGACGCCCTGCAGCCCGCTCCGCCCTCTGGCAGCACCGGGTGACCCGCGTGGGAGGCGCCGTGCCTGGGGGAGCGGCGTGCTCACCTTGTCGAAGAAGGAGAACTCCTGCAGGGTGCCGTATTTCCCCACGGCGGCGATGGACAGGTCTTTGGAGCCTCGCAGCTTCATCTTCTTCTGCAGAGAGAAACCCTGGCTTAGCTGGGTCCCCACCACAGGCACGCGGCACACGTGCGCTGTCCCCTTCTGAGCCGTGTGATGCGGGGCCGCTCGGGGCAGCACCCCGCCAGCGGGACTGGGGTCGTGGATCCCTGCTAGGGCAGCTGCGGGGGCGTCTGGGCCACGGCCATGTGGGTAATGTGTGGGTGCCAGGGAAGGCACGAGGCCCACGCTGACGTCAGGGAGAGGGACCGGGTCTCACGCATGTGCAGTGCTGGGCAGGTGCTTAAACACGGGCTGGGAAAATGGAACTGAGGGTTTGCGTGTGTTCAGACAGGCTCGGGTGAGCTCGGCATGTCACGCATTCCAACAGGACTCTGGGAATGGAACCCAGAGCCTCGAGCATGTTTGTAGACACGGACTGGGAAAATGGAAGCCAGGGCCTCGCGCATGCTTAGTCGACACGGACTGAGAAAATGGAAGACGGATTCACGCATGCTCAGAAGACACTAACTGGGAAACCGGAAGTTGAGCCACTGTGCAGGGTCAACTGACAGACTGGGGAAAAGGGTGGGCAAACACCAAGGAAATAGATGTGTGCGTGCGCGCTCTGGAGACACCGGGCCGGGGACGCACTCAGTCCATGTTAGTGTTGTCGTGGGGCTTCAACTCAGCGACCTGAGAAAGCCCGGTGCCACGAGCCGCTGCCCAGCCCTTACCCTGGACTGCAGGGCACACACTGGAGTTACTGTCTGTCCTGTGGGCCAGAGGTGCCTGCAAGTCAGGGGGGGCGAAGCCAGGGGACCCTGAGCAAGCCAGGTCTAACTGTGTAGACCGCCTGTCTCTAAACTGGACTTCAGGGCGGGGAAAGCAGCTCTGCAAGTCAAGAGATCTGCCGGTCACAGGCTTGGAAACCCGAGGATCTCAAGCAGGCCCTGAAGTTGTCTTCTGTCTCCTCTCCTCCTCCATCCTGCCCCCGGACGTGGCCCCTGTCATGAGGCACGTGCTGTACAGCCATTCCCCAGAGCAGGGGAGGGACGAAAAGGGCTGCCTGGAGAGGTGGGTCACTGGCCAGGCCAGGACAGTGAGTGTCAAGACACCAGTAATAGCAACCAGCTGTGACTTGAGGTTGACACCGCTGCACATAACTAAATAAACAGAATGCCAAAAAACCTTTATTACTATAGAAGTCAACTAGTAAGCACAGAACGATAGAGCTAGAGATCCACCATCACCGGGTGATGAGCGGGACAGGAACTGACGTCAGCCACTTCACTCCTCAGCTGTGCAGTAAGCAAACCACACAACTGCACATTTCAATTGCAGCCCCACCTACGAAAGAGTCACGACAGTGAAGAGAGAGAACAGCACCCACGCCTTCCTTCAGTCCCCCTTCCAGCTTCCGGCCGCAGGGCAGGGCAGCGGTGAGCCGCGAGGCAGAGACCTTTGCTAGCAGACTACTCTCCGGCCTCCACACCACTCCCAGCATGTGCAGCAAGAACCCACACCCGCTGTTACCTTGGCTGGAGCAGACACAGGGCGCAGGAGCGAGGGCCGAGAGCGCTTCTTGCTGTGTTCCAGACTCTTCTCCTCGGTCTTCTGTCCGCTGTTCATCTCACACGCCCCACTGCCTGTGAACTAAGGACACAAAGGCAGGTGTCACGCTGGAGAAAATCAAATGGCCTATCCTATCTGTGCACTGCAGCCAGCTCCGGTCTGGATGGTAGCGGCAGCCCTGGCACACGGCCGGGCCTCTGGAGTGCTCCTATCCCTGGGGCAGAGAGCAAGCACACAGAACGCTGGGTGAATGCTGTCCACAGCCTCCGGAGCAAGGAGCCAGAGACTAAGGAGATGACAGTGAGTGTCCAGGGAGAGGAGGAGGAGCCCACTGCACCCTGACCCCGATGTGTACAGGATAGACAGGCATTCTAGGTGGGGGATGGATAGGCAGCAGCACACAGCCCCAGGAGCAAGACAAGTAGCTAATGTCATCCAGGTCTTGAATCATTTGAACGTGTCTGAGGAGTGAGCCTGCTCTGTGGTGTGCTGCAGGGAAGGATGCTACCCCTCCTGGAAGTGAGAGACCCTCGACATCCTGAGTGACTGACAGCACCACTGCTCCCCATCCACAACAAGGAAGACTACTGACTAGACTGTGGGCAAGCGCAGGCACGGTGAACGCAGACCAGAGCCGATGCTTCTGTGCTGCTGCAGCAGAGAGAGAAAGACAGACGGACTAAGGGCAGAACCAGCACAAGTCATTCATACCGTTTCATTCAGGAAAAGCCCTGGAGTACACACCCGGCAACACTCTGAAGAGACATTTCTAAGGGATCATTTTATGACACTAAAGGCCTATCCTTCAGCCACAGGGAAGACAGCCCCTAAATCTAACAGCCACTCATGGCTGCACATGGTTGCTATCTTAGCCCTCAGGAGGCTGAAGCCAGAGAAGCACCAGCTTGAACCAGTGTGAGCTACATGGCCAGACCCTGTCTCAAAGTAAATAGTTCAAGTAGTCCAAGATTCAAAACTGTTCCATGACCCAAGTAAAGTGATATTCACTGGGAATTCTTCACTGGAATCTGTAAAGATCCAAAGTCCCAGTTCTGAAGCGGCAGGTGGGGCAGTGCAGAACACCTAAAGGCATGGGTCCTCAGCACAGCTAGTTCTCCTCAGACACATGCTCCTCACTATTTTCTTCTCCTAGACAGACACCAACTCAGGGCCAGTGGCCAACAGCTCACAGGGGCTATGGCCAATGGCCACAACCATTAATTCTGTAAATAAGGTTTTATTGGTTTACAGCCAGCCCATTCATTCTGTGAAGTGACAGCCAAATAATAGTAAATAGCCCACTTTGTAAATAAAGTTTTATTGACATACAGCCACACCCATTCACTTTGCACCAGACTGGTGCTGAACAGCCAGATTTAGTAAGGATGACACCAGTCTATCCCTAGCTGAAAATGAAGACGGCAAAGGTCTGTAATCTCACAATGTGAATCCTAGAGTTCACGAGATGGACAAGGTCCCTCTGCCTGGATGTGCAGAACAGCTGCTCACAGTTATGTTAGAGGCAGGCACACTGTGGACCCTCAGTCAGGCAACAACTGACAGGAAGCACAGAGAACAAAGGCGGCCCAGCCCCTCTTCTGCAAGTTCTGCGAATGGGTTGACTGCTGGTTCAGGAGCTGTTTGTTTTTTGAGACAGAGTTTCTCTGCGCAGTCCTGGAACTCGCTCTGTAGACCAAGCTGGCCTCCAACTCAGAGATCCACCTGCCTCTGCCTCCTGAACAGGAGCTGTTTCTTTTTTCTTTTGGTTTTTCGAGATAGGGTTTCTCTGTATTGTTTTAGAGGCTGTCCTGAAACTCACAGAGATCCGCCTGCCTCTGCCTCCGGAGTGCTGGGATTAGGCGGATCTCTGTGAGTTCGAGGCCAGGCTGGACCGACAGCCTCCAAAACAATACAGAGAAACCCTGTCTCGTAAAAAAAAAAAAAAAAAAAAAAAAAAAAAAGGCGTGCGCCACCACCGCCTGGCAGGAGCCAAGACTCTTAATAGAAAGCGAAAGCGCTGGCCACACTAAGAAGACTGGTGTGTCTGCTTCAATATGTTAAATAGACTCCTTAGACCTAACAGTTATTATTTTGCATCTTACTATACAGCTCTTGGCCTTGAGCTCACAGATAGAGCAAGGATGAAAGGTCTGCACCATCAGCCTGGCTCAGCAGACAAGCTGTTTGGTGTTTTTCGCTTTCCTGTGCTTAGGATGGAGCCAGGCTTTCAGGCCAGCTGCTAGTTGAACTGGCTTTACTGAGCCCGACTCACACCAGCCCAGGAGGCAAAGCTACATACACAGCTGGCAAGACGCAGGCCCACCACTGCAGAAAGCAGGAAGCCAGGAAGTAAGACTTACGGGGTTGGAGCCCCTCGACTCAAGTCCCCACTGAGCTTCACAGCCCACTGCTTCCTGACACCGTCCATCCCACGCTATCAGGGCAGCTCTGGAAAAGAGGAGGGTGGCATAGACTCCGTTCCAAGGGTGTTGAGACAGCCATGCTGCTCAGATGTAGCACCACATGGAAGGACAAGACCCAAGGACCAGTCCCAGCCTGAGTAGCAGCTGACAGGAAACTCATCCTAATGTATAATCTGCAGCCATGGCCATGCCACCTGGACCACCTGGACCCCTTCCTGTGTACTGCTATGGTCCCAGAGGCAGCCGAGATTCTCCTGATAGCAATGGATATGATGGCGTCCAGCTCATGCACTGAGGCTGTGTGTCAGGGAAGCCCTGGGAGACAGGAGGAGCAGCCTGGCTGGAAGGAGGCTGAGGCACGGTCAGTCCTGCTGTCTGTGGGGCAGCCTCTGCCACAGTCCCCGCCCGTCTCCACTGGTCCCCACTGTCCTGAGGGTCTCCTCACAGCAGATCAGAGTCCAGGGAGGAGGACAGCAGCAGAGACCTAGGGAACCATGAGTCAAGATGAACCCTTCTTTCCTTCTGCCCAGGGTCTGTCAAGTGACATCAGAATAAGACGACAGCCATTTCAAAGGGGACCCTCACTAGAATCTCTCAGATTCAGAGAGAAACAGGCAGACAGGGACTCGAGACAGCACAAGTGAGGAAGGGTTCCAGTCTCCCGCCAGGCATCAAGAGCCTGTGTAGGTTTGTGCAGCTCCAGGGACATGGAGTGGGGAGCGCTACATGCCCTGTGTGGACATTCAGGGCGGCGATGACAGGAACACGCCTCTGCGGTTTGTCCAGGAGCTGTCAATGCACTCATCACCTGAAGTGAGGCGGCAGCTCATGGTCTCACGTGAGTAGACAGATGTCTCAGATCTGAGGAGGAAGGAAGCCCAAGGGCAATGTGCATCACGGCTCTACCTAAAGCTGGAGGGACAACAGGTCACAGGGCTCCCACGCTGTCATCATTTGGGCCCTGGAGGGCACCAGACACACCAGGTAGTAGCGATCATCAAGCCACAGCCCTAGGCTGACACTGTGTTCAAGACACAGTGACAGAGCAGGCTGCACCCGGCCACAGGCCTGCGGGAGCCTAGGGAAGTGAGGACCGTGCAGTCTACGGAAGTGAGGACGGCCAGGTCTAAGGGAAGCCTGAGAAAACAAGTTGCCAGTTTGCAAACACCCGAGCAGACCCAATGCCATGCCCACCAACGTCAGCATGGCTCAGGGGTAAAGTGCTCAGAGCCACATGTGATCCCAGACACACACTGCTGTGTAATGGTAAAAACAAGACAAAAACACCTGGCAGTAGGGAGGGCCATGAGTGACTGGCGACCTCAAGGAGCCTGGGCAGGAGGGTCAGAAGCCTGAGCTACACTGCAGCAGTTCCCACCAGGAAGAAGGTGAGGGTGCTGGCTTCCCGCTCGTGAAGTCACTGCAAAGGCTGCAGTGACAATGCCAGGCTAGCCCGAGAACACATACAGATGGCGACCCAGTTGGCACACGCAACCACACGTGCGGCGACACTGTCAACACGGTGCCAAGCATGGCAGCCCATCCCCAGCAGTGCTGGACACGCGTCTGAAACTGCACCCTCACGCCCCACACACAAAGGCAGCTCAAGTTTAAAACTGCAAGAAAATAGGGGAAACTCAAGACCTTAACTGTGCAGCAGCTTCTAAAGCTTCATACTGAGAGTGATGTGGGAAAAAATTAATCACGACTTTGTGCATCAAAACCATGACCAAGCAGAGAAAAGACAGAGATGGAGGTGAGAATCTGTAGCCCAAACATCTAAGAGTCGGTGGGTGCACAGCAAGGACTCAGTCAGCTGCAGCTGCCAACATTGGCTCAGCAATCACGAGCATCAAGCACAGGCTGCCCTCAGAGGACCCAGGCCCAGCACCCATGTGGAGAGTCACCTGTTACTCCAGCTGCAGTGTATCTGGCGCCCTCTTCTGGCCTCCATAGGCACCTACAGTCATATGACGCACATAAACTCAGACAAAACACACACACAAATAGTAATAAATAACACATCTTAAAAGCCAGTACACAGACATGATACACTGGGGAATGCAGTCAAAGCCAAGACACATCCCACCTGACAGTTGTTGAACAGTTAAAGACAGAGTGGACACGGGGGAATGGAGCCACCGATAAGAAAAACACTTCCAAATTCTTCAGAAAGTTAAATGAAACTGCCGTGTTTACAGGAAGCCCACAGAGGCACAAAGTCAAGCTGCCATCAGGCCTCCAAACAATTACTTGTACAAGTCTGTTCATGGCAGAATTATTCCCAACAGCTTCAAGGCAAACCAGACCCCCAGTCCACAACACAAATGGATGAAATGGACAAACCCACACTCAGGAGTATTTTTACTCAGCCATTATTCAGCTAAAAGGAGGGCACTAGCAAAGGCTAACACAGACAAATCTGAAAGACATGGCACTGTCACAAGGCCACAGACCAGTGACAAATGTCCAGAGCAGGCAGACCTAGATAGGAAGCAGACAGAAAGCAGGCTGGAGACCAGTGGGGTGAGTGCTAATGAGGACAAGGTCCCCTTTTGGAGGCATGTACCCTGTAACTGGCTAAAGGACAGTTGTGCCACCTGGTAAGCAGGCGGCACGGCACAGAACCGTGTCCTTTTCTATGAGACAGTGTCTATGTAGTCCTGACTAGTTTGAACTTGCTCGGCCAACCAGGCTGGCCTTGAATTCAGAGACAGCGTGCCTCTGCCTCTAAGTGCTGGGATTAAAGGAATATGCTACCACACCTGGCCGAGAATTGTATAAAGTGAAGTAGAATTTCATCTCTACTTTTCAACGAGACTAATATGCATAAGTAAAAAAGGAAGAGGAGGAGAGGAGGCGCGGCCTACACCTCTGGCAAGCCTCAGGCCACAGCTGGGGAAGAAAACCAAGTGCAGATGCTGGTCCTGGGCCACACCCTGCCTCGAGCCCCCTCCCCCTCCTGCAAGCCTGGGACCACAGTCCTGACACTGGCTCCACCTCCATGTGAGGCAATGCTCCTCCTCCAAGAGTACTGCAGTCACTGTGTTTATGACACACATCAGACTATAGCTCCTCAGGCAGCTTGTGGGGAAGATCCTAGGCACTTGGTACTCACCAGGGACCGCTTTGCCTCAGGCAGGAACTGTCCGAACTCTGACAGCAGGTCCTCCTGACCACGGAAGAGGTTGGCCACCTCTGTAAAGACCTCCTCCTCAGACATACCACGGAATGGACGACCCTTAGTGTGCAGCTGTTCCTTCTGCAAGCGGAAAGAAGAAAGGAGACTTGGTGATGGCAAGGTCCCTGCAGAGGACAGGCCCAGAGTGCTGGCCATAGCATGTGCGCTGCCCCAGTTCCCACTGCGAGATCAGCTCAAGGCTCCTCCATTTCTTAGAGCCTCAGCTTTGCCCTCTGGGTGGAGAGGAGCCCAGAGCACTGTGCTCACTGGTTACTCTTGCAGGTGGGTTTCTGACAGGAATACCCCTAAGTTACGTTTCTTTTTTTTCTTTTTTCTTTTCTTCGAGACAGGGTTTCTCTGTGGCTTTGGAGGCTGTCCTGGAACTCGCTTTGTAGACCAGGATGGCCTCGAACTCACAGAGATCTGCCCACCTCTGCCTCTCGACTTGTTTTTTTAAGAGAACAGTATCCCAGCCAGGTGTGGTGGCACACTCCTTTAATCCCAACACTTGGAGGCAAAGGCAGGTGGATCTCTGAGTTTGGGGCCAGCCCAGTCTCCAGGACAGTCAGAGCTACACAAATCTTGTCTCAAATACAAAAGAAAGGTGACAAAGGTGTCACCACAAGCAAGCACAGGTCACCCCTCAAGCCATCCTGTGTGATGACTCAGCAGAGACATAAGTCTGGTGGTTAAGTGCAGCCAGCTGGCTGGTGTGCCCCCAAGAATGCAAAACTTTGCCACCACTGTGCTCTCCCTGGAGTCAGGCTACGCTGGGAGCCACACCACGCTGTCACTGAAGTTTCTACATTGACATAACTCAAATTACTTCCCCATCACACACTGATGGAGCCTGTGCTATCAAACGTGGACCATCATTGGGGTTCTCCAGGTTCATGAAGAGTCTAGGTGAGCTCTATGACAATGAACTTGTATGCCAAGAAATCTTATTTATCTGTGCAACTCTGTGTGTTGTATAGGGCTGGGGACATATTCTGTCATTTTAAGTGTTAGCTGTTGAACCGGCTCAGAAAGTTTAAGAATCAAGGCTGTGTCCTTCGACCCCTCGACCTTTGTACAGGCTGTCCCCAACCTTCTTTCTCCCGCTACTGTACCAGGGGTTGGAAGTGGCTACCCACACATTTCTCAACACACACCCCTTTCCCACCCCAGCCTAGTTAGAAAGGAGTCTAACTAGGCTGGACACTGAGGGTGTCACCTGACTGAGGAAGTTACCTGAGTCTCTGGCTGGGGTGTGGTTTGGAGCATATGTCTGGTCAGCTTGTGAGGCCCTGGTCTCCACTGTCATCTCTTAAATACTCAGGAGGAGAGGGCTAGGCTCCAGGAACTGTAGTGGGTGGGCCTTACCTGGTAGGTGTGAAGAATCTCCAGGAAGGACCTGTAGACCTCAGGGTGGTCCAGAAAGCGGGTCTTGATCTTGTTCACATAGCTGATAGCATTGTTGAACTCCACAGAGTCCGACTCCAAGGGCACCTGGCCTCTGTCCTCCTTGTAGGACATCTGCTTGAAATCCTCACCACAGTCACCGTGGCTGTGGGAATTCTCCTGCAAAATATAGGCAGTGGGGTGGCCAGGGAACAGTGAGTTGTCACTGGCAAGCATTGCTCCTCTAACACCCAGGGCCCATAGGAACAAAGTACTGCCTCCCTCTGGGGTCTCCCCCAGTCTCCTACACCTGGAATTGTAGTTTCAACAAGGTTCCTTCCACCCCTGTAGTCCTGAGACTGGATCACCCTAATCTAATTAGCCTGGCTTTGACTCTGGCCAATCTCTTGCCTAGCCTCTCCAGTGCTGAGATAGAGGTTTGCTTTCTATTTTTTAAGAGATCAACATGTAGGGGGAAAATCACAAATCTTGGAAGCTGAACCTTGTTGGAGCTATGTGCGGGGTGATGTCCCCATCTTAGCAAGACTGTTCTCAAGTAGGAACAACGGCTGCTGGCTTCAAGGGACCATCACAGTGCCTGTGTCTCTAGCCACACCTAGCTCAGGTGATTCTTACAACAGGGCCTCTGGGTGCTAAGCCCCAGGACAACTGAAGTAAATAGGCATCAGCCACCAGAGCCAAACACTGAAAAGCATCTTACTTGTGCCTAGTTTTCTTCAGCTATAAACACAAACATGTCCGTCTCATCCCTATGGAATCTTGCTTTGTCGGGAAAACTAGAATCCTGATGTTTGGTTCTTTGACAGTTCTAGGAGTGGAACCTGGGGCCTCAAGTCCAGGCAAGTGCTTGACTGGAGCTGTAGCCTGGCCAGAATGTGGAGGAACAGCAGCTGGGCTTCCTGGAACCATGCTACGCTTCTGCATTGGTCACTGTCGCTACAGCTCAGCTGGAGGTTCCAGTCACACGACATGCTGTGCCCTCAACACTTCTTAAAAGAATGCCAACAGCCAGGTGATGGTGGCGTACCCCTTTAATCCCAGCACTGAGGAGGCAGAGGCAGAAGGATCTCTGAGTTCAGGGCTAGCCTGGTCTACAGTGAGCTCTACGACAGCCAGGACCACACAGAGAAACCCTGTCTGGAAAAAAAAAAGAATGCTGGGCAGATTTCATTAGTGCCCACCCAAATGGCCTCATCCGGTCCATGTTTACTCAGTCAAGGCCCCATCTCCAAATGAGTCCTCAGTACCCAAGGGAAACAGGCTTCAGGACTCTTCTCCAGAGCTTTCAATTGCAGCTCAGCATCATACAGATGCACACAGCCCCCACAAGCATCCACTATCTCCAGGCATTTACAACACCAGGCATACTGTCAGTAGCCCACCTTGTAGACTAGAGAATGTGGGGTGTGGCTCAGATACAGTGCACCCCACCCCCAGCAAGGGCAAGGACCAGGTTCCATCCCCAGGACCCTAAGCCAGTCTGCATGCTCAGTACACACGTATATCCCCTGAAACATCCAATCTGTGGGCACCTCCTGTGGCAGGTCAGAACTCAAGGATCAGAGGCCAACACGCAGTAGTATTCTCAGGTATTAGGGGCTGAGCTTCAACAGACAACCAGAGACCAAACTGGGCTGATGATCGTAGACAGACAAGAAGTGCTAAAAAACAAAGCTCCTGCCCATGCTCAAGGTCACAGGGCAAGACTGGGGCGTCCCCAGCCACTTATGGACACACTCCAGCACTGTATGGTCCCTCTGGTCCCCTGAATAAGCCAGTATAAGCATGACAGAGAGCCAGCTCTCCAGCCAGGGACTCTGTAGAAGGCACCAGACAGTGGTGACAACAGTTACTATGGCAACAGCCTTCAGCTCAATAATCCAACTGAGAATTTCCCTACAGTCAAGCAGTTGCAATCCTACAAAGCAGACTCATTATACCAACATTCAAGAAAGCACAATTCCCAACAGCCAACAAAAGGTGGAAACAACTCAAACACCCACCAGATGAACGAACAAAACATGGTCCATAAAGTGGAACATTACTCAAGAAAAGAAACAGCAACACACTAAGGTGAGTGTGACCATCGTGTGTAATCACACTCATGTGAACTGCCCAGAACAGGTAACATACACAGACAAGCAGCAGGAGAATAGTTGGCAGGGTTTGTTTCTAGGGTGATGCAATGTTTTGGAATTAGTGGTTACGATTGTATAGATGTAACACAATTTTCTACTGGGACCTTTGGCCCTTACTCAGGGAAAAGCAATAGCAGATAATTGTTTTCCAAGTCTCCTGCTAGTGGTATGGCTATCTGTCCTCCACTTTCACAGAGGTAGATAAGATAGGTTCTTACTCTGCAGCCTAGGCTGGCTTTGAACTCATGGCAATCCTCCTTCCTCCTGAGTGCTGGAAGGACACCCTGAATCTAAGTCCCCAGCTCTGCTTGCCCCGCAAGCCCTGAGTTGTCAACTGGGGCCGTGGTGCTTACCAGCCTAACACTTTCAGCTGCTAGAGCAAGGGAACTGGTAACCCTGATATTGTGAGGGCAGACGCCCTGGGTGCTAACCACACGCCAAAGCACAAAGCTCCTCTCAACAAAGAATGAGGCTCAGAAACCCCACTGTCGGAACCCCATTAGGTGGGCACTCCCTCAGCACGTAAGTGGACAGTGCTCATCTGTGGTTGTTAGGTCACACTAATGAAATGAACCAGAGAAAGGAAAAGCTGTACTTCAGTGGTGAAGCGAGGGTGCAGAGCTTCCATTACAGCAGTCTGGAAGCTTAATCAGGGGACTGACAAGTTCCAGCACCAGCCTGGGCTACAGAGACCACATCTCCTATAAGGAAGCCAGCAAAGACAAAAAACTGACTTGACAGAATTGAAATCAGCAGGTGCCGACATGTGGCGGGACCTGTAAGGTTTCCTGCTGAGATGGGATCCCAAAGGCTCCAGGAATCCTGAAAGGCATCTGTGAACCATTAGAGAGCAGGAAAATACCGGGGTCACAATGAGGGCTGAGCACTAAACAGGCCATCACTGTCACTGAGACCAAGGGGCTCCAGAGAACCCTGAGGCAATGAGACTCAAGACTGGCAGAAGTGCCCGTCTCTGCCATCCTTTCTGTAAGTCACTGGGCCCCTTGGTCACTCAGCTACCTAGAGGAAACCCTATGCAGGCTAGAGCCCTGTGAGATATACAGGGAACAGTTCACCCCATGAACCAGACCCTGTGAGATACACAGGGAACAGTTCACCCCATGAACCAGACCCTGTGAGATACACAGGGAACAGTTCACCCCATGAACCAGGCCCTGCTCCCTGCAGCTTTCTAGGGAGCAGCAATGGTGTTCAGATACACACTTTAGGAGCTGTTCTTCAGTCTCGACAACACGCCCACTGCTTTATAGTTCTGCCACACAGGTTCCAGGAGTTACTCTGATAAGGCTTTGATGGCCATAGATCGGGTTCTAGGCACAGTTGGGAACTGTAAACCTGTGAACTCAGTGGCGGGTGCTTCTGCAGGCTGATGGGCGGGACCAGCAGAACTTACACAGGAGCCACTCAGGGACATGCCAGGGCCACAGCACCCTTTCAGAGTCCCTCTCCAGCTTCACTGTCATCCCAGCACTTGGAAGGCTGAGGCATGATGATGAGTTTCAGACCTAGACTGAGGCAGAGTGGGAGCACAGAGGCTGCAGAGCCCAAGCCTGAGCTGAGGAGGGAATCAATGGTGAGTCCATCAAACAGTGACAGACAACAAAGTTATCCCCATGCACACAGTCAACACTTGGTTTTAGAGAGCAGGGAAACACCGGTCACAATGAGGGCTGAGCACTAAACAGGCCATCACTGTCACTGAGACCAAGGGGCTCCAGAGAACTTGGTTTTATTGCTGGCCTGAATGGAAGCCATCAAATGTAGACTTTGTTGAGAAAGCTGAGGGCAAACTCAGCAACAAGTGAGCAGAGACTGAGCATAAACTCTCCTTGACTCCATCACCCCATCCACCCACCCCAAGGGCTGGGGCCGAACCCAGGACCCTGCCCATGCTAAGAGTTCTCTCCCACACCAAACCACACCCCCAGCCACTATACTTGATTTAAGACCTCCAGACTTCACTTCAGGCTGCAGAGGCTGCCTGTGTTTCTACCTTGACTTGGACCAGAAGCAATTAGAGAGCCTAGAACAGCCTGTACAGGCTTCGGGCAGTGTCACAGATGCCTAGCTAGCTGTGCTCCCTGCGGGCATGGCTCGAGGTCCACATCACTCAAATGAAGCCTACCTGGCTGGTCAAAGGCGACTGGATGTTCAACTTGCCGTTCTTGGGAATATCTATACGGTATCCAAGCGGGAGGAAAGCATTAAATCCCACAATGAGGTCAGGGTGCTCATGGAAGAGCTGGGACACGCGCCTGATCACGCCAGGGGTGTCGATGCTGGAAAAAAAGAACACAAATGGGCAAGAGTCCTAGGAGCAAACTGGAAAACTCCACTCTCAAGTGTCCATGAGGCAAAGACACCTGCAATGGGCCCCACCATGATTTTGCTTTTCCTGTTTGAGACAGTTTCTTTGTGTAGCCCTAGCTGTCCTGGAACGAAGACCAGGCTGGCCAAGAACTCAAGAGATCTGCCTGCTTCTGCCTTGGTTAAAGGCATGCACCCCCACACCCTGCTTTAATAAAAAGGAAAAGGGCGGCACCACAATGTGAGACCACCTATGATTAGATCCAGCAAGAAACCCATTGCACCCAAGCCATCTGAGCTCCTGGCCCCAGTGCAGAAAATGTCCCAAGACCTGGTGCAGAAGGCCACAATTCTCCAAGCAATGTGAGATATCTCTAGCATTTCACCAATCAGGGAAAGGTAAGGATCCATTTTGGGTTTTGTTTTCAAGACAGGGTTTCTCTATGCAGCTCTGGCTGTCCTGGAACTCTTTATAGACCAGGTTGGCCTCAAACTCAAGAGAGCCATCTGTCTCTGACCCCCGAGTGCTGGGATTAAAATGTGTCACCACTGCCCAGCCACTTTGATTTTTTTAATTAAACGAGACGTGTTAACACCAGAGTCTTCAAGTTAGGGGACTGGGAAAGACGGAAAGGCACGGGGAAGGTTACCTTCTGGCCTTAACATGCCAAATACCCAGAAGAAAACCACCCTAGGCCTTTCACACTTCCTGAGAGCAGACAACGGCAAAGCAGTACCAGGACGTGTGGGAAGCTGACACCCACCTGTCACTAGGGTAAGTCCTAGAAGGTTCTGGAAGACACAGGAATAACTCAGAAGCACCACACTACAGTTTGTGTTTTATGTCCCTTATATCCATATAGGCGCCAAATTAGGAATGTTAGAAGCATCTTGGGGATAAGATTTAAGAAATGGTGCATCCCCCCCAGTAATGTTTTATTGCAATATTTAGCAAAAACTGTTTCTCAAAACAATCAAAATTTGTACCTCCAGCATTTCATAAACCAAACTCTTTAGACAGTTTCAATACTGTTAGGTTAAAAATGAACTTTTTGCATCTGGGCTATCACCACAGCTCCCAAGTGCAGGTGAGACACGGGAGGGGGGGGGTCAGGCCTGGAGGCAAGCACCTTTATCTGAGCCACCTCACTGACACCCAAACCAACCTTTCCAAGAAAGCCCGGATCTCCCCCCTTCCCCAACTCCTGCCCTCCTGCCGGAATCCCCACCAGATCCTCAGGGGTACCTCATTCTGTGACTGTTTCAGAAGCTTCCCGGGCCCACCAAATCTATGCAAGGTCACCGGCTTAAAGGCCAAGGTGTAGTTAGCATTGGGGGGGAAGGGGGGTCATTCAGCCTACTCCTCCCGGGTGCACAAGACCCTGCAGGTTACCTCTGGCTTTTGAACTCCTTCATGATCTCCAGGAAGCCGTTGTAGGTGGCAGGGTCGCTGCCAAAGCGGATCTTCACCTGGTCAAGGTAGGTGAGAGCGTCCTCCACCTGCGAGGAACGAGAAGGCCGCGGGTGGGCTGGGGGTCAGGGACGGAGAAAGAGCAGCGCAGGGCGGCTCAGGGCCTCGAGATTAACTGCGGGGTTCCGGGGACGGCCGACGAGGACGACCAAGGGCCAGCGGCCAGTCCCGAGGGGCCTCGGAGACCCGAAGAGTTCCGGGTCGGACCGAGGGCCGGCGGGGAGGACCGAGGGGTCTCGGGAGGCCGTCAGGTCCCTTGGAAAACCAAGGCTCGGCGCGAGTAGCTAAGGGCCAACGAAGAACGGGGGGGAGGAGGGGGGGCGGAGCGCACCGCGGGGTCCCGGGTGTGACAGGGGCCGCAGGAATGACTGAGGGCTGGCAAGAAGGACCGCGGCATCTCCGGGGGGACCGAGGAACGGCGAGAAGGAATGAAGCCTTAGGGGGAAACCGAGGGGCCGCCGGGACGACCGAAGGATCCCGGGGAAGGGGTGTGGGGTCCCCGGCTGCGCAGAGGAGGCCGAGGCGGGGCCGCGCGGCAGAGCGCCGGCCCGCGCGTTTTCAGGTCCCCGGGAGGAGTCCGGGGACGTCACTCACGTGCACCGGCAGCTTCTCGTGGCCTCCGGAACCCGAACGACCCCAGCGGGAGCCGCCGAATCCCCGGCCCGCGGAGCCTCCGCCGCCTGCGTGCGCCATGTTGGAAGTCAGAACCGCGTCTGCCCCGCCTCCGCCTCGAGCCCAGGTCGCGCTTGCGCGGGCCCCGCCCCTAGGGGGTGGAGACTCGCGGCGTCGTGATAGGGGCGTGTTCGCACGCGGAACTCTCGGAGGGACGGGGCGGGGCTGTGGGGCCGCGGGGCGTGGGGGGGCGGGGCGGTCTAAACGCGTGCACCCTAGCTAGGGCTCCGTGGCGACCAGGAAGCCCAAAGGGTTTTTTTAATTTTATTTTGTTGGGGGAAAAATAATTTTTAGCCAAGTTAGAAAATATTTTTTAAAATAATTTATTTAACTTTATTTTATGTGCATTGGAACTAGAATTACAGACAGTTGTGAGCCGCCAGTGCTCTTAACCACTGAGTCATCTCTCCAGCCCCCTAGAAAACATTTCAAAAAGCATTAATTTTATAAAATTCACATTTTGGTGTTCAGGCTCGCCTGTCATCTCAGTATCAGGAAGGCTGAGGCAGCAGGATCACTGAGTTCCAACCCGGACTGGGGTACATAGTTAAGAACATTTCTTAAAAGACATTGACAATTAGGTGTTGACAATATCTCAAAAAGAGAGACAGTGACAACGGAAACAAGTCTACATATCTGTTAACGCACGATCTGGAGAGATATTTGTAAGGATCTCGTTCTTTCGGGAAAGTTCTGGACTCTAATGTGGAGTTGGTGAGGCAGTGTGCTATGGGGGAGCAGCAGCCATTCTAGAGCCACGTGGGCTGACTTTTTACACTGAGTGTGTGCGTGTGTACGTACGTGTGTATGCGTGTGTGGTGTGTGTGCGTGGTGTGTGTGCGCGTGTGCGCGCGTGTGAGTGTGTGTGTAGATAAGCTCACTCCTGCGTGTGTGTCCAGAGGCCAGAGGTGGTGTCTTTCACCCACCACCTTACATTTTGAGACCGGATCGCTCACTAACTCTGGAGTTCAGGGTTTCCACTGGACAGGGCTGGGGTCAGGGCCGGCCAGTGTGGCTCCCCCTGCTTGCCCGCAGCAAGCCTTCCCCACTAAATCACCTCTCCAGTCTCATTTTCTTGATCCCATTCATGGCTGGGCTGGAGCTTGGACCATGCTGCTTCCAAACATACTTTAGACTTTATTTTTGTGGCGCAGGGACCGGGGCCCAGGGCCTTGCACAGTTTGCCAAGTGCTCTCCAGAGGCCTCACTAGGTGGCACAGGTCACTGTCCAGCTCCCAGCCCCTGAGTGTCCTGCCTTCACCTCCCGAGACTTGGAAGTCAGGTGCACCACCACTCAGCTCCAGATTCCCATCCTTCCTTTCAATTAGAGCTTTCCTGGGCTGTTGGCAAGACAAGTCAATGAATGTAGAGTTGTTTTAAGGTCCATCCCAGCCACTGATTTTAAAATATACAACAAGAAAAAAACACTGCATTTACTTGTGGGTAAAGTTATCCAGATATATAATTCTTCCTATACTTTCTTATAGAAATGTCCCCTTTCATAAGTATATCTGTAGCCAGGCATGATAATGCATGCCTGGGAGCCCAGCACTTGGGAGGGGGGTCCCAGCCACCTCACTGAATTGCTAATCCCAGCCACCTCACTGAATTGGTAACCTCCGTGCCAGGCGTAGACCCTGTCTCAAAAACAGGAAGTGAGGTGGACAGCCTCGCAGTTAAGAGCACTTGTTGCTCCCGCAGAGGCCACACAGTGGTCACAGCTGCTTGCAAACCCAGTTCCAGGGACTACGACACCTTCATTGACCTCCACTGGCACCAGCGGTGCACAGGCACACGTGCATCAAACACTCATGCTCATAAAATAAAGAACTTTTAAAAAGGGGGGTGGGAATCAATGGAGGAAACTACCTGATGTAGCCCTCTGGCCCCCATACGCGTGCTGGCAGCTGCTGCACGCATGCGCGCGCGCACACACACACACACACACACACACTAAGGTAAACAGAGAGCCGGCCTCTGAGCCCCACACTCACCCACCTGACTCATTAGCGCTCACCTCCTAGCTGCTGCCTCCTGCCAGTCCCCACCCCAGCCGTGTCCAAACCCCAGCATTCACTGTGCATGTCAACGGTGATGAAGATTCATGCTCATGCTTAAGACTCCAAAAGAGCCAGCTGTGCGGCGCACGTCTTTAACCCCAGCATTTGGGAGGCAGAGGCAGGTGGATCTCTGTGAGGTCAAGGCTAGCCTGGTCTACACAGCGAGTTCCAGGCAGCCTGCTACACAGAGAAACCCTGTCAAAAAAAAAGACTCCAGAAGAGTTTGTTTCAAACAGGCATGGTGGCCACCTGTCCTCCAGCAATTGGGAGGCAGAGACAGGATCCCTAGGGCAAGCTGGCCAGCAAAAATGGTTGAATTGGCCAGCTGCAGGCTAAGTGAGTGCTGGATAGTTTTGTGTCAACTCAAAACAAGCTGAGTCATTAGAGAAACGCAATTGAGAAAATGCTTCCATCAGACTGACCGGTGAGCAAGTCTCTGGGGACATTTTCAGGATTGAAATGGGAGGCTCCAGTCCACTGAGGGCAGTGCCAATCCTGGGCTGCTGGTCCTGGGGTGTCTAAGGAAGCAGCTGAACAAGCCATGGGGAGCAAACCAGTAAGCAGCACCCTCCATGGCCTCTGCATCAGCTCCTGCCCCCAGGTTCCTGCCTTAAATTCTCGTCCTGATGTCCCTCGGCGAGGGACTGTGTTGTGGAACTGTGAGCTGGGGTGAGCCCCTTCCCTCTCAAGCTGCTTCCAGTCAGGATGCTTCATCATAGCAGCCTATGAATATTGACTCTAATTCAATACGTAGGTCAGCCTCCAGGTGGATGCGCACATGTATGCCTGTGAGCCCGTGCACACGGGACCAACAGGCCCGAGACTGAAGTTAAGCTGGACATGGTGATGTCCACCGGTCATCCGGTACAGCCTGGGCTACAGAGACATGTCTCCAAGCTACCAGCGAGAGGAAGGAGAGTGCACTGGCTAGGCCTGGCCTCCGCTCCCTGACAGAAAGGGCTAGCCTGTAGGTCGGAGGCAGAACAGAGAAAATCAACCCTGCTGGCTTTTGCTCCCAGAGACAAGCAGGTCCCTGGGAACCGAGGTCTGGCCTTGAGCTAAGAACCCAGGGGAGTTGGCATCCTGTGAGATACTGAACAAAGGCCCCCGTGACACTGAGCAGAATTGCTGATCCTCAGAAGCAACCAGATAAAAATGTGCTGGTGTTGGACACATCTTGCAACAATTTGTTACCGAGCAACAAAGAACCACCTCAGCCCCTAAGTCCTTGTCCCAGAAAGCGCCCTCCCAGGGTGCCCGCTGCTGTGAGAACTGCTGAGTCAGAGGACTTGTTTATCAATCGCAAACCCAGCTCTGCCAGGAGACAGGCTGGCTGTGAGGGGTGGAGGGTGTGGAGCCTAAAGATGGAGGGGGGCTCCTCTCAATGTGACTGAAGGAAAAATCTAGGCCAGGCACCTAAGAGGCAGGAGAATCACCATGACTTTCAGGTCAGCCTGGGCTACATAATAACCTGTCTCAACATAACAATGAAAATCTATTATAAAAAATTACAGCTTGAGCCATTGAGATGGCTCAGTGGGCACAGGTACTTGCTGCCAGGCAGGATGACAGCAGAGCAATCTTCCCGTGGGACACAGTGGGTCCTGCAAATTGTCCCCTGACTTGACCTGCATGCTATGGCAGGGACCCAGGGTCATCGTAGTCACTGTTCCATTGCTGTGATGAGACACCACAGCCAACGGAGACAACTCTTAGAAAAGAAAGCATCTAATTGGGGGCTTGCTTGTGGTTTCAGCGGGAGCACGGTGCCAGGTGCTACAGAAGTAACTGAAGGGAGCATCGTGACCCAGAGGCAGAGAGACACGGCCTGGCATGCGCTTTTGAAACCTCGGAGCCCACTCCCTCCAGCAAGGCCACACCTCCCAGTCCTTGCAATCCTTCCAAACGGTTCTACTTCCTAGTAACAAAGCATTCCGTACATGAGCCTGTGAGGCTGTTCTTACTTAAACCAGTACCCTCAGCCACACACCCACACATGCCCTTAGCACAATGTACAGACCATTTTAAATCTTTGTTTGGGGTCAGGAAGGTGACTCAGTGGGTAGATCAACTACCACAAAAGTTTTCGGACCTGAGTTCTAATCCCACATATCCACATAAAGCCAGATTACAACAGCAGGAAGTTGTTGCAGCACTTCTGAGGGAGATGAGAGTGGAGACAGGGAACCTGGGAGCTCACAGGCCGGCCTGGCTCCTGAAACAGTCAATGAAAGACCCCGTCTTGCCGGGCAGTGGTGGCGCACACCTTTAATCCCAGCACTCAGGAGGCAGAGGCAGGCGGATCTCTGTGAGTTTGAGACCAGCCTGGTCTACCGAGTAAGTTCCAGGACAGCCAGGGCTACACATCTCAAAAAAAAAAACAAAACAAAAAACAAACAGAAAGACCCAGCCTCAAGGCGGCCTTTGACCAGCACATGCAAATACATACATGTATGCGGGCACAAACATAAAAGTTACAAAAAAATTTTAAAGCATCTGTGTAAATATCCAGGTGTGGCAGTCCACAGCTTGTTCTATCACTCGGAGGAAGATGGAGAGGATCAGGAATAAGGTCCTATTTGACTACATAGAAGCTTCCAGACCAGCCTGGGATACATGAGACCCCCCCCCCAAAAGAACACAGCTTGGCAGTTAAGAGTCCATGCTGCTGTAGAGGACCCATATTCGGTTCTCAGCACCCCATCGAGCAGCTCACAAACACCGGCAACTCCAGTCCAGGGGCCAAGCACCCTTCTCTGCCTCCCCCCCCCCCCGAGCACTTGCAATCAGGTGCTCCCAATCAAAACCATTGACTCTTTAGCAACAACAACGGGCTGCAGAGATGGCTCAGCAGTTAAGAGCACCGGTTGCTCTTCCAGAGGACCCAGGTTCAATTCCCAGCACCCACACGGCAGCTCACAGCTGACTGTAACTTTAGTCCTAGAGATCTGATGCCATCTTCTGCCCTCCATGGGTTCACGGATATACATGCAGGCAGAAAACCCTATACACATAAAAAATAAAGTTTAAAAAAAAGAATGCTTGCTGCTCTTAGCGAGGACATAAATCCAGTTCCTAACACCCACATTGTGCAGCTCATAACTGCCTATAACTCCAGCTCCAAGTGTGCAAACCACACACAGGCACACACACACCACTTAAAAACATAACAAAAATAAAAACGTTAGAGCCAGGTGTGATGACACACACCTTTAATCCCAGTACTCAGGAGGCAGAGGCAGACGAATCTCTGTAAGTTCAAGACCACCCTAGTCTACAAAGTAAGTTCTAGACCAGTCAGGGTTACACAGAGAGATCCAGTCTCAAAAAACACAACACAAAAACAACAGCAACAACAACAAAAAACCCAAATTCTTAGGAAAACAAAACAAAGGAATGTGTATACATATGTATGTGTGTATGTATATATGTAAAATAAAAGTTTATTGGTTTTGATCATTGTGTTGGTTTTCCGTGCCCCTTAAGTCTTGTACCTGAGGTGACTGTCTTGCATGGCTCACCTGAGTCGCTCTGAAATGGCTCACTGTTTAGGGGGTGTCCTTGTACCTTCAGGAAAAATCCGTTGTGTACGGTTCAGCTTTCTGAGCCTGTGAAAATACATCCAAGATATACAATCCAAAAATAGGATACATGTAAGAATGCTTATTTTTTATTTATTTATTGTGTGTGTGGGTCAGTTCTCCTCTCACCATGCCAGTTCTGAGGGTCAAGCACCTTTATCCACTGAGCCGTCTTGATGACCCGGACGATTCATTTGACTCCCAAGTTTTACTGTTGTTTTTTTTTGGGGGGGGATGCTCACCTCCATGTTTTCCTTAGTCACTATATGGACCAGGCTGGCCTCAAATTCAGAGATCTACCTGTGGGATTTAAGGCATGCACCAACCCACTTGATCCCTTGCTTTTGGGTCCATGGCAGGCAGCAAAAGATGGAGCCAGCTGCCCACCTGATGGTGACCCAGAAACAGGCCCAGTGTCCTTCAAAGCCCTCCAAAGACATGTCCCAGTCACCTAACGCCCTCCCAAGAGGCCTGACCTCTCGAAGGCTCTGTTTCCTCCTGGTGGAGCATCCTGGAGAAACAACTCTCCTTCCTTTGGGATTTTGGTTTACCGAGACAAAAATTCCAAATGTCTGAGGCACAGGATGGCCTCAGATAATAGCAGTCCTCTGGCGTCAGCTTTCTGGGGCTGGTGTTAGCAGAGTGCCCCCACACCCTGGTGGAGGCTTTACACATAGGTCTCTGGGGTACATTTCAGACGAAGCCATAATGGTACATGTACTTCCTCACAGTGCGTTTGTGCTAGGTTCATAAAGGAAATGATGGGGTAAGGATTCAGATACCTCTGCTTGGCTGAGGCTTGCCTAGAATTCCTCAGGGAGGGGCTGGGGCGAGCCCCTGCCTAGCATATGGAAGACAGAGGTTCCATCCACAGCACCCTCCAACCCCAGACACATCTTTTTTTTTAAAGATTTATTTACTTATTATGAATACAACATCCTACCTCCACATCTGTCTGCAGGCCAGAAGAGGACACCAGATTTCGTTACAGGTGGTTGTGAGCCACCATGTGGTTGCTGGGAATTGAACTCAGAACCTCTGGAAGAGCAGTCAGTGCTCTTGACCTCTGAGCCATCTCTCCAGCCACCCCCCAGACGCATCTTAAAATAGAATGTAACATAAATTCATTATGTTAATAAAGCTATGAGCTAGAGAGGAAATAACACCCTCCTGTTGGGACCAGTTTGTTCTGTTGTCTGAGAATGTCGTTTCAAACATGGGCTGTGTCCCGTGATGTGATGAGGTCACATTGGTATATGAGAGTGTAAGGTGGGTAAAGACTTTCTCCGCCCTCAAGCACAGGCTGGTAACACCCAGAAAGAAGATTTCTTCTTCTCACCTACTGTAGTCAGGTGCCCCTGAAACTCACTGTGTAGTCCAGGACGGCCTCAAAGTCAATCCTCTTGAGTGCCTCAGCCTCTTGAGTGGCTGGGTGTGGTGGCCTTTGGACCCAGCACTCTGGAGATAGAGGTGGGGGATCTCTGACTGGTGAGTTCCAGGACAGCCAGGGCTACATAGACTCGTCTCAAAACAAAACCCAAACAAATAGAAAATGTATCTTAAAAAAATGTGAACATGGTAGTTAAGCCTTGCTGTGGACCTGACTGGCTGTGGGTTGCCTAGGATACACTCTTTTGTGTGTGTGTGAGGCCTGTTTCCAGGAGCCTAGCTTGAATACAGAGGCTGACAAACAAAGCTATACATTTGTCTACCCATCTGCTCAAATGTGAGCCGCTGCCCAGATCGGGAGCTAAAATAGACCCTTTCTGCCGGGTGGCGGTGAGGGCGGGAGACTCGTGAGAAATAAGCTTCACCTGCCTGGGGACGTGAGGCCAGCCAGCCTTGGAGAAGCCCAGACCACTGCTGCTCCAGAAGCTGCAGCAGCAAGCTTTCAGGCCAGCCTGGAGTCTGCTGGAGTCATTAGCATCAGCGTTCTCAAGAGGTCTCGCTTCCACCCTGGGTCCACAGGGCCAAGGGTCTGGGAGAAAGACCTGCTTACAACAATGTGGATTCACTCCGAAGGAGCAGCACAGGCTTCCCTGCTCCAAATGGGCACCCAGGACAGTGCTTTTCCAGGGTGAGCCTCAGGGGCACAGGCAGCTGCCACTGTGACCACCCTCAGCAGCATCCACCTTGTTATGATAAGGTGCGAGGTGAACCCTGGTGGATTCCACGGCAGGGCAGGCAAGGGTGACCTAGTCGGAGGGACCAACACGCCAGGCAGACAGAGCTAAAGTGAGAAGTTTTATTAGAAAGGAAAAGCAATGGGGGGAAGGAGGGGAGAAAAGAGGTAGCGAGACAGAGAGACAGAGAGAGGGCAGAAGAGAAGAGGGAAAAGCCCTGTTTGCCCCAGGGGAAAAGAGGGAAAGAGAGAGGGAAAAAAGAGCGAGAGAGCATAAGTGGGGGGGGGCTGTCTTTTAAAGGGGTCCTTTGCACCTGCGTGCAGACTTCCCAATTATGGACCCCTGGGCTGACCAGGGCACTGCCTGAGTGTATCCTGACAGGTGACAGGGCAGATCAGCATAATGCCTGAATCCTTACACACAAAATACGGTTTCTACAGACATTTGACTGGTTTTACGGGATCCAAGACTGAACTGGCCGTGGGGGCTTCCACCAAGGTTCCAGAAGGCCAGGCAATATATAGTTCAGGCCAGATTCCTAAAAGAAGGTCATGGAGGGGCCATGGTGGGGAGCTGTGGAGGTGAAACCTATATTGCAGCGGAACCCTGGGAGTTCATTTTTTACTGATGTTCTTGCGCCACCGACACCCATCCTTCCTTGGTATTATTTTACAGAAGTTCACAGTTAAGGGGATGCCTCAGTACAGGCTTCTGAACAGTACTTAGATTTCTACCCAATGTTAGAATTGTTTAGACTTTGAGGGGCTGGCAAGAGGGCTCAGTGCACCTGACCACCTGAGTTTGATAGCAACATCCATATGCTGGGAAAAGAAAAACCAAGTCTTACAAGTTGTCCTCTGAGATCCACATGTTACGTCCACAAGACTGACTCCGTTACAATATGAGTTAACTCGGGTCCCTCCGTCCATCTGAAGCAGAGGATTTTTATAGAGGAGAAGGCGAGTACGCTTGGGGATTTCAAGCCCGCAGACTTGGGATTGGCTGCCCCTCTAGGATAGGGGTTACTGCTTCCCTAGGCTTAAAGTCGATGGGGAGTCTGCCTCTAGACTAGCGGTTGCTACTCCACTATTTCCCTGACTGGAACGGTCATGCTCCTAGGTTAGAGGTTGCTACTTAACTGCTCGGGCATTGGTTGGTTTTTCCTGCTCAGGAATTGGCTGGTTTTATGTCAGGGGCAGAGGTGGCTCTGATTTCAGGGCCAAACTGTGTTTCTTCCTATGGTTCTTTTTAGCTTTTAGGCTCCAATTTTAGGACCAGGGCAAATTTCTTTTACAGGTTCTGATTCTAGGATCAAAGTGTGTTCTTTTGGCTCTGGTTTTGGAGTTAGGGTGTTTCCCCTGGTTCTGGGTTCCAGGATAAAGTGTTTCTTTAGCTGGTTCGGGTCCCAAATCCAGGGTGTGTTTTTTCACTAGTTCTGGGCTCAGAGCCCAGCTGTTCTGGGATTATATAGGGCTGTGGATCAGAGATTGCCTGGGGCCTGGGTCTGTCACACATGGGCATCATGGCAGTGTGTACGTCCCTCCCCAGTAAGATAAATGCAATTGTTGTGAGCATCTTCAGAGATAGATCAAATGCACCCTACATTATGTGATGGCCATGGCCCTAAGGACTGGGCGGGCTGGTGTGGCATGAGGTGGTAACAGGGAGTTGGTAAGGGGGAGTAGCCATGGGTCATCTTCGATGCCAATTTGCCTGAGAGTCTGAGGGCATTTCCAGATAGCCTTAGCTGAGGAGGGAAGGCCCACCCTGAACAGGGGTGGTACCACGTCAATGAAGTATCTGCCCCAACGTGAGCCACGGACAAAAGCCCCTGCTTCCGCCACAATGGACAGGAACAGCAAACCCTGAGCCCAGAGAAACCCTTCCTCGCCTTAAACTGCTATGTCCCATGTTTGTCCACAGCAACTAAATAATGCGGGCAGAGCCGGCTGCCTGCAGCAGGGCTTAGGGAGGAAAGTTGTCTGTGCCGGACGTTTCCATCCACAGCAGGGGTCACGGTCCAGCCACACCCCACCGTGGGACCCGGGGTCACAATCCGTACACACAGGCTCTCTCTCTATCTCTCTCTCTCTCACACACACACACCTGTGGGAGCCGGGAGTCACAGTCCATCCACACCCCACCGTGGGAGGGGGGTCATGATCCATACACACACACACACACACACACACCGTGGGAGCCAGGGGTCAGGCTCTGACATTCACACAGCAGTAGAAACCTCTAAAGGCTTCCACCCTGTGTATCTGCCATCCACCAACCCGGAACACATTGCTCAGTAACTGAATCTCCCTCAGACTGTTGCGATGAACACAGGAATTTTATTGTGTTTTGTTTTTGAGACAGGGTCTTGCTATATAGTCCAGGCTGGCCTCGAACTCACAGAGATCCTCTTGCCTCTGCTTCCCAAGTGCTGGGATTAAATGCCTGTGAGGTCATGCCCCAGATACTGGAATTTTAGGCCAGAAACTGTACATTAAAACTTTCCCTGTCATGAGGAACTCATCCTTTCTGTATTTGTTAAACCGATTCATGCAAAGCCTTTAATCCCAGCACTCAGGAGGCAGAGGCAGGCGGATCTCCGTGAGCTGGAGGTCAACCTGTCTATGGAGCTACAGAGAAACAGAGAAACCCTGTCTCAAAGAAAAAAAAAGAAGATATAGAAGAAGATAAAGAAAGAAGAAAAAAAGAAAGAAAGAAAGAAGCAAAAAAGTAGTCTTTCCCCATGAAGGGCTGTCCCTCAAGCTAAGGGTCCTTCAGTTAAATGGCGATGGTGGGAGACTTCCTAAAAGAGCGCGGTACACTCAATGACTACCATTCAGCCATAGAGAAGAAGAGCAAAGACTCATTTGTAACAAAATAGGCAGAACTGAAGGACATGCTCAATGAGGTGGGGCAGAGAAGGACGGTGCCACGCTCCCTGGTTCATACACCGGCCTTAAAGGCCGTGGGGCTGTAAGGACTGGCCTGGGACAGAGGTGAAGGTACATAGAGAGGCTGTCTGATGAGCGTGGGCTGCATTCACGCTGAAATATCTCTCAGGTCCCCATTAATATATACAGTTAGCACAGGGTAATAAAGACATTAAAAATCTAAAGTTAAGCCGGGCGTTGGTGGCGCACGCCTTTAATCCCAGCACTTGGGAGGCAGAGGCAGGCGGATCTCTGTGAGTTCGAGGCCAGCCTGGTCTACAGAGCGAGTTCCAGGACAGCCTCCAAAACAACACAGAGAAACCCTGTCTTGAAAACCCCCAAAAAAAAAAATCTAAAGTTATTGCTCAATGTACCTGAGCATATATTTTTAAGCTACAACTTAAAATACATTCTTTAAATTTATTATTATTATTGTGTAGGTGTGTGCTTGATGGGGTGGGGTTGTGATGGCCCCGGTGAATGTGTGGCATCGTTGAGAAACTCTGTGAGGTGAGTGTCTCCTCCCACCCTGAGGGTCTCGGAGACAGAACTCAGGCCATCAGGGTTGAGTGTCATATCCATCACGTCAGCTCATTGGCCCATAAGTTTTTAAAAGATTAATCTTATTGAAGTGTGTGCGCGCGCGTGTGCATGTGTATTTGTGGAGGCCCGTGTGTGTAGGTGTCTGCAAAGGCCTAAGGCATTGGATTCCCCTGGGGCTTTTGTGAGCCACCTGGTGTGGGTGCTAAGCATCAGACCTGGTCCTCTGCAAGAGCAGCATGAAGCTTAAGTGCCGAGCGTCTCTCCAGACCATTGTTTATTTGTTTGTTTTAAAATGAAATTTGACACTGACATTTTCAGAACTCCATTCTGGAACCTTCATTGGGGAAATAACTGAATGTGATATCTTCAAAGGCCTCATTCTGCAGCTGGAAGTGTGACTTAGCCGCAGAGCCCCTGCCTGGAATCACCCAGGGAGGGGCTGGGGGCTTGCAGTGGAGTGCTTGCCTAGCTAGTTCTCTTCCGCTGCTGCTGTCACTGAGTCTAGGGTCCCACGGTGTCAGGCCAGCTCTACCAGCTAAGGGCCACCTGCAGCAGGGCTCCAGGCACAAGCCAGGCTCGGTACAAGACCGTGGGCACAGTGGAGAGAGCTCTTCAAGGCAGCGGGCCTAGCAGCAAAGCAGCAAGACGCTAGTGTGTCCTGTCGAGCGTGGGCATGACTGGGATCCAACAAGCAGTCCAGGTGGGGAGGACAAGGGTTCAACAGGGCCATTAGCTCCACACAAGTGTGAGGCCAATTTGGGCATCATAGACTGTGTGTGTGTGTGTGTGTGTGTGTGTGCGTGCGCGCGCGCGTGCGCGTATGTGTGGGCACACGCGTGTGCATGTGTATTTGTGGAGGCCTGAGGTTGAGTCAGGAATCATCCTTGGTTCCCTTCCACCTGATTCATTGAGGCAGGGTGTCTTAATCAAACCCAGAGCTCACAGATGTGTCTAGCTTAGCTAGTGGGAATGCCCAGGATCCTCTGTAACCTAGTTAGCTTTACCCAGTCTAGAGTCACCAGACAAGCCAACTACTCAGATCAGGGTGGTCCATGGGCTTGTCCATGGGGGACTGTCTTGACTGTTAATGGATGTAGGAGGAAACCCATTCCCTGGGCAGGTGGCTCTGGGGCTGTCTGAGAAAGTTAGCTAATGGTCCAGAGGAAGGTAAGAAACAGCGCCCTCCTTGGTTCCTGTGGTGAACTGAATGAGAATGGTTTTGGTAGGCACATTACATTACAATGCTTGGCCACTAGGGAGCAGAACTGTTTGAAAGGATTACAAGGGGTAGGTGCGGCCTTGTTGGAGGAGGTGTATCATGGGGTAGGCTTTGAGGTCTCAAAAGTCCATGCCAAGCCCAGGCTCTCTGTCCCTGTCTGTCTGCAGATCACGATACATATCTCAGCTCCTTCTCCAGCACTATGCCTACCATGCAGCCACCATGCTCCCGCCATGACGACAATGGACTAACCTCTGAAACCGTAAGCCACCCCAATTAAGTCTGCTTTTTAGGGGCAGCAATAGAACAGTGACTAGGACTGAGTTCTTTCCCTGGCTTCCCTCAGTGGTGGAACGTGACCTGGAGGTGGAAGCCAAACGAACCCTCAACACCCCACCACCCCAAGTTGCTTTTGCTCAGAGTGTTTTTGCCGCAGCAGCAGAATGAAGCGAGAACAGCCATCTCCACATTCTGGGGCTGGGCCTGCAGGTGGGCAGCAATGCACATCTGGCATGACCACGGTCCTTAGGCCAAGCTCCATCCTCACACTAGGTCTGCAGGTGCCAGCTCCAGCCCCATGTGGATTTCTTTTGTTTTCTTTTTTTCTTCTTTTTGATAGTGCCTCTCTCCTGGCTGCCTTGGAATTCGCTCTGTAGACCAGGCTGGCCCTGAACACAGAGGCGTCCACCAGCCTCCAGCTCCTGAGTGTTGAAGGCTACGCCACCAAGCAGCCAGAATGGATTTTATACACATCATTTTCAGGCTCAGGCTGATCATGTGTACCAATCATCAGACTGGAAAAGGCTAGAGTGTGTGTCCTGTGACAGTCCAGACCTCTGGCTTCACGTGTGGAAAATGAAAGAGCCTAGCACAGGCTGACTTTGCCATGCAGATTTGGGCCACAGCTGGGTGCTCGCGCCATCCAGGACAGGACAGGCGTGCCCACCACATCCCCGTGGTCTGTCACTCTGCCACACGGCATTCCCCTGACAGGGTCACTCTTGGTCCCCACAGTGATTGCAGATCCTCCCAGTGATTGGCTCAAGGATGAGCCCAGCAGAGGCAGAGCCAAGGTTTTGATCCAGGTTCTTGGAGTGGGGTGGGAGATGCAGGCTGCTGCTAACCTGAGGGAAGCAGGTGAAGATTTAGAGGGAGGCCGGTCACAGGGCACCAGCAGATCCGGCCAGATTGCCTCAACCGGGTGAGTCAAAGCCACTGCATTCCCGGCCTCCACAGGCATTCAGAGTATCAGGCAGATCTGGGAGTGCTTGTTTGACTTGGACTCCTTTCCCTCCGCAGCCACTGATCCCGTGTCCCGGGAGGCCTCCGCCACAGCCGGCTGCCCTTCCCTCTGCCTGGCCTTCACCAGCCACACCGCCTTCTTGAAGCTCTTGAGAGGGTCTTGCTGGGAGGCTCTGGCTGATGGGCACTGAAAGCGCTCTCGGATGAGGTAGCCGTGGCTCGTGGGGGCCATGAAGCCATTGGCAGTGGGGATGATTCGGTTGACCACGGCGTGGACAAACTGGACGGCCAGCAGGGTGCCTGTGGTGGGGAAAGGGCTGGTCATGCCGAGACTCGGGCACAGAGCGGGAAGGACATTGCCATCAGCAGTGTACTTGGTCTGTAGACACAGGGACACGAGTTTGATCCCTAGAACACTTGGAAAACCTGAGTGTGATGGTATGTGCTGGCAATCCCAGTGCTGTGGAGGCAGAATCAGGGGCTCCCCGGGGCTCCCCGCCCAGGTGGTGTGGCCTAATCATTGACACCAAAGTCCATCATCCGGGGCATGATCGCCACCCAAGTATAGGGGTGCACATCCACCGGGCACTTCCCACCCTCATGGAGGCCTGGGGAAGGAGCCTGTGCTGTCTCCAAAGGGGTCTGCGGGCCACGTGCAGGGGGCCTAGCAGGGACATCGTGGGTCCTGCAAATGCCTCCTAAGCTAAGACGCAAGACGACTTTTCTCTCCAGGTCAGAGCCCAGTCCTAGGTGGAGGGCTCAGCAGGCATGCTTGTTAGTTTTTGTCAACTTGGCACCAGCTCCAGTCACCTGAGAAAATGCCTGCATCTCAAGGACCCATGTGGCATTCTCGATTAATGAACGGTGCGGGGAGGGGGGGGGAGGCCCAGGGGGGACAGCTCACTATGGGCGGTGCCACCCGGGGCAGGTGGTCCTGGCTGTATAAGAAAGCAGGTTGAGGGCTGCAGAGATGGCTCAGAGGTTAAGAGCACTGACTGCTCTTCTAGAGGTCCTGAGTTCGATTCCCAGCAACCACATGGTGGCTCACAATCATCTGTAATGAGATCTGGCATGGAGGCAGAATGTCATGTACATAATAAACAAATCTTAGAAAAAGAAAGACAGGAGGAAGCTTGAGCAAGCTGGTAAGCGGCGCCCTCCACGGCCTCTGCTTCAGCTCCTGCCTCCGGGTCCCTTTCCTGACTCTCAGCCTGTAAGCCAAATGCACCCTTTCCTCCCCAGCTGCTTCTGGCCAGGACATTTCATACAGCAACAGAAAAAGCAAACTAGGACGTAGGTGAAGGGCCTCACACACACACACACACACACACACACACACACACACAAAACGATCTGAGTTTGAATCCCTGGCACCTACGCAGAAGCCAGGTGCACAAGCATGGACCTGTCATCCTAGCATGGTGGAGACAGCCAGGGTGGGTCCCTGGGGGCTCAGCCTCCACCCTTCACGTTGAGTGCACACATGTCCAGGTGCACCCCTACACACATGTGCACACAGACACACATACAGGCAATACATAAAATACGGTTTTTCATAGCTCAGCCCCATCCTAGAACAGGACTCACCATCCAGCGCACTCCAGGCGATGATGGAGCGGTCCTTCATGCCTGCAAACACGTACTTGTCATCCTTGGAGAAGCAGGCACACCGCACCCCTCTACAGTAGGAGCTCTGCGAAGACAGACCGTATGAGAAATGTCCCCCTGCTCACACGGTATCTGTTGTTGTTTACTTGTACTTGTTTGTTGGGGGTGGGGGAATGTGTGCAGGGCAGAGGACAACTTGCAGCGGTCAGTTCTGACTATGTTAGTGGGAACGGAGCTCAGGCCAACAGGCTTGGTTGTGAGCACCTTTACCGGCTGAGCCCTCTCGCCTGCCTGGGGCCATGTGTTTTAACCCTTGCTCCACAGCTGGTGTTTGGAAAGTTGTAGAACCTTTATCAGGTTTGTCCTCCCTGGAGCACATGGGTCACTCTAGCTCCGGTTTGGGGGCTTTATGGTCCAGCCCACATCCTGTTCATCCGCACCGTGTCCCACCACCACACGAGTCCCCAGCTGCACGCTCCTGTCACCTCAGAGCTGTCTGGCACCACACTTTCCCTCCGTCTCAGGCTGTGCCCCTAAACTGGGAGCCCAAATTACTCACCCCACCCCCTTCAGTTGCTTGGACTCAGGGATTTGGTAACAAAATAACTAATACACCACACCACACCATTTTCAACAGAGACATCCAGACAAGCCCTCACCTGCTCAGAATCCCAATCCCGGCTCCCACTGGGGGCAGACCAGAGCAAACCCCAGAGAGAAGGAGAAATGGACTTTCCAAGGAGCAAGATCTGTCTTCACAGAGGTGGTAGCCTCAGGGCTACAGTGGCTGGGGTGTGTGCAGGTGACAGCTTCAGGGCTATTGCACTGAAGCATGGGGCATTGAGGGTGTGTGCAGGTGACAGCGAATGCAGGGGCATTGCAGGTGTGGGTGTCACGCATCTGGAGGCTAGGGGACAATCTCGTTAGGATTGCCTTCCCCCCATTTGAGTCATCTGCTGGGCAAGAATGAGGACCTGTGATTGATCCCCCATTCCCATGTTTAAAAAGCAGGCATAGTAGCTCACACTTACATTCTCAGCTTGGGGGAGTTGTAGATAAGAGTGCCCGCCCACCCCAGACTAATGGGAGGGCCCCCAGCCCCAGTGAGAGACCCTGCCCCCTAAAACCACAGAGAGAGAGAGACAGACAGAGAGAGAGACAGACAGACAGACAGACACAGAGAGAAAGAGACAGAGAGAGACAGAGAGAGAGACAGACAGACAGAGACAGAGACAGAGAAAGAGAGACAGACAGACAGAGACACAGAGAGAGACAGAGACAGAGAGACAGACAGAGAGAGAAAGACAGAGAGAGAGACAGAGACTGAGACAGAGACACAGAGAGAGAGACAGAGAGACAGAGAGAGGCGCAGGGGGAGGAGGAGAGAGCCGGCACAGCACCGGTGGCAGTGACCCAGGCCACCCACCTCGTAGCTCATCTCGAACATCCCCCTGCAAGCTTGCAGGTCCCAGAGGCAGAGCAGAGCATCATCCGCCCCGCTCACCGCCAGCTGCTCCCCGTGGCTGACCTCCACACAGCTCACGCTGCTGCCGTGGGCCTCCAGAGGGAACACTTTGGACCGTGCACAGTCGTACAGAAAGAGGCCCCCATCGGTCATGCCGTAGAGCACGCGGTAGTCAGCGAGCACGGCCACACTGGCTATGGTCTCCGGCAGCTGGGTGTAAAAGGTGTATGTGGGGCCTTCGATGGCGGGACACGGGTCCCCGGGGCTGATGTCCAGCACCAGGACAATGTTGTCGTAGGCGATGGCCAGCCGGTCCTCGCCCTTGCTCAGGGACATGCAGTTGACAGCCTTGCGGGCCTCGGGCGGGGGGAATGCACAGCACGTCTTGCCTGGACTTCAGGGGGAACACCAGCACAATCCCCGAAACCAGGCCCGTGAAGAGGAGCTCGGCCTGCTCAGCCACCTCCAGACACCGGACCTCATTGGATGTGTCCAGGGAATCCTGCTCCTCGCCTGCGCAGGGAGAAGAGTCGGCGATGGATCATATGGTCTTCTCAGTTTTTAAAAAATTACAATTATTTATGTGCGTGCGTGCGTGCGTGCGTGTGTGTGTGTGTGTGTGTGTGTGTGTGTGTGCGTCTGTGTGTCTGTCAGAGGACAAGTTCGCCCTCCCACCATGTGGGTCCCAGGACTCGAACTCACATTTCCAGGCTTGGCAGCGAGTGTCCTTACCTGCTGGACGTTTAACTTGCTTTAGCTTTCTTAGTCTCTGGCCCCTAAGGTTCAGCTTGGATAATGTAAAATTTCCTAACTGAGCCCGAAGCTAGAAATGGATCCTGCACCCATGCGCATGCTCGGGACGCCCTGAGGCAAACCGAAGCCGGAGCATGCTCAGTAGGCACTGGAGGAAAAGTGGGGATCCCGAGCTCCCACGGGCTTTGGGAACACTGGGAACAAATGCCAGCAGGAAATGGAGAGAGGGCTGCGCTCAGCAGGAGGAACCTGGGTTTGTGCATGCTCCATAAGACTAATCGGTCAACCTGACCCAGGGGAGCCCTGGGCAGCTTTGTCCGGCACACGCCCCCACCCCGCCACACCCTCGACTGGCCCTGGGTTAAATTTTGAGGAAGGCTGTCATGAGCTATTTCTTCCATACTGAAACATCCCCTTCTGACAGAAGAGGAGAAGGCCCAGGCTGTGAGCCCGGCCAGGATGCGCAGAGCTCCAGGCCGGCAGCTTTCACGAGTGTGGGAATTGGGGTGACACCCGGGTTTAGCCCCGGCCCCTGCCTCGTGCTCCTGTAACTCCAGCAGACTCCTTAGCTTTCCCAGCACTGCTTTCCCTGATGTGATCGCCCTGTCTGGGGTGCACAGAAATAGACACCCAGGGGCGTCTGACAACACTAATCACCCAATCACCCAGGCCAATCTCCTCGTCATCTTTCTGCCTCAGCCTTCCCGGTAGCTGGGACTACAGCCACGTCTACGACAAGAATCCAATGTAATTAAATGAAAATCGTGTCACTTCACCATCTTGCTTAACCCTCCAGGGGTGTCCCACGACCCTCGGAACACGGTACAAGCACTGTCCCCATTCTCCCTCACACCCTGGTGACTACAGGGGAATGCCGGGGCTCCCACACCACGCCCAGTTCAATGCTGAACTCCATTCGGGGTTGGAGAGAAGGTTCAGTGGTGAAGAGCACCCGCTGCTCTTGCAAGGGACCTGGGCTCAGTTCCCAGCACCCACACGGCAGCTGCAGGGGCCTGATGTCACAGGCGCTGGGCACACGTGTACATGCAGAACTCAAACACAGAAAACTAACAAAGAGACTCCATCCACAAGGTGATGACTTGGGGAGGTGCAGTCTTGGAGGTTAATTAGAGTTCTGGGGAGGGTCCCTCAGAAAAGGGTTAGTTACTTAAAGGGGAAGCGAGCAGAGCATGGCCTTGTTGGGCCAATTCTGCAGACTCAGCGAAAACACATCTGTGAACCAGAAATGAGCAGCCTCACCAGACCTTGGCCCCCAGCTCCTCCACCCCTGACCCCCCGACACGCACGTCTGTGCGTCTTTCTGTCCATGTTCATCTGTGCACGCCCAAGGTTGACGTGCAGTTCTTTGCACACGCGTGTGTGCTGTGTGCATGTGCACATGAGTGTGAGTGCAGGTGCGTGCATGTCCGTGTGAGTGTGGGTGCGTGTATGTGCGTGTGTGTGTGTGTGTGTGTGTGTGTGTGTGTGTGTGTGTGTGGAGGACGAGGCTGAAGTTGGCACTGTTCCTCAGTTGCTCTCCGCCTATCACTGAGGCAGGATCTCTCAACGGAACCCACAGCTAGTGAAGTTAGCCAGCTTGTTCTGGGGACCCTGTCTCTGTTCCCCGCTGCGGGAATTAGAACCCAGTCTGAAGGCTTGCACAGCCCGCACGTTACCCACCGAGTCACCCTCCTAGTCCCTTTTGCTTGTGTTTTGAGCCAGACTGTGAGGTTTTATCTTGAACGCCACTCTTTTTGCCTTCACCACCAACCATGACCACCACACCTGGCCTATGCAGTGTTGGGGTCAAAGCCCGGTGTTTCACATATGCCAGAAAAACACTGCACAACTAAGCTATAAGCACTCTAGCAACTAAGCTACAAGCACCCTACCCACTGAGCCCATTCCTGGCTTCGTCGTGGACTTCTGCCTCCAGAACGGTAAGTCCAGAACTCACCACGAAGACGCTATCATCTCTCACAAACCTTCTGCCAAGTCCCAAATCGTGACTTTGTTTTTGTCCCCAACCTTGGGGAAGTAGATGTAGCTGCCATGGTGGGACACGGCCGCGAGGCCCGTGCGGTCCAGAAATGGAGCAGGAGGCCTCGGCTTCAGAGAGGACCTGAGATCCCAGACTTTTAAAGATGAAGACTTCCAGGATGCAGACACCACCAGAGTCCCACCCCGGACCAGCAGGCTTGCAGGGGCGCCCACGCCCTCTAGGACGTCCAGCAGGGTCCCCTGTTCTGAGAGACTCCACACCTGAGGGTGGAGAACAGAAAGACAGGTCTGCCCTAGGGACACGCCACCTCTGCTGAACACGGAGGCTGTGGCTCCAGGGTCCTCACCAACCCCGGCTGCTGAAGACTTCCCGGGGCTTCAGCATTCTGAAGTATGGCCCAGGGAACCCCAGGGGACACCCTGCAGGGCCTCTCGGGTCTGCAGAAGCGAACTATCTTCAGAGCAACCCTAAACTGCTGGCCTGTCCTCACAGGTAAGCAGCAGAATTCTGCAAGAGCTCAATGAGTGAGATCATTGTGTGTGTGTGCATGTGTGTGTATGTGCGTGCGTGCATGCGTGCGTGTGTCTGCATGCACATGCATATATGTGCGTGTGTGTGTGTGCGTGTGCACGTGCGTCTGTGTGTGTGTGTGTGAGCTGGGGAGATGGCTCCACTATTATGAGCACCCGATGCTCTTGCAGAGGATCCTGGTTCAGTTCCCAGCAACCACATGACGGCTCACAGCTGTCTGTAACTCCAGTTCTAGGAGATCCGTATTCCACTACCTCCAGGACACTGGGCACACATGGTGCAAGATGCTCATACACATAAAATAATGATAACAAGAAGAGTGATACAACTTTTCTGATTAAAAGCTATGCCATTGTGTGAACATGTCACAGTGAATTCACGGATATGTGTTCTTGGATTGCCTCCTCTTTTTCTATTTGAGACAGAGTCTCACATTGTCCAGACTAGCCATGAACTCGCCATGTAGCTGAGACAGGCTGGGGTCCCCACACCAGCTTCAACTCCTCACTCCAGTGTGGTTTCCCAGGGGTTCCAGGGTGGGAGGCTCCGTCTCAGCGGTGACAGGTGTGACATAAGAGGTGATGGGACCTAAGGGGCGGAGCCTAGTGGGAGGTGACGGGGTCGTGTGGGACACAGTCCTTGGAAAGGACCAAGTAGCTGGCTGTGGCTGTGCACATCTGTAAATCCAAGAAGGTGAAGGGTGGGGACCAAACTCCAAGGGCATCCTTGGCACCATAGCAAGTTTAAGGCTAGCCTGAGCTACACGAGACCCTGTCTCCAAAGATGAGAGGGAGGGGTCAAGCATTGTTATGGGACTCACCTCACATTAGTTCCCAGGAGAGGGGTCTGTCCAAGGTAGGCAGGACTGACCTTCGTCCCTAAGTGTGACCCTCCCTCTCACAGCCTCACACCATTCCCACAGGCGTGCTACAGACTAGGAAGCCTCCCTGAACGGGTGCCATTCTGTGCAGTAAACCAGCTTCCGAAAACTGTGAGCTAGATAACCCGCTTTCCTTATACAGTTCCCAGCCTCAGCTATTGTATTATAGTAACAGAAAACACAGCCCCAACATTGGCATGTGTGTATAAAAGCTAAACTCAATAAATATGTGTTTCTATACAAACGAATTCTGTTAGGTTCTCAAGAATCTCTAAGATTGTAGAGAGGTCACGAGACTGAGATACTGGAAACCCATAGTCCCTACCTTGCTAGTCTCACAGTGCTGACTACTGAGAATTTTCCTCCCCTGTGACTCTGAAGACCACTATCCTTAGTTTTCACATCCGGTTGGGAATGCTGCCTGCTTGGGGGAACATTCCAGGTCTGCTAGCAGGGCACAGAATACCAGCACCCCATGTCATTCCACTAAACACCCCTGTGTGGGGCTGAGCTCATCTTAGCAGGAGTTAGGGATCCTGTCTGAGGTTGGGGTCCCAGATCCCCCCTCACCTGGATGAGTGCATCCCGGGAGCCAGTGATAATCAGGTTGTTCTCAGGACCCAAAACCGCTGTCTCCACCATGTCCTCGTGTTCCAGATCCGTGGCCATGAACCGGTGGAAGCCTTGTGAGTCGGCCAAGAAAATCCGCACAGATTTTCCAAAGCCTGTGGCAGCAGAGCCTGGTTAGGCCTCTGAGCCTGGAAGAGCCTGGGAGCAGTTACCAATCCATGCAGCTTTCCCAGAGCATTCGTACATTCACGCCCACCTACGCCCTTTCAGAGGGCAAAGGAGCTCACTGGGTCTTCCTCCATCGCTCCCGTTTCCCCCTGAGCCTAGAGCTGGCTGGCCTCCTGTCTCCACTCCCCACAGCCTGGGGTTGCAGGCACCCATGCAGCTATAGCCGGTTTTTACATGCTGACACAGGGAATGCTCTAACCGGCTGAACCATCTCCTCAGGCTTGTTCTTCCGTCTATGCATACGGACATTGATGGTGTGGGCTCCAAGGCTGTCATGGGTGCAAATGCACAGGTTCACAGGCGCGTGCATGCGCGTGCGCGCGCACACACACACACACACACACGCGTGCGCGCGCGCCCTGGAACTAGTTCTTGCAGACCAGGCTGGTCTCAAACTCACAGAGATCCGCCTGTCTCTGCCTCCTGAGTGCTGGGATTAAAGGTGTGTGCCACCACCGATCTGCTCCAAGGTTGTTTTTAAGACATGGAGTCTTGTAGCTCAGGCTGGCATCGAACTCACTATGTAGTTAAGGATGATTCTGAATTCCCGATCCTCCTGCCTCCACCTTCCAAGTGCTGGGATGACAGGCAGGCACCACGATGCCTAGTTTGGATGGAATGGATGGAACCCCGGGCTTGTGCATGCTAGGCAAGCACTCCACCCACTGAGCTGCCACACCCTACCCTCTGAGCTATAAGTACTATATTAACTGAGTTTGTTCTGGCCATGGAGTCCTAGCCTCAGCTCCAAGTATGTCTCTTGCCTCTCCGCACCCTCTGGAGATCTTTCTATCCTGGGATCCTTGTGGGCACTAAATAAATGACCTTTGGGGCCAGTGAGATGGCTCAGTAGCCACCAAGCTTAATAGCTGGAACTCACAGGGTAAAGGAAAGGAACTGAATCCCCAGAATGTTCTTTGGCTTCACACAAGTACCATGTCACACACACACACACACAAGTACCATGTCACACACACACAAGTACCATGTCACACACACACAAACACAAGTACCATGTCACACACACACAAGTACCATGTCACACACACACACAAGTACCATGTCACACACACACAAGTACCATGTCACACACACACACACACAAGTACCATGTCACACAGACACACAAGTACCATGTCACACACACACACACAAGTACCATGTCACACACACACACAAGTACCATGTCACACAGACACACACACAAGTACCATGTCACACACACAAACACAAGTACCATGTCACACAGACACACAAGTACCATGTCACACACACACACAAGTACCATGTCACACACACACAAACACAAGTACCATGTCACACACACACACAAGTACCATGTCACACACACACACAAGTACCATGTCACACACACACAAGTACCATGTCACACACACACAAGTACCATGTCACACACACACAAGTACCATGTCTCACACACACACACAAGTACCATGTCACACACACAAAAATACAAGTACCATGTCACACACACACACAAGTACCATGTCACACACACAAGTACCATGTCACACACACACACAAGTACCATGTCTCACACACACACACAAGTACCATGTCACACACACAAAAATACAAGTACCATGTCACACACAGACACACAAGTACCATGTCACACACACACAAACACAAGTACCATGTCACACACACACACACAAGTACCATGTCACACACACAAAAATACAAGTACCATGTCACACACACACACACACACACACACTCATCATCATCAATCAGACCATCTCATAGGTACAACCAGCACCTGAGCCCCACGCCTGCGCTCTGTGGCCCCGGCCCTGGCCTGGTTCTGGGAACAAACCCTCTCAGTGTGCCGAGCTTCCTCCCTGATAACCATGGCCTCTGCTTATCCACGCGTTTTTCAAAGTAACGATGTGAGTTCCTGGGGGAGTGTGGGACAGGCATTGGGAGAGGCCTCTTGGGCCATCCACAATGCCAATGTGACCAACTCCTGCAAACTCAGTATCAGGCTTGTGGGAGCGTGTCTGGTTGGGGGTACACCACACGCGCTGTGCCTCGTGTCACAGTCTCCGGGCACCACAGGGAGAAGTGGAAATTCCCACCTCATGTCCCCTGGACATTGCCATGCTTTTCTTTCCTGTGCAGATTTTGTGTGTATGTGAATGTGGGCACACACGCGCACGCGCGCACACACACACATAGGCGTGCGCCAGTGTGTGATTGCATGCACCTGTGCCAAGGCCAGAGATTGCTGTCAAATGTCGCCATCAATCGCTCTCCCCATCTTTTTTAGGCAGGGTTCTCTCCGAACCCAGGAACTTGGCATCTTGGTCAGGAGAGTGAACGCCCAGCATCTGCCTGCGGGTACAGATGTCTGCCGTGATGCCCAGCTTTTATGCGTGTGCTGTGATGTGAATTCGAAGCGCTTTACCCGCCTTATTTTTTGAGACAGGGTCTCTCACGGGTCTGGGGCCCACTGATGGGCTAGGCTGGCTGACAGGGAGACCTTGTCTGTGCTAGGGTCACAGGTGTGGCCGTGCGGGACAGCTGCTGCTTTCTCGGGGTGTGTAGTGATTCGCAGAGCTGATGGTCTTGGGGACAGTGCCCTGAAATTCTGCTCAGAAACAGATCTCTCTCGAAAGCAAAAGCTGGGGATGCCATCCACGTCGGAGTCAGACAGGTTCCCGAGGCCGGGGTGAGAACAGAGAGACTACTCAGCGCTCTTCTCCCTGGCTCCTGGGACACACTGTCCCGAACGCCAGCCAGGCTTGCTCTGGTGTCCCAGGGCCGTCTGCCCTTTCCTGTGACACCCTGACAGCCCTTGTGAAGACAGGGGTCTGTGTCACACTCCGTCAGTCAGGCCATGCTGCCCGCAGCTGTGGGTCTACCCATCAAGGCCGCCGTGACCTGGCCGCTGTCCCTTCCTTTCTGTGTCCAGCGCTCGCTGTGCGTGTGTCTGAGTGCGTGTGAGCCTGTCTGTGAGTGCCCAGCCCTGAGAGGGCAGGCGAGGACTCCAGAGCCCTGGGAACCAGAGTCACACAAAGCCATGCCTGCCCCGGCCCCGGAGGAGCTGGGAACCACACAGGAGTCCTCTGCAAGAGCAGTCGCTCTTAACTGTTATTTTGAAATGACCCATTCATAATATTTATGTTGATTTTATGTTAAATATTCGGGAATATTAAATAAAATAACCTGTGTGATCAATATGGATGGATTTAGCTATTATAATATTAATTTAAATACTCATAATTAATTAAAAAATGTTTATTGGGACTAGAGCAATGGCTCAGTAGTTAACAGAACTTGCTGCTCTGCAGAGGACTTAAGTTCAGTTCCCAGAACCGATATGGTGGTTCCTAACTGTCTGCCACCCCAGCTACAGGAGACCTACTGAATGTTATCTAGTCGGCCACCCATGCCCCTCTCTCGATTTCCCTCACGCATGCATGCACACCTAAAAATAATAAAAATAAAACTTTTTTTTTGTTTCTTTGAGACAGGGTTTCTCTGTGGCTTTGGAGGCTGTCCTGGAACTAGCTCTTGTAGACCAGGCTGGTCTCGAACTCACAGAGATCTGCCTGCCTCTGCCTCCCGAGTGCTGGGATTAAAGGCATGCGCCACCACCTCCTGGCACCCAGCCTCCAGCCAAATTTCTCTTCCCTTCCCTACGCTCAAAGAGACAAAAGCTACCTGCTGCAAGAATGGAATCATCTTCAGACGCCACCAGGAACCCCACAGCTTCTGGAAGCTTCTCCAGCAGGCTGTCTTCTCCAGAGGCAACCTGTACAGTGGAAGGTGAGTGTCAGGCCTCTGATTTGGGATTCGACTCCCCCCACAAGCTGGCTCTATCACACCGAAGAGCCCTCCTTGAGCCTCAGTTTCCCTACTAGACAAGAGGTGACACTCCAGGAGTGATGGGCTAGAATGCGTGTGGAATCATTTCCAGCTGTGTGACCCTGGCCAAGAAACTTCTGTTGTGCATGGTGATGATGTTGTGGTTGCAAATGCGCAGTCGTGCAGAACATACTGGGCTTTTTTTTTCCCTGAAGGAAATTCAGAGCGCAATGAGATAGAGATGTGTCAGAGTGGCCCATGCCTGTCATCCCAGCCCGGGGAGGTGGAGGCTGGAGGGTCAGCCAGGAGTGCAGGGCCACGCTGATGTACACAGAGTGAGTTCAAGGCCAGCCTGGGCTATGCAAGACTCGTGTAGCCTGCACCTGCTGTTTAGAGTGTCAGCTCTCCCAGCTGAGAATAAACTTTTTTTTTTTTTTTGGTTTTTACGAAACAGGGTTTCTCTGTATTGTTTCGGAGGCTGTCGGTCCAGCCTGGCCTCGAACTCACAGAGATCCCCCTGCCTCTGCCTCCCGAGTGCTGGGATTAAAGGCGTGAGCCACCACCGCCCGGCTAGAATAAACATTTTTTATGTGCCCCAACCTCCAAACAGGGTCTCACTAGGTAGCCCTGGCTGTGCTTGAACTCTCTCTGTAGACCAGGCTGGTCTTGAACTCACAGAGATCCGCCTGCCTCTGCCTCCCAAGTGCTGGGATTAAAGGTGTGCGCCAGTCCTTCCTTTGTTTTTAAATTTATTTTTATTTATTTATTTTGAGACAGGGTCTTGCTGCATCGCCCTGATCATCCTGGAACTTGTTATGTAGACCAGGCTGGCCATGAATGAGTGGAGATTGCTAGTATTATGGCTACAGGCTCCACCACCACACCAGCTCCGTGGATGACTTCCGCTGTCCTCCCGTCCATGCCCCCTGCTTCAGACACAACCGGGTGCCCTGTGAGTGCTCACCTCCCCACACCCAGGATGCTGGGCTGGGCTCTAATACAAAGGGAAGCACGCGGCCCCCAAGCCCTGCTCTAATCCACACAACTCGAGGGAGCAGGGCTCATCCGGCTTCCAGTTCCAGGCCACACATACCCCCCACGGGGGCGGGGGCGGGGGGGGCACGGCTGCCTGGGTGCCTGTGCTTCACGGCCTGGTCCCTTCTGGTTGGAGCAGCACCGAGAGCTCCAGGCAGAACCAGGAGTAGCTGCCACCTTCCGGCCCACTGCCAGCGACTCTCTGTAGCTGTGACCCACCAACTGTGGAGACCGTTCACAGGGTCATCAGTATCAGACTTAGCTGTTACTGTTCTTGTTTTAAAAGCTTTGTTTATAGACAAGCGGTGGTGGTGCACGCCTTTAATCCCAGCACTGGAGAGGCAGAGGCTGCCGGATCTCTGTGAATTTGAGTCCAGCCTGGTCTACAGAGTGATTTCCAGGACACAGTTCTACACAGAGCAACCCTGTCTTGACAAACCAGTCCACAGGTGCACTCAGAGGCCAGAAGAGGGCGCCAGATCCCCTGGAGCTGGGCTCACAGAAGGTGAACCACCCAGTTCAAGTTCTAGGAACTTAACTCAGGGCCTCTGCAAGAGCAGCCAGCGCTCTTAACCAGAGAGCCATGTCTCCAGCCCTTGTGATAGTTTTAATGTCACTTTGACACAGTGAAGAACCAGGGAGGAGTGTCAGTAAGGGATTATCCAGATTCGGCTGGCCTGGGGCATCTGATTGTGTTAACTGCGTAGAGACCCAACCTTGTCAGGGGCTGAGCCCTGGCCTGGATGAAGGGAGAGAGCCTAGTGCGGCATGCAGGCTCTGCTCACTGTGGAGGGACCCACGCAGGCCCCGTGCTCACTGTGGAGGGACCCACGCAGGCCCCCGTGCTCACTGTGGAGGGACCCACGCAGGCCCCCGTGCTCACTGTGGAGGGACCCACGCAGGCCCCCGTGCTCACTGTGGAGGGACCCACGCAGGCCCTCCATGATCACTGTGGAGGGACCCACGCAGGCCCCCGTGCTCACTGTGGAGGGACCCACGCAGGCTCCCGTGCTCACTGTGGAGGGACCCACGCAGGCCCCCGTGCTCACTGTGGAGGGACCCACGCAGGCCCCCGTGATCACTGTGGAGGGACCCACGCAGGCCCCCGTGCTCACTGTGGAGGGACCTGTCATCTTGACTTGTCCTCTGTGACAGACCGTAACTTAGAGCTGAGAGCCGATTAAACCTATTTCTCCCCAAGTTGCCCTCGTCAGAGTGTCATCACAGCAACAGGAATGGAAACCTGGCAGAAAACAGGGTGAAGGGTGGTGTGGTTCCTCCCAAGTCCAGGACATCTGTACACTTCGTGAGGCATGCATGAAGGTCAGAGGTTAATTTCAGTGTCTCTCCTCTATCGTTCCACCTTATTTTCTAATTACTTATTTTTTTAAAGATTTATTTATTTATTATGACAACATCTTGCCTCCATATATTCCTGCATGCCAGAAGAGGGCACCAGATCTCATTACGGATGGTTGTGAGCCACCATGTGGTTGCTGGGAATTGAACTCAGAACCTCTGGAAGAGCAGCCAGTGCTCTTAACCTCTGAGCCATCTCTCCAGCCCATTTTATTCTACATGTATGAGTGTATGTCTACATGTGTCTATATGCACCACATGCATGCAGTGACTACAGAGGCCAGAAGGGGGCATCAGACACCCCTGATCTGGAGTTACAATGTTCGGCCAACATGTGTTCGCTAGGGATTGAACATAGGTCCTGTGCAATAGCAGCCAGTGCTCTTTTTTAAATTAATTATTTATTTTTATTTCATATACATTCATATTTTACATGCATGTTTGTCTGTGTGAAGATGTTGGGTCCCCAGAAACTGGCGTTATGGATAGGTGTGAGATTGCCATTGTTGGGTCCCAACCCCCACAGGGTCTCTGAGTTAGTTGTTTGTCAGCTGATAGCCACAGGTGCACCCTGTTTTCTTTTCTTTTTCTTTTTCTTTTCTTTTTTTTTTTACAAGACAGGGTTTCTCTGTATTGTTTTGGAGGCTGTCAGACCAGCCCGACTTCCGAACTCACAGAGATCCTCCTGCCTCTGCCTCCCGAGTGCTGGGATTAAAGGCGTGCATACTGTTTTCTAGTCCTGTCTTACTGCCCCCGCATTGCCCCACTGACATCAACATCTTGCAGGAGGAAAACATGATCTCTTTCACCTGAGGTTTTTCCACTGTATATAAGAATGTTCCGTCTCTATGAGACGGAGAAACCTCTTAGCACTTGCAATAAGGACACACAGGTGTGGCACATGCACACACGCATTCTCCTGGCAATAAAGGCGGCAGACGCATTCTCTTAGCACAAACGGTTGGACGTCTTGTCTTTCAGTTCCCGACACCTCGGAAATGTTTGTGGCGCAGATGCCACATGCCTTATGTGTGCTGGGAATTGAACCTGGGTCCTCTGGAAGAACAGCTGGTACTCTTAACTGCTGAGCCATCTCTCCAGCCCCTCTATTGTGTTAGGGTCTCTCATTGACCCTGGGGTTCACTGATTCCACTAGGTTGCCTGACTCTGCGCCCCCCAGGGCAGGAATACACATTTGGGCATCCACTCTGGCTTATGTGGGTTCTGAACTTCTGAACTCAGGCCCTCGTGTTTGAGCGGCCGATTCCTCTCCCAATTTGTGGGAAATCGCTTACCAGGGAGATGGAGCCGCTGCTGAAGCCAGTGACCAGCTTCGCCTGTGTCTGGATGCAGACGGCGCAGGTGGGCGTCTCCTCTTTGATGCTGCACAGCTGGCGTTTCCCCTGCAGTTTTCCTGTGGCTGAGCTCCACAGACTGACCTCACCACCCTGGGACACAGCGAGTAGCACGCCCTGGGCGGCCAGCACTGCCACAAAGGCCCAGGGATCAGAGGCTTCTCCTGGGACACAGAAAACCAGCTTCGAGGTTTCCAGATTCCACACGTTGATCTAGTGGAGTCAGGAAGAGCGAGAGAAACATCAGCACCAGCGGAGGCATGGGCTGGGACCCAGGCTCAGCAGGGAGAGCCTCGTCCAGCACCCACCAAGCCCTGGGTTCCATCCTCCCCTGCAATAATCCAGGTATGGTGCCCGCTATCCCAACACACTGGGGTGGAGGCAGGAGGATCAGGGTGATCCTCAGCTACGTAGTGAGCGCAAGGTCAGCCTGGGCTACAAGAGAGGCAGTTTCAAAACACAAAAAAGAAACAAAAAACAATCAATTTTATATTTTTAAAAAGGAGTTCCCAAGGGGAGCCTGCCTGAGCCTCTCTCTCTCTCCCCCTCTCTCTCTCCCTCTCTTTCCTCTCTCTTTCCCTCCCTCTCTCCCTCTCTCTCTCTCTCTCTCTCTCTCCCTCTCCCTCCCTCCCTCTCCCTCTCTCTCCCCCCTCTCTCCATATGAGGTCTTGTTATATTGTCCATGCTGGCCTTGAACTCTAGGCTCAAACCGCCCACCTTGCACAGCCTTCCATGCGACTTGGAGCATTTGTCACCTGTTACTGTGCCCAAGCACACACTTCCTTTTGTAATTTATAAAACAGTATTTTGGGGCCGTGTGCAGAGGCACACACCTGCCTTCTAACCACTCAGAGGCTGAGGCAGGAGGCCTGAGTGTGCACATGTCTAGAACATGTCTCAAAAGCAAAACCTCTTTCTTTTTCTGTTTGTTTGTTTTGTTTTGTTTTTTCAAGACAGGGTTTCTCTGTGGCTTTGGAGGCTGTCCTGGAACTGGCTCTTGTAGACCAGGTTGGTCTCAAACTCAGAACACAGAGATCCGCCTGCCTCTGCCTCCTGAGTGCTGGGATTAAAGGCGTGCGCCACCATCGTTTGTTGAAACCTGTCTCTTTCAATACTGGTTGTTTTAAAAAAGATTTTATATTTTGGAAGCATTGATAGTGAGGGAACAAAGTCAGTTCTAATTGATAGGAGTTATCAATATTGGTGTCTTATTTGTGACAAATGTGCCCTTAATATATAAAATATTGCTGACAGGGGCCTATGAGATGGTTCGTCAAATAGAGGGGCTTGCAGCCAAGCTTGATGACCTACGTTTGATCCCTGGGACCCACACAGTGGAAGGAGAGAACCAACTTCATTTGTGTCTCAAAACACAAATGAAAAGATGTTGAGGGCTAGGAGTCAGGCATGGGATACAGGGCTTGCTGGGCAAGCCTGGAGACTGGGTTTCAGGCCCAGCACCTATGTGAATGAAGGCCAGACGTGGGTTCTAGATGCATGTGGAGTGTTTACTACGTGAGGTCACAAAACAGGCCACAGTGAGTTTGAGAACTCACATCACACAATGGAATCCAGGTAGGAAAAAAATAACAGCCTCATCCGAGAAGCTCTCAGACACTCAGAAATGGGGCTGCAGAGGTGTCTCACCCAGAGGACCTGAGCTCGATTCCCAGCACCCACAGGACTGCACAGAATGATCCCGACTCCAGTCCCGACTTCTGGCCGCCATGGACACTGCGCATACCTGCTGCACAGGCACATACACGCAAAAGAGTCCTACACGTAAAGAAGTAACAAAACACTCGGACACAAGCATCACATGTCAGCATAACTCAGCATAGACGAAGAAAGCAAAGGAAGAGAAATGGGTAAAAGCATTTGCCAGGTAACAAGAGAACCTGAGTTCAAATCTGCACAAAGCAGGTGCAGTGTGCGCGCGTGCACGTGTGTGCGTGTGTGTGTGCATGTGTATGTGCATGCATGCGTGCGTGTGTGTGCATGCGTGTGTGCGTGTGTACACTCCCACTGCTCGCACAGGGAGGTGGGGGATGGAGGCCGGATATCTGAGAGCTCGCAGGCCACTCCTCTGCGCAGCCGCAACAGAGATTCCCTCACCAACAAGGTGGACAGCAAGAACCGACACCCAGGCTGTTCTCTGGCTTCTGGGTGTGCACCACAGCGCACGCGCCCCACACCCCACACCTCACACGTCACCCCACACCATTATCCCACTCCATCCTCTGGGCATGAGGACTGAGTTCCGCCCGGGGTGGTGTCACCAACCGCTCACGCCTCCTTTGAGGTGGTCTCTCAACAAACCTGCAGCTCACCCACTGGGCTGTGTGGCACGCCAGTGAGCGCCAGGCAGCCCCGCGCCAGAACACAGTTGCCACCCACCTGGCTGTGCTGGGTGCTAGGATTCGAACCCAGGCCCTCCGGCTTAGACAGCACTTCACCCAGCACCTACTCTCTGACAAAAGCAAACGACATGCCTGGAGCAAACAGCAATCCTCCTGCCTCTGCTTCCCAAGTGCTGGGATTCTAGTTGTGTCCCACCACAACCAACTTCTCTTGAATTGTGCTGTACCCTGCATGTGCACACACACACACACACACTCATACTCACTCACACACACTCACTCCCACAAACACTCACATTCACTCACACACACTCACTCACACAGTGACTTTAACACTCTCATATACACACTCGCACACTCGCACACACATACTCACTCACACACTCACACACTCACACACTTATACACACCCCACACTCTCACACACTCGCACTCACACACACACTCACACAGTCACTTTAACACTCACACACTCACTCACACACACTCACACATACTCACTCACACAGTCACTTTAACACTCACACACTCACACTCACTCACACACACTCACTCACACAGTCACTTTAACACTCACACACTCACACAGTCACTTTAACACTCACACACTCACACACACTCACACACTCACACACTCACACACACTCACTCACTCACACTCACTCACACAGTCACTTTAACACTCACACACTCACACTCACTCACACACACTCACTCACACTCACTCACACAGTCACTTTAACACTCACACACTCACACTCACTCACACAGTCACTTTAACACTCACACACTCACACTCACTCACACATACTCATTCGCACACACTCACTCACACAGTCACTTTAACACTCACACACTCACACTCACTCACTCGCACACAGCCCTCAGTTTGTTACCTTTGTACTAGATGTCGAGAATACGACTTTGTTTTTCTCATCTACATGGAGGCCCCAGCTCTGAGGCTCCGTGGGATTTGCTGAGCCTCTGTCCACAATGGTGACTTTCTCCTGGCCAGAGAGCAGGCTCCACAGGCGCAGGGTGTGGTCCTCTGATGCAGAGATGGCGAGAGTCCCCTGGGCAAATACTCGAATGCACTTCACTTCAGCTGCGGTGGGCAGAGTGGAAGGAAAGGCGTGTCAGCTACGGACAGTCTCTCCTGGTTTCTCCGTTTCAAAATCTAAACACTGCTCAGTGAGACAGCACACCTTTAATCCCAGTACTCGAGGGCAGAGGCCAGCCTGGTCTACAGAGCAAGCTCCAGGACAGCCAGGACAACACAGTGAAACCCTGTCTCCAAAACCAGAAAAAAGAAAAGAAAGAAAACCAACAACAAACACTAACAGAAAAGCAAAATAAGTTTCAAAAACATATCTTTCTAATGTGTGTGTGTGTTTTACAAAATGTTTAATCTGAAGAAATATGAACTGAACACCCCCTGAGGGAAGCAGAATGACAATGTGCTGTCAGATGTCAGATGGACTCTGTGATTTACTGCTCCTGCCCATTCCCATGGTGTAAATGTTCTCCCTGAGCTGGTTTCCACTGTTAGCATCAGAGCTGGAAAGACATGTTTTGTCCTACTTCATGCTCTGGTGCAGTGTCAAATAACCTGACAAACACAGCTTAGGGGAGGAGGGTCTACTGGGCTCACATTCCAGGTCACAGTTCATCCCTATGGGAAGTCACGGTCACGTACAGTCAGTAGCAGAGGGAACAAATGTCCTCCTGCCTGTGTGCAGCTTGGTCTCTCCACTCTTACACAATCCAGGTTCCAAACCTAGGGAACAGAGCCTCCCACCCCAAGACCATCCGGGAAAACCAACCTGGTCCAGACAGTCAGTCCCGCAGGAGAGTCTTCCAGGTGACTATGTGTGTCAGGTTGACAGAACTAAACACGGTCCCTACACACACACACACACACTGTCCACACACACACACACTGTCCTTACACACACACAGTCCTCACACACACACACTGTCCACACACACACACACTGTCCTTACACACACACAGTCCTCACACACAAACACACTGTCCCCACACACAAACACAGTGTCCACACACACACACACACACTGTCCACACACACAAACACAGTGTCCACACACACACACTGTCCTCACACACAAACACAGTGTCCACACACACACACTGTCCTCACACACACACTGTCCACACACACAAACACAGTGTCCACACATACACACACACTGTCCTCACACACACACTGTCCACACACTGTCCACACACACAAACACAGTGTCCACACACACACACACTGTCCTCACACACACTGTCCTCACACACAAACACAGTGTCCACACACACACACTGTCCTCACACACACACTGTCCACACACACAAACACAGTGTCCACACATACACACACACTGTCCTCACACACACACTGTCCACACACTGTCCACACACACAAACACAGTGTCCACACACACACACACTGTCCTCACACACACTGTCCTCACACACAAACACAGTGTCCACACACACACACACTGTCCACACATACACACATTGTCCACACACACAAACACAGTGTCCACACACACACACTGTCCACACACACACTCTGTCCACACACACACACTGTCCTCACACACACACTGTCCTCACACACACACATTGTCCACACACACACTGTCCTCACACACACACTGTCCACACACACACACACTGTCCACACACACACTCTGTCCACACACACACTGTCCTCACACACACATTGTCCCCACACACACACTGTCCACACACACACACTGTCCACACACACACTCTGTCCCCACACACACACAGTCCACACACACACAGTCCTCACACACAAACACAGTGTCCACACACACACACACTGTCCACACACACACTCTGTCCACACACACACACTGTCCTCACACACACACACACACTGTCCACACACACACATTGTCCACACACACACACTGTCCACACACACACACTGTCCTCACACACACACATTGTCCACACACACACACACACACACACATTGTCCACACACACACGTCATGGTGTCCCCTCACAGCATTAGACACCTAACACGGATGTGGATGGTCACTTGGCCCTGTCTCTCCTGAGGATCTGCAGGCACTTTATTCGGAGGAAGACGTTTTCTGCAGCAGAGGAGGCATCGGCAAGGAGATCATGCTCCTGTGTTCACCATGCTTCAGGAATGACCCTGATGAAGGGCACTGGTTCGTGCCCTGTCCCCTGCCCCCCACACACACCAGGAAAGCAGAGAAGGGGCTTCCTGGGAAGAGTGGACTAACAACAAAGGGAGTGAACTGATCCAAAGACACTAGAGATGTCACAATGAAACACACCCTGCATAGTTCATAGTTGACAATAAATCTACACACACACACACACACACACACACACGTATGTACACACACACGTACATACATACATACACACACACACATATTTGGTTCTGAGTCTAGCCGTTTAGATCTTTTAATTAGCAGGTGTGTGTGTGTGTGTGTGTGTGTGTGTGTGTGTGTGTGTGTGTGTGTCCAGGTTAGAGGACAACTCCTGGAAGGTCTCCACTCCACCACACGGGTTGCAGGAATTGAACTCGGGTCATCAGACTCATTGACGAGTGCCTTTACCTGCTCAGGCATCTTACCAGCCCTGCCCTCTCCCTGAAATACGGTTGAGATTTTCAGTCATGTATGTGTATCTCGTTATGTGTGTAGGTACCTGCAGAGTCCTGGAGAAGGTGTCGGATTACTGGAACTGGATTACAGACAGTTGTGAGCCCCCAACATGGACACTGGAACTGGACTAGGACCCTTGGGAGACTGAGCCACTCTGCCCAGCTACTGCCCCTAATATATGTATTTTTAATAGAGGCTTGTTTGCAGTCACCGTGTTGAGGTGAGTTTTACGCAGCTCTCGCTGACTGACGCAGAGCAGCCCCACGGCTTCACCATAGGGACATCCGTGTGTGTGGCAGCCACCCACTTCCCATCGTCACCTGTGTGTCCTGTTAGAGTGTGGACCACCTGCTGTCCCTCCACGTCCCACACGACCACGGTGCCGTCCTGGGTGCCCACCACCAGCAGTGTCTCTTCCGGGCCCCACGCTATGGCGGTGATGCCTGCAGTCACACAAAGGCGATGGTGAGGACCTGGGCACCCACGGCCTCAGCTGGGGTGGCCATCCTGAAGCCACCTAGCCAAAAGGACAGAGACTTTGGAGGGTGACCCAGAGACCGCCTGTGCCTTAGATTTTCTTATTAGAGACTTATTTTTACTTTAAATTGTGGGTGGGAGACACAAGTGCTGGTGCCCACAGAAACTAGACATATCAGATTCCCCTGCAGCTGGAGTTGGGTTAACCCTCTGTATGCTGTGGATATGTTTTATTCCCATTGGCTAATAAAGAAGATGCTTTGGCCTATAGCCAGGCAGGATAGAGCCAGGTTGGAAATCCAAGCAGAGGCACAGGAGAAGGTTGGAGTCAGGCAGATGCCAACAAGCTGCCCTACCAACAGGCTGTACTAGAAACCAGGTAACGAGCCGGGCGTTGGTGGCGCACGCCTTTAATCCCAGCACTTGGGAGGCAGAGGCAGGCGGATCTCTGTGAGTTCGAGGCCAGCCTGGTCTACAGAGCGAGTTCCAGGACAGCTTCCAAAACAATACAGAGAAACCCTGTCTCGAAAAACCAAAAGAAAAAAAAAAAAAAAAAAAGAAAAGAAACCAGGTAACGGCAGGAAGCCACGTGGCAAAATACAGATGAATAGAAATGAGTTCACTTACGTTGTAGAGCTGGTTAGTAATGAGCCCGAGCGATGGGCTAAACGGTTTGTAATTAACACTAAGCCTCTGAGTGATTATTTTAAAAGCAACTGTGGGACTGGACTCCATTTACATTTGGGGGATTGAGAGCCACTTGACAATGGGTGCTGGGAACTGAACTTGGGTCTCTGGAAGATTATTAGTACATGCTCTTAATTCCTGAGTCACCTCTCTAGCACCTTAAAATGAAATAAAAATTAGCATTCATTTTGTGTGTGTGTGTGTGTGTGTGTGTGTGTGTGTGTGTGTGTGTGTGTGTGTGTGTGTAAACCAGTGGAAGACTTGCAGGAGCCCTGGGGTCCCCAGGACTGAATCCAGGTCGTCAGGTTCGATGGCGAGCACTTCCACGCACCGGGTCCTCTCGCCAGCCCTGGCTATGATGGGAAAGCACTAGAGACGGCTCTGTGAGTCAAGCGCTTGCTGCACAGGCCTTGTGACACAAGTTTGGATCCCAGAGCCCATGTAAAGCCACATGCAGTAGGATGCATTTCTGTAGCCCCAGCCTCCTGTAGATGAGGGGAGGGGCAGGAGAACGGGAGCTTGAAGGCCAGGTAGCCTGCCGTACACAGCAGTGAGCAAGAGACACCGCCTCAGCCTCAGCTGAAGGAAGACTTCGGTGATGACTCAGAGGACCCGGCTTCAGTTCCCAGTACCCACAGGACAGATACATAAAGTAAACAAATGTAAAAAACCAAACACACAGGGTTGTCCTTTGACACCAGAGGAACTGGAGAGGTGGTGCCTGATGTAAGGCTCAAAACCACCTCTCATTCCAGCTCCAGGAGATCTCCTGGTCTCTGCAGGCACTGTACCCATAAAAATTAAAAGAGGAAGCCAGGTGGTGGTGGTAGTGGCGCACACCTTTAATCCCAGCACTTAGAGGCAGAGGATCTCTTGAGTTCGAGCCAGCCTGGTCTATAGAGTGAGTTCCAGGACAGCCAGGGCTGCACAGAGAAACCCAGTCTTGAAACTACCCCCACCTGCCGACAAAAAGAAAAGAAAGAGAGAAAGAAAGGAAGAAAAATAGCCCAGACCACAGCTTGGCCAACAGTCCTCACCCAGAGAAAGTTCTATGTCCAGGGATTCTCCATGACTACATTTTTTCCTACATTTTTAGGGGCAGCAGTTAGGGACAAAGATGTGCCTGGTGTCTGGTGTGACCATTTGAATATGCAGGGTCCCCACAGACTCCCAGGGTTCCTGCTGGTGGTGCTGTTAGACAGTTCTGGAAATTCCAGGGGCTGGGCCTAGCCCAAGGAAGTAGGCCGTGGGAGGTGGGTCTTGGGAGTGTGATGACACCCCGGGCCCCTTCCAGAATCACCCTCTCAAGTAATGCTGAGCAGCTGTGGATGGAACCTCATTTTCCTTATGCCAGGCATTTTGTCACCGCTACAAGGAGAGTTACTGGCAGAGCCCTGAGACCCTACAGAGAGCAAATCCTTGCCGCCAACCCTGTAAGTGCTGTGTGGGCTCAGGTTGACCGCTCCACCTGGGTCTTCCTAACCAGCACAGCCATTCTCGCTAGACCGCTCTGCAACGCTGAGTCATTTCCTCTTCTAGCCCCTGAGCATCAACATTTTCTGCTGTGGAGAGAAGCTGCCTGGGGAGTGGAGTGAGCTGCATCCTGGAGTCCCGAGCAGGCTGCCCGTGGGTCTCAGTGGACAACAGATAATGTGGAGGGCAGAGGAGAGGAGGGAGGAGGAGGAGGAGGAGGGCAGGTGGGGGGGGGGCCGGGAGCGGAGAGGTGACACGTGACCCAGGTGGTAAGCTGCTGTGAACTCAACACGAAGGGACAGACCCTCACCCAGCCCCCTGCTTTAAAAAGATGCCTAGGCCTCCGACTCAGCACGTCTGACCTCGCCGGGCCTGCCCTAGTCACTAGGAGGTCAGACACCCTCCACGGGGCAAGGAACCAATCAGAAGTTAGCTGGCTGGACTCTGGATGTGCTTTACAGTCAAAGTGGGATTGACAGTGCAGAGCATAGCAACCGCCCTGGGCCTCTAAGCTTAGCAACCATTCCTGCAGGGGCAGTTGGCCAATCAACACAGGACAGGGCGCCCAAGCCCGGAAGTGCACCAATCCCGAGACTGTTGCAGACCCCAGACACTCCCCCAGCTCTACCCCAATATATTCCCTGCCCCACGGCTATTCCTTCTGGGTCCTTCTCGCTCCACCCACTGGGTCAGACAGATGAAGGACCCAGGTTAATACAGTTACCTCACTAATTAATTAAAGGCTCTGTGCTCTAGGTCTCTTGGTGATTTGGGAGTTCAGAATTTGAGCACAACACCACCACCACCCAGGCTAAGAAAAGAAATCTTAAAAAAGAATAGATACAAGGTACAGAGTGGATACTGACTGAGAGACTGAGGAAGGAAGGGGTGACGGGTGGGTAGGTGAATGGGGGGTGGCGTGTGCAGGGGGGTAGGGAGGCAGGAGGGGGGGTTGGTGCGTAGGTGGTGGATGAGTGACAGGGAAGGCATGGTGGCCAGGTGTGGGGGGGGTGGCGTGTGCAGGGGGGTAGGGAGGCAGGAGGGGGGGATGGTGCGTAGGTGGTGGATGAGTGACAGGGAAGGCATGGTGAGCAGGTGTGTCGAGCCTAAGTCCTCTTTCCCTGGCGTTCTAGTGTGCAGCCTTAGCCCAGGTCCCTGTCACCCTGTCAGGTAGTCAGCGTGACACTGGCATGAAACTCCAGCTTGTGGGACTCTGCAGGCAGCAGCTGTCTCTGGGACACATCCTCAGAGGCATGTGTCAGATCCAGGGTCATTGAAAGTATTTACAGCAGTAATCTACATTCCCTGGGACAGAGAAGACCTAGTCACGACTCAGCCAGGGAAGGCCCCAATGGTGCCTCGGGGCCTCCCGTCTGGCAGAGGGAACCTGAGAGCAGCCCCAAATATCCGGCACCTGGGCCCCTGGCTACACAGTGAGCTGGTGTGGTTGCTGTGATGTTGAGGACACTCACCTTTGTGACACCCAGTGAGAGTGGCTTGAAGTCGTCCCCCAGGTGGCTGCAGGAACCCGGCCAGGGGCACCAGCATTGGGTGTGGGCAGGCCCGGAACCAGCTCTGGGCTTGTTGGCACAGCTGTCCGATCATCGCGGGATGTGACGGAGCAAAGAAGAGCAGCCTGGCCAGGAGTTCAGTGTACAGGACGCTTTTCTCTGCAGGGAAGAGAGGCGTCACCGCCTGGACGGACCTTGCCGCCTCAGGACCCCAGCTGCTACAGGGCTCCAGAAAAGAAGCTGGGACGCCTCAGCTCCCGGCCCTGTCGCCCTCCTGCCTGGCTGGCTGTGTCCATCCACCCCACCTCCCGCACCAGAACAGCCGCCAGCCTCCAGGCTCTGCGGCCGTGTCCCCTCTGCCTTGGGCTCTTCTCCATCCGGGAGTTAGCTTATCATTTATTCATCTTGCTAGTGCCCAGATCGGCTTTGGCTCCTGGGCTCGGGAGAGTCTCTCTGCAGCTCCCCAAGTAGCTGAGATCCAGGTGCATGGCTGAGTGGGTGTGGCCAGGAAGGGGAGAGCGGCCGGACCGGTGGGGGTGGGTGCATTGATGGATGGGAAGCAGGGATGGATGGATTCAGAGGGATGGAAAGGCGGGTGGTGGGTGGGAAGATGACGTACAAATGGACAGACTGACAGATGCACGGAGTGGTAAAGTTTGGAGGGAAGACTGGAAGGGTGGACAGACAGACAGATGAAAGAGGAAAGACAAGGATGGTGTGAGGCTCTGTGGACAGATGAAGTGTGCCCAGCTTTCAAATGCCACCTCTGCCTAATTCACTCCCCGACTGCAGTCCCGCCCCACCGCCCCGGGTTGCTGTGTGTCTCTGGAGCCATTTGGCAGCCCCTTAGCCTCCTCCCTGCTCTTTAATTTGCCAGGAACAAGCATGTCATCTGTCCGGCCATTGCACAGCACAGCGCAGGCACTCAGTGGGCACTTCCGTTTAGTGTGGTGGCAAATGCCTGGTATCCCATCTCTCTGGAGGCTTAGACTGCAGGGTTAAGAGCTCAAAGCCAGGGCTGGAGAGATGGCTCAGAGGTTAAGAGCACCGACTGCTCTTCCAGAGGACCTGAGTTCAATTCCAAGCAACCACATGATGCCCTCTTCTGGCCTGCAGACATACAGGATGTTGTATTAATAAATAAATCTTTAAGAGAAAAAAAGAGTTCAAGACCAGCCTGGTCTACAGAGCGAGTTCCAGGACAGTCCAAAACAATACAGAGAAACCCTGTCTCGGAAAAAAAAAAAACCAGCAAACAAACAAACAAAAAGAGCTCAAAGCCAGGCTCAGCTGAATAGCATGGCCTTGCCTGAAAAAGAACAGAGACCAGAGTTTACCAGGGGATAAACATTTTTGCTGACTAGCCTGATGACTGAGTTCGATAACCAGGACTCAACTCCCTCATCCTCTGACTTCCCACACGAGTATCTAACCACATGGGCACACACAAACAGAACACTTTTGAAACGGAGAAGGCTGGAGAGAATTCTCCCTGGTTTCGAACATGTACCTACAATCAGGTGGCTTACATCCACCTCTAACCCAAACTCTGGGGACCCAACTTCTCCACCCAGCACGGGCACCTGCACACACAGAAAAATAAAAATAAAGACAGAGGATCAGAAGTGGCTTTGTGAAAGCCATCCTGGTTCCTGCAGCATTGACTGGGGGGCATCCTATCCCCACCAGGCGGCCATGCTCAAAGTAGACATGGAAATGCTCTGGGAACACACACTATTTTTCACCACACCTGGGACTAGAAACCCAGGAGCTTTTGCAAAGATCTTCCTCTCCCTCTCCCTCTCCCTCTCCCTCTCCCCCTTTCCTCCTCCTCCCTCTCCCTCTCCCTCTCCCTCTCTCTCTCTCTCATCAGGCACACACACACCCACACCCCACAACACCATCAGACACACCCATCAGGCACACCCATCAGACTCACAGAGGTCAAAGACACCCACTGGACACACCTATCTAACACATCCATAAGACACACCCAGAGGTACCACTTGCCAAACACTAAGATTAAATACTTTTTAAAAAAACTTTATCTTTTATCCGGACACAGTGGCGCAAACCTTTAATCCCAGCACTACAGAGCAGGGGAAAGTGGATCTCTGAGTTCAAGGCTAGCCTGGTCTACAAGGGTGAGTTCCAGGACAGCTTGTCTCTAAAAACAAAAACAAAGAAAACCCCACTCACCTTTTCTTTGAATTGTTTGACAGTTTAATTCTTTAAATTGCATTTTTCTCTTTGTGTATGAGCGTGCGCGCGCGCGCACACACACACACACACACACACACACACACACACACCCTGGTGCATGTGCAGAGGGAAATCTGTGGAAATCACTCCTGTCCTCCCACCCTGCGGGTCCCAGGACTGAACCAGGCTGTCAGGCTTGGCAGCAAGTGTCTTTATTTGCTGAGCCGTGGAGGTGGTCCCTCAGCTTTACTCTCTGAGGTGAGACCTCTCCCTGAACTAAACTCACGTATTCATGGCGACTGGGATCCGCCTGACTTGTGCTAACTCTGGGGCCGCAGGCACGCAGCAGCCCGAGCTTTGGAGTGCGGCTGGGATCTAAACTCGGGTCCGCAGGCTTGTGTAAGGGACACTACTAACTGAGCCGTGTCCCGGGGTCTGAGCTTTGCTTCCTCATCTTCTTCTTCTCCCTCCCCCTCCCTCCTCCTTCCCCCCTCCATTCCTCCATTCCTTCCTTCCCCCTTCTCTCCCTTCCTCTCCTTCCTTCCCTCCTTCCCTCCCTCCCTTCCCTCCCTCCCTTCTCTTCCTTCCTTCCTCCCTTCCTCCCTCCCTTCCTCCCTTCTTTCTCTCCTCGAAGGGTCTCACATAACTGGGGCAGACCTCGAACTCCTGATTTCCTTCCTCCACCTCCTGAGGGTTGGGGTGCCAGTCCTGCACCTCCAACTCCGTTTTCACTCTTGTGATTTATCCTTGCTTCAGGTCACCAGCTCCCCGGGTTATCTCAAGTTGCAGGAGCACAGGCCCCGTGGCGTTCAGCCGCCCTGGTGCCAGCAGGGTCCTGCAGAACCGGACCTGAGACAATGACCAACCAGACCATACCGCACCAGGGCAGCTCAGCTTTCCTTTCTTCCTGCCTGTGAGCCCCGAGACCGCCATGAACACCTCACATGGACAGTCTTCCCATTGCAGACCGTGGTGTTGGCCATACTGAAGACAGCTCGTTTTTGTGCTCACCGTCACTTCTTAGTTTGTACGGGTGTTGCGTTGTTCTCATTGTTCCTTTGTTTGAGACGGGGTCTCCTTGTGTAGCTCAGTTGTCCTGGGATTCTCTGTGTAGACCAGGCTGGCCCTGAACTCACAAAAGTCCACCCACCTGCCTCTGCATCCCGAGTGCTGGGATTGAAGGCGTGGCCACCACACCTGGCTCTGTCAGGGTTTGTTGCTCTTTTGAGACAGTCTCCCATAGCTTAGGCTGACCTTGAACTTGCTAGGTTTGAAGTTAGCTGAGGGTGACTCTGAACTCCCGATCCTCCTGCCTCAGTCTCCCCAGTGCTGGGATGTCAGGAAATGCCCCATCTGCCTACAGTGATTATTCTGTGTGTGTTTTATGCATGTGTGCATGCTCCTGTGTACATGCTCATGTGTGTATCTTCATATGTGTATGTGTGCATGCCTGTGTGTGTGCTCATGTGTGCACATTTGCATTCCCATGTGTGTGCACGCTCATGGGTCTTGTGTGTGTGCATGTTCATGTATGCATGTGTGCAGCTTGTGTGTGCATGCTCATGTGTTCGTGTTTGCATTCCCATGTGTGTGCACGCTCACATACATCCACTGTGTGCAAATGTATGTGCACATATGTGTGGTGCCAGAGGTCACCATCAGGTGTGTTTCCTTCATCACTCTCCCTTTAGTTTTGGTATCAGATTTCACTGACCCTGGAGCTCATAAGTTCAACTGGACTAGCTGGCCAGCAAAACCAGTAATCCCCCTGCCTCCACTCCATCCCCAGCACTGGAATTAAAGACATTCAGCGCCACACCTGCCCTTTTACATGAGTGCTGGGGACCTGAAGTCAAGGACTTTGCTCACTGAGCCATCTTCCCGACCCCTGTGATTATTCTCATCTTCTGAATTTCATCTACTAAATATTTATGGGACAGCAGGGTGGTGGTGGTGCACACCTTTAATCCCAGCACTCGGAAGGCAGAGGCAGGCGGATCTTTTTGAGTTTGAGGCCACCTGGTCTACAGAGGGAATGCCAGGACAGCCAGGGCTGCCCAGAGAAACCCTGTCTTGAACACACACACACACACACACACACACACACACACACACACACACACAAACCATGGGATTTATTTTTCTCTCCTGTCACTGAAGTTTGGGCACAATTCCCTTCATTCCCCTGAAATACTTCCTGTCTGCACTTGTCTAGAGGAAAATGTGGGTCCAGAGGGAGGGACAGCATTGGTTTTTTGGGTTTTGTTCCAAAAGTTCTTCCTGACGGCATTCCAAATTCTACAAGTTAGTATTGTAGGAGATGTCATGGAGTTACACAAGAAAGTGACACAGTGGGTGGATAGAGAGATGCAGATGGATGGATGGACGGGTGGATGGGTGGATGGATGGGTGGATGGATGGATGGATGGATGGATGGACGGGTGGATGGGTGGATGGATGGGTGGATGGATGGATGGGTTGGTGGATGGATGGGTGGATGGATGGATGGATGGATGGGTGGATGGGTGGATGGATGGATGGATGGATGGGTGGATGGGTGGATGGGTGGATGGGTGGATGAGTTGGTGGATGGATGGATGGGTGCATGGATGGATGGGTGGATGGATGGATGGGTGGATGGGTGGATGGGTTGGTGGATGGATGGATGGATGGATGGATGGATGGATGGGTGGATGGGTGGATGGATGGATGGATGGGTGGATGGGTGGATGGGTGGATGGGTGGATGAGTTGGTGGATGGATGGATGGATGGATGGATGGATGGATGGATGGGTGGATGGGTGGATGGATGGATGGATGGTTGGATGGGTGGATGGGTTGGTGGATGGATGGATGGGTGCATGGATGGATGGGTGGATGGATGGGTGGGTGGATGGATGGATGGGTGGATGGATAGATGGATAGATGGATGGCTGGGTGGATGGATGGGTGGGTGAATGACACATGAATGGAAGGTGGGAGGATTGACAGGTAGATGGGTAGATGGGTAGACAGGTGGATGGGTGGATGGATGAGCAGATGAGTGAATGATTGACAGAGGGAGGTGTAGGTTGGTGAAAAATCATCTTTACAGTTCCCTGGGAAGAATGGGTTTCTGAGGTTTCTGGAGAGCAGTGCAGAGCATACCCTCTTGTCAGGCCAGGATACACTCACCCATGCCCCGGAGCTCCACAGCAGGGCGGCACAGCTGGAGGGCTTCTCTGATCAGACCAACATCAGGAGAGTCCATGTGAGAGGCACACATGTCAAAGTCGTCCAGCAGGTCCTCGATGCCCCCAGAGATGCCCCGGCAGGACATCCAGTTCATGTTCCCTTTGGAGGACAAGGGGGGAGGAAAGGAGGAGCCCTTGTTCCCTGCTGGCTCATTCTGAGGGCAGAGAAGGGCCTCCCTTTCTCCCTGGGGTTCTTGAACTCCAATGTTCTGGCACTGAGGCTGATGGTTTCTTTGGTAGGCACTGAGCCTTGATTGATAGAACATGACCTGGCCTCCACCCCCACTGCTGCTGACACCTCTACCTGTAAGTATGACTCTCAGAAACATCCCCAGGATTTTCCAAGTGTCTCCAGGAGGAAAATGTCCTTTGAAAATCACAGGTATGGGTGGTGGGTGGGAAACTAAGTGGATGGAGTGATATGTAGACAGCCACCCAAGCACCCGTCCATCTATCCACCCAGACACCTACCTATCCATCCATCTGTCCATCCATCCATCTGTCCACCATCCATCTGTCTATCCATCCATCTGTCCACCATCCATCTGTCCATCCATCTACCTATCCATCCATCTGTCCATCCATCCATCTGTCCATCCATCTACCTATCCATCCATCTGTCCCCCATCCATCTGTCCACCCATCCATCTGTCCATCCATCCATCTCTCCACCCATCCATCTGTCCACCCATGCATCTGTCCATCCATCCATCTGTCCATCCACCCATCTGTCCACCATCCATCTGTCTATCCATCCATCTGTCCATCCATCTACCTATCCATCCATCCATCTCTCCATCCATCCATCTCTCCATCCATCTGTCCACCCATCCATCTGTCCATCCATCCATCTGTCCATCCATCCCTCTCCTACTCGTCTGCCCATTCATGCACTCATCTATCTACCAACGAACTCATCATCATCTATCCATCAATGCATACACATAGATACACCCCTCTATCATTCCATCAGTCCACTTATGGATCCACCCAACTACTCATATACCTGTCTACCTACCCATCGATCTTGCATCAATTATCTATCTGTCTATCATCTGTCCATCCATTCACATCTCCATCCATCCAGCCATGTCCACTTATCTATCCATTCATTCATCTGCCACACCATTACTCAGTAGTTTTCCCTTCAGTACCAACTTCCATTTACCCATCCCTCCTCCTCTATCTCTCATTCATTCACCCATTTGGCCAGTTTTCTACCCATCCTTTTATCTGTCCACCTTCTCGAAGGAAGAGTGTCCCTTGAGAATCACAGGTATGAATGGATGGGTGAGTGGGGTGGGGAGTGGATGGATGGATGGATGGGTGGGTGGGTGGATGGATGGATGGGTGGGTGGGTGGATGGATGGATGGGTGGGTGGGTGGATGGATGGATGGGTGGATGGGTGAGTGGATAGTGGGTTGATAGATGGTTGGGTGGGTGCATGCATGCATGGATGGATGGATGGATGGGTGGATGGATAGATGGGGGTGTCTAGGGCCCTTGTGGCCTCTGTCATGGTGACCCTTACCCAGCACCTCCTGCTTCAGCTCCTCCATGCGGCCCGCATGCAACAGATGGAAGGGCAGCTCTGTTAGCCTCCTCCAGTTGGCCACTGTGCCTGAGAACCACAGTGGCTGTGGGGCCACCTGGGGGGGGAAGGGCATCAGCTTAGGCTTGAATTCATGTGCTTTCCTTCCTCCACAAACACTGGCCAAGCTGGCACCAGATGGTGCTGGAGAGGACAGGGACATAGTGGCAGACAGACACACACCACCTCCCACAGCCAGGCCAGGCCACGTGGAGGGTCCTGGGGCTTGAGCATTTCAAGGATTAGACACAGCAGGGACATGGGAAAGCTCTGCGAGATGTGGGGCATTGGAGCTGGCCCTTGGTGGGTGAGGAGGAGTCCGGTAAAATGTGTTGGAGCAGTAGCATTGCCAGGCACTAGGTGCTCACCTGTAGGTACTCAGAAGGAGGGGTCAGGAGGGTCACCTGAGCCTAAGGGAGTTCTAGGCCAACTTAAACAGCAGGGTGTGGCCCCATCTCCAAAACCAAAAACAAAAGCATACGACAATAATAAAAACCAAAACCCAAGGGCTGAGAGTACAGTGAGTTGGAAGGGCCAGTCATAAGGGGAGTGAGGGGACTCAGACGGGAGCAGCATATGAGGAGAGGATTGCTGGCAGGCTGGAGAGGCAGGTACTGGGAAGCCATGGGGGATGTCGGGGAGGAGATGGCCACACTGCATTCTAGAAGGTTCCCTGTGAAGGCAGGGTGAAGTGAAGCAGCTCGAGGGCTGGGAGAGCAGACAGGCCCTGGAGGCTGCCCAAAGCGGGGTGGGGGGGCGGAGCTGAGCCTTGAGTCTGAAGCACCTGAACAGCCTCAAGCCATGGACAGCGAGGGAAAGGACTGGGCGGGGTTGTGGGCAAGACTGGCCAGTGCGGGAGTGAGTGCTGCTCTCTGATCTCTTCCATGTGTTCACCGGTAATCACACGAACCCGTGCGTGTGCGTGTGTGCATGCGTGTGTGCGCGCGCGTGTGTCTGTATGTCTGTATGTCCCTGTGTGTGTCTCTGTGTGTCTCTGTGTGTATGCGTGTATGTGTGTGTGCACGCGTGCACATGCATGTATGTCTGTGTGTATCTGTGTCTGTGTGTATGTGTGTCTGCGTGTATGTGTATGTCTGTGTGTGTCTGCGTGTCTGCATGTCTGTGTGTGTGTCTGTGTGTCTGTCTGTGTATCTGTGTGTATGTGTATGTCTGTGTGTGTCTGCGTGTCTGTGTGTCTGTGTGTCTGTGTGTCTGTGGGGTGTGTGTACATGCACAGTGCAGAGGTAGATATCACAACTTTTCCTCAGTTGTGCTCCATGTGACTTTTTGAGACAGGCTCACACTGAACCACACCAATTGTAGTAAACGAACTGGTCATCTAGCCCGTCTAACCCGAGAGAGCCACTAAATGGGCTTTTTGTTTTTGTGAGACAGACATTGTCTCACTATACAACCCTAGCTGTCCTGGAACTTACTCTGTAGACCAGGCTGGACTCAAATTCATAGAGACCCACCTGTCTCTGCCTCCCGAGCGCTGGGATTAAAGGTATAAATCTCACCATACTAGCCATGTCTGCCTTTTTTTTAGTTTTATTTATTTTATGTATATGTGTTTTGTTTACATGAATGCCTGTACACCACATGGGTACAGTGTTCACAGAGGCCAGAAGAGGGCATTGGATCCCCTGGAACTGCAGTTGCAGATGTGAGTAACCATGCAGGTGCTGGGAACTGAACCCAGGTCCTCTACAAGAGCAGCCAGTGCTTTTTTGTTTGTTTTGTTTTAGTTTGGTTTTGGTATTTTGAGATGGTGTTTCTCTGTGTAGCCCCAACTATCCTAAAACTCACATTGTAGAGCAGGCTGGCCTGGAACTCAGAGATCCACCTGCCTCTGCCCCTCGAGTGCTGAGATTACAGGCGTGCGCCACCAACGCCCGGCTGCAGCCAGTACCTTAACCGCTGAACCATCTCTCCAGCCCCTGGCTTTTTTATGTGGGTTCAAGTATTCAGCCAGGATGCAAGTCTTCACATAAAGAAGAGTCACAGCTCTGTCCTCAGAGCCAGGGAGTCACCCGTGGACAGGAAGGAGGCTGCACCCTCCTGGCTGAGCAGCTGACCCAGCGGGACCTGGAATGTCTTCAACAAGTCCCAGAGCCAATTGCCATTTTATTTTATCCTCATCAATGGCAAGAAGGCTATGCCCCATAGATACTTAGTGCAAAACAGCACAAACACACACAGTGCACACTGAGCCCCTAGAATTGCATCCCGGGGTAGATGAGCACCTTGGTGCTCTGGAAGAGAACTGAGTGGGTTTGGGGTGTTCTGAGTGGGAGAGAAGGAAAAGGACAGTCTCGTCGGGGTGTGGCTCTGGGAATGGAGTGGGCATGACCTCACCTTCCGGTCCAGGTTTAGTGGCTTCCCCACGAGCGGCAGGGTGATGAGTTTCTTGGTGCCCTGACTCCAGGCTCCAGAGAAGAATTCAGCTAGCACACTATGTCTCTTGGATCTCTCGGGCCCAGACAGGTATCGAACCCGGATCACCTGGGACAGCTGTCTGTGGAGAAAGGTCACAGCTGATGACCCTGGGGACAGAACACGTACGGAAGCTGTTTGCCCACTGCATGTCCTGCTGTCACTTAGTGCTGAGTGCTAAAATGGTCCTTTTTTATTTCCCTTTCTCTCTTACAAGATTCTGCTGTTGGGGGCATGAAATGGTTCAGTAGATAGAGATGCTTGCTGCCCAGCCTCACGATCTAAGTTCGATCCCTGCCACTTCCATCACAGAAGACAAAAACTGACCCCCACGAGTTGTCCTCTGACTTACACACACACACACACACACACACACACACACACACACACGCACACGCACAGGCTACATACACACTACACACACACATGCACACGCACGCACGCACACACGCACGCACGGGCACACACACACTACACACACGTATGTACACGCATGCACACCACACACACACACACAGTGAAAAGAAGGCTGGGGGCATGTCTCGGGGGGCTCCCTGCCTAGAATCCCGCAGCACCGCATACAACACTCAAACACAAAACAGACGAGGTAGGTAGAGTGCACACCGCGACTGGTTTGTGCTAGACTGCCCGAAGGCCCGAAGGCCCGAATGCCCGAATGCCCGAAGGCCCGAATGCCCGAAGGCCCGAAGGCCCGAATGCTACAGGACAGGAAGTCAAGGGATGGGCTGGGAGCCTTGCTCCCAGGGTCCCACGAAGACCGTGTCCCTGCTCTCCCTGCTCCGGCCTACCTTTGCGCGATGGCCAGCAGTGTGCAGCCATCCACAGGCCTCCTAGTCAAGCAGGGTGCCAGGTCCCGGCGGAGCCGCACCCACAGCAGGGGCGGGAAGCGCAGGAGCTCCTTGCTGGGCGGCGTCCAGTCCCTGTACACAGCCTGCAGGACCTCGTCATCCAAAGACAGCACATCCTTCAGTTCTGCCTCCGACAGACCGTACCTGTGGGCGAGGGGCGCAGCACACCGTGACTGCCCTGTGAGTGGGCTTGCATGCGCGGGACCGTGTGTGCAACCGCTGGCAAGGGACCTCCAATGCAGACCACTGCAGCCGCCCCTTTCACGCACATCTGCAGAGCTGCACAGGCCACTCTCCAGGCTCACGGGGGTCTCCGTCGGGCATGGTGACACACCTCTGTCATCCCAGCACTGGGCAAGTGGAGGCAGGAGGATTTGGAGCTAAATAATGAGTTCCAGGACAGCCATCTTTTTGTTTGTTTTTCGAGACAAGTTTCTCTGTGTGGCTTTGGAACCTGTCCTGGAACTGGCTCTGTAGATAAAGCTGACCTTGAACTCACAGAAATCCACCTGCCTCTGCCTCCAGGTGCTGGGATTAAAGGCATGCACCACCGCACTGCTCACAACCATCTGTAATGAGATCTGGTGCCCTCTTCTGGCCTTCAGGAAAACATGCAGGCAGAACACTGAATACATAACAAATCTTTTTTTAAAAGTCCTTTTTGCAGTTTCTTTGCGAACTGTCATGTGGTGGCACACGCCTTTAATCCCAGCACTTCGGAAACAAAGGCAGGCAGATCTTGGGGAGTTTGAGGCCAACCTAGCTTACAGAGCAAGTTCCAGGGAGTCAGGACTGTTACACAGAGAAACCCTGTCTCAAAAAACCAAAAAAAAAAAAAAAAAAAAAAAAAAGAGTTTATCTGAGTATAGTGTGCACGCTTTTAATTCTAGAACTTGGGAAACAGAGACAGGAGAATTTTTGTGAGTTCCAGGCCAGCCTGGTCTACATAGATTCTGCCTAAAAAATAAATAGATAGATAGAGAAAATTTTAAAAAGCAGAAAAGATAATAAAGCAACACAGTACAATTCCAACACTGAACCAGAGCAAAGAAAATAATCCTTGCAGTAATCTCCAAACAGCAGCAGAGGCCATGATGACTGACAACCCTCATAATAAAATATCCTGGTCATGCCAGGTGGTGGTGGCTCACACCTTTAATCCCAGCACGGGGAAGGCAGAGGATCTCTGAGTTGGAGGCCAGCCTGGTCTACAGTGAGTTTCAGGACAGCCAGGGCTACACAGAGAAACCCTGTCTCAAAAAACAAAAATATTCTGAGCCGGGCGTTGGTGGCGCACTCCTTTAATCCCAGCACTCGGGAGGCAGAGGCAGGCGGATCTCTGTGAGTTCGAGGCCACCCTGGTCTACCGAGCGAGTTCCAGGACAGCCTCCAAAACAATGCAGAGAAACCCTGTCTCGAAAAAACCAAAACAAAAACAAAAACAAAAAAAAAAACAAAAAAACAAAAATATTCTGATCAAAGGATGGAGACGCTTGGTAGGCAGACAGTCTCAAGCCACCCTGGCAAGGAAGCCACAGGCACAGGAGTCACTGATGGTTAGTCACAGCACAGCCACAGTCACCAGCAGAGGGCTGAAGGCACCCATGCTATCTGCTCAGTTGGCTCTCCTCCCTAACACAGTCCAGGCCCAGTCTGTGGACACTGCTGCTGCGTTCTGGTTGAGTCCTCTCACCTCAATAAACACATACACATACACACACACACACACACACACACACACACACACACACACACACAGTGCATACAAACACAGAGACACACTCGCAGGCCAACCAGATCTAGACAAGGCCTCGCTAAGTCTTCCTCTCAGGCGACTCCTCATGTCAAGGCAGTCATAGGCAACCGTCACAGCTGTGAGTCCATGCAGCAGACTGACCACCAACCCTGTACAAGTGCCAGCTGAAACTGGAAATAAGCCAAGCCCGCCAATCTGGCTTCACATTCAACAGAGGCTTTGCGAGCTTAGCCAGAGCGATGTAAGAGGGCGTGACTGCGTGTGTACCAGACCCGGAGGCAGGATGCTCCTGGAGCTGTCAAACGCTTCAACACAGCACCAAGCTACAGAGTCAACACACAGGGCTCCGTGGAAAGAGCCTTAGGACCTTAACGGGTTCTGCAGCATCCATGCAAAAGGCTGGGTGTGACTGCGTGGGTGTGGCCGTAACCCCAGCTGGGCTCGCTGGCTCCAAGGTCAGCGAGAGACCCTGTCTCAAGGGAATAATTCTGAGATGGAAAGAACTGGACACCACGTCTTCCAATGGCTCTACATGTACACACCATACACATGTACCCAACCAACCAAAAAGGAGGGAGGGAGGGGAGGAGGGAGGGAGCGAGGGAAGGGAGGACGGAAGGAGAGAAGGAGGGACAGAGGGAAGAGGACGGAGGGAGAGAAGGAGGGACAGAGGTCAGAGGGACGGAGGGAAGGAGGCAGGCAGACTTACCGGGAAGACACAATGTACCCCAACACATGGGCGACCAGCAGCTGCCCATGAGTGTCCTCCAGGCGGACGCAGAGCTGGTGTGTGGCCTCCTCAGCTGTGGCGGCCAAGGGCACTGGCACAGTGAAGGAGGCCCACTTCCGGGCCTCCTCGAAGGCCAGCCGTAGTCGCCCTGGGTGGCCGCACTCTGGGAGGCTGGCCCGGAGGACGTCCCTCTGAGCTGGGCTCAGCGTTCTCCTCTCCGCAGCCAACAGCAGTTGGATGAGCTCCTGTCCCTGACACCCAGACAGGGCCTTCACCTCCCAGTGGGCACTGGGGTCCTTGAGCGTCTGTTGCAGTGTGTATAGCACCTGCTGGCCTGCGCATGCAGAAAGGATGACATGTACCCTTGGGGGACACCTGAGGGGCAGCCAGGAGACCCTCCGAGAATGGCATATGGAATCCAGATCATCCACCGAGTCCAGGAGCAGCACCAAGGACTCAAAGTTCCTACGGGACACAGTGTGGAGGAGCGTGTGGAAGAAATGTCCCATCCTGCTGTGGACCTCCAGGACCTGGGTTGGGGGCAGTGGCAGCCCGTAGGCCAAGCACACCTGAAAGGACACACTCCTGAGGAGGCTTCGGGCGTCCAGGCTCATCTTTGATGTCCCCAACAGCCTCAGGATGACCACAGTCTTGTGGCCAAGAAGCCCTGGTACCTGCTCAGACAGTTTGCACATGAGGGAAGTCTTCCCGATGCCGGGAGGTCCAAAAAGGACCAACGGCGTATGGGGCCGGCTGTCATCCTGTCTGAGCCGCTGTCCCAGCTGGGCCAGGAGCTCCTGGTGGCCACAGAAGATCCTGGCGGACTCTGTACTCTGCCAGAGATGGTGGCGGATCTCCTGGTAGAGCCAGCCCAGCTCCTGTCTGGCGGACTCCAGCTCTCGCAGTTGCTCCAGGACTTGATGGTTGGTCCTGGCCACAAACTGCTCGCTCAGCTCCTTCAGGTAGCGGGCATGAGCCTTGTTCTTGGGGTTGACCAGGTCACGGCTCCAGGGCAGGCGGTGGGACTTTAGGGCTCCAGGCTGAGCATCCAATATCCGTCCCTTAAGGCCACTGAGAAGACTCTGGGTGTTGGTGTCCAGGCAGCCATCCGCCAGCCGATCCACCATCTTCAGAGAGCAATCATCCAAGATGTGTTTACTGAGGTCCTGTACGTCTCTCAGGAAGACAGTGGCTGCCTGGGCCCCTGCTGCTGAGCTCAGGAGACCCCACTCAATCTCCCACTCAATGACTGCAAAACAGAGAACGAGAGGAATCATCAGGGTCCCCGAGGCCTGTGAGGGGCTTCAGGGTGACAGGTCCCAGAGGGACATGGGCTGTCAAGGTCAACAATGGGACAGCTCTCGGGGCAGCTTGCAGAGGCCCACATGGGATGTGCACTTGTGGGGGGGGCGGTATTTACACACCATGCCGGCAGGGACCAGAGACCAACCTCTCCCGTGTCGCCAGCCAGCCTGCCTGAAACTGTGAGCTTTGGGTTCAAGGAGAGGCTACATCTCAAAGGAATCGTGACCAGTGACAAAGGACGAGGCCTGCTCCGGATTCCACTTGAGCGAACCCGCAGAGTCACGTACACGTCACACACACACACACAACAGTTGGGCAGGGTGGGTCACCCTGAGGTCCCAGCCCTCTGCGGGCTGAGGTGAGGATCGCTAATATGAGGCCGTCCTGGGCCGCAAGACAATGTCTTCTTTTTCACGTTTATTCATTTAGTAAGTTAGTTGGGGGGCGCGTTTTGGGGGGGTGAGCGCCACCCAGCATGTATGAAGGGAGGTCAAAGGACAACTGGGGGAGCCAGTTCTCATTCCGCCAGGTGACCCATCAGTATTGAACTCGGGTCATCGGGTTGGTGGCAGGAACCATTACCTGCTGACTCAGCATGTAAAGCTCTAAGGCAGACTACACAGGGAGACTTTGCCTCAAAAGAAAAAACAAAACAAAAACAAACAAACAGCCGGGCGTTGGTGTCGCACGCCTTTAATCCCAGCACTCGGGAGGCAGAGGCAGGTGGATCTCTGTGAGTTCGAGACCAGCCTGGTCTACAGAGCGAGTTCCAGGACAGCCTCCAAAGCCACAGAGAAACCCTGTCTCGAAAAACCAACCAACCAACCAAACAAACAAAAAAACAGATGGTGTGTGATTTTATTATAATAAAAGTCTAGGCCGGTCGGTGGTGGCCACGCCTTTAATCCCAGCACAGGGGAGGCAGAGGCAGGCGGATCTCTGTGAGTTTGAGGTCAGCCTGGTCTACAGAGTGAGTTCCAGGATAGCCAGGGCTGCACAGGGAAACCCTGTCTCAAAAAACTGAAATAAAGAAAGAAAAAACGTCCAGAACAGGCATGTGCACAGATAGCAAGCAGATGAAAGGCCTTCTGTAGCCCAGGCAGAGGAATAGCCTCCTACTACAGGGATAGAATATTCTGGAACTAGGCCGAGGTGGCAGTACACAGCATGGTGAGTTCAGTTTACAAGTGGGAATTTCAGCTCTGTGAGTGTCACCTCCCTGTCAATCAGGAAACAGCGTGTGTCAGCCTCTGTGGTCCACATGGGAACCACACTGAGGGTCACCTGTGGAAACAGTGATAGTGAATGACACTGTCGTCCAGATACAGGTGACAAGCTGACTGGGAAGGCAGAGAGGAGGAAGTGAGGATTATTACAGGGTTCCGCATCCTTATAGCCAGCTGGGTAGAAGCTGCAGCTGCTGCCTGAAACAGGCTTGGCATCTCACCCTAAAGGGCCAATGAAGGTAGATCTGTCACCGTAGCAATAATGCAACAGATGACACCCAAACGAATGTGCCTGACTGTGTCAGTGAAGCCTTACTTCAAGCACGAGCTGTGGGCCAGGCTTGGTACCATTACCACAGCTGGCCGATCCCTGTCCCAGGACCTGTTGTAGCTGCCCCAGGATTCTTGTCTTCTAAAGGTGTATCTCTGTGTGGCCTTGGCTGTCCTGGAACTCCCTCTGTAGACTAAACTGGCTTCGAACTCACAGAGATCCCCTGCCTCTGCCTCCCGAGTGCTGCGATTAAACCCGTGCGCAGCCACCGGCTTGTCTGTATTTTTAGTTAAGTGCACGTGTGGGTGGGTTTGTGCCTGTGAGGATGGACGGGGTCTGGGGGCAGGAAAGAACTCGGGTCCTCCGGAAGGGCAGCCAGAGCTCCACCGCTGAGGCACCTCCCCGGCAGTGGCCCCTGGACTCTCATTTCTAGAACTCACAAGGACTTGTCTCAGGAGGCTCTTGTTTTTTTCAGCAGTAGCCAGAGTTATTTTTGAAGCCTCTCCGGGCTCAGTGGAGGCTCCCAGCTCTCTGCAGACGGGAGAGCCAGGCCCTCGGAGACACTGCATTCCACTCAAGGACAAGAATCACCCAAAGTCCTCTCCAAAGCAGGCATGGAGGCACAGGCCTGTTACCTCAGCAGGAGGATCACAGGTTCAAGGCCAGCTGGGTGGCTAAGACTCTGCCTCAAAATGAAAGAATAAAAAAGCTGGGACGGAAAGGCCTGGTACCATCCGAATTCCAGTTAAAGGAATTCACCACATATCCCTGGAGGCAGAGGCAGGGGGATCAGGAGTTCAAGGTCATCTCTGGTTATGTAACAGGTTCAAGGCTGGCCTGGGCTACATGAAATTCTATCAAAAAACAAACAAACAGAGATTTCCCCCAAGAGGCAGGGGCAATGGTGCAGTGGGTAAAGAGTTTGTCATCTATTCATGAGGATGACAGTTCATGTCCCCAGTCCTGGGGGATGTGTGCAGTCTTGATTTCCTGTGTCGCGTGAACCCCTGGGGCTCCCTGGGCCTCACCTGACCGATGGTAACGCTTCCATTGCTCCTGGCTGATGAGGCCCAGCCTCCAGGCCTCCTGGGCTCCACCCTGAAGGACAGAGGTCAAAGTGGCCTCCTCAGGCCCTGAGGCCTCCACAGAGCCTGGAGGCTGCAGCAAGTAGGTGGGAGGGACGGTGTTGTCGTCTCTCTGGAAATGTCTGGCCACCAGCTCCAGATCGCGAGGCCTGGAGGCCAGCTGGGTCCTCAGCGCCTTCCACTCTTTCTCTTCCATCCGCTGGGGAACCAGGCAGGGGCCATACTGGTCCCCCAGGAGAGCCTGGCAGGGAGACAAACGGGGCATGGGTTCAAATCCCACTTGACACTGAACTCTGGGGCTGTGAAGGGAGCACACTGAGGCCTTGGATGCCACCCTGGTGGTGACATCATGGTGACGATTACACAAAGAAGCTGGGTGTGGAGGCACCGAGTGATGCCAGTACTCGGGGAGGGGGCCGAGGCAGGAGGAGTGGGGTTCTAGGCCAACATGCACAGCACAGGAAGGCATCTCAGAAGAATGAGGACCTCAGCAACAGCTACAAGAGAGGAGGAGGGGGAGGGGGAGGGGATAGAAAAAGAGGGGTACAGAGAGGCGGAGGGAGAACACTCTCAGTCGTCATTGCGCAGGTCTCTGTGTGTGTGTGCGCCTGTACGTACAATGGGCGCATGTGAGGACAACAGTAAGTTTTTGTAGTTTTGAGTCAGGGCTCCAATGCTGCCCAGGCCACATGTCCTGTCCAGGAATCCTCGGTGGCGGAGGGCCGGGCAGCTCCTCCAGGGTCCAGCCTGCAGCACAGGGAGGTTGGAGGCTGGAGCCACAGAGCAAGCGAGGTGCTAGGCGCAGCTGGAGCCCCAAGAGTCGCGTCTGTAAAGGAGGCGCGTGGGGACCTGTGACTTGCTAATGAGTTATTTACCACAGAGTCTTCTCTCCAGGGCACCTGGTGGATCTGATTTCGTGGAAAGTCCCCCTAACAAGAGTGACAGTGAGCCGGGCGTTGGTGGTGCACGCCTTTAATCCCAGCACTTGGGAGGCAGAGGCAGGCGGATCTCTGTGAGTTCGAGGCCAGCCTGGTCTACAGAGTGAGTTCCAGGACAGCCTCCAAAGCCACAGAGAAACCCTGTCTCGAAAAACCAAAAAACCAAAAAAAAAAAAAAAGAGTGACAGTGACAGGCAGGCTCCAGGGACAAAGACGGGCAATGCGGGGCGGGGCAGGGCGGGGCGTGGTCAGGAGGGCTCAGCTGAGGAGCTGCAGGTCTAGGAGGGCTGGTGGCATGGCGGATGGAGGCAGCCTGGGGCGCTGGCTTCCCCCCTGCTGCTGGCGCTGTCTTGTGCTTTTCCAGCCCGCAGTGTGGACTGAGAGTCGTCCCCTGTCTTCTCTCTCTCTCTCTGAAAATTTTACTTTGTAGGAGGTTTGTTTATTTTTGTGCTTGAGGATATTTTCTCCTTCCTGTTTAAAAACCATGTTTCAGGGCTGGTAAGATGGCTCAGTGGGTAAAGCATTGGCCAAGGAGCCAGGCAGTCTGAGTGCGATCGCTGGGAGTCAGACGCTGGGAGGAGGGCGGCAACCCCGCAGACTGCCCTCTGACTGCCCCACCCCACACATAAATAAACCAGTATCCGGAAGTGCACGGGCTGGTGGCACGGGCTGCAGTCCCCAACCGGAGGCGTCAGCTTCACCGTGAGTGTGGGCCATCCTGGGCTACCTGAGACCCCTTCTCAAATGGGAAGACCAAAGCCAGTTCTCCCTTGCAAACCCAGCACGGGCCTCCAGCTCATGGAGACCAAACAGGACATCTCTGTCAGCATCCTCCCAAAGGTCCGGGAGCGTCACAGAAGAGGGGGTGCAAGAACGCTGTGACCACGACTCGGCTGGGGACCCACGAGCTCACAGCAGCTACGCTGCACACCCTCAACACAGCTAGAACCCCGCTGTGGTCCTGCGGCCCCACCCCCATCCGAGGACCTGTGGGCAGTTGATGGCTGCTGGGGGAGGGGAAGCACTTTGTTTCCAGGGTGGGGCCTCGGGCAGGCTGCTCTGGCTCGGAATTGTCGGAATTGTCGAATTCCGTGTGCATTCAGGTGGCGCTAATTGAAATGGTTAGGGTATTTTTTTAAAGACCCAAGGGTGGAAGGAGGGTGTCTGGGCGGTGTAGGGGGTAGGTGGGGGATGCTGGGCATGGATTTGATCAAGATAAGTGTATGAAGGTAAGAAACTCTCAAAGAAGACATTTAAAGTAATATATTTTTAAAAAAACACTCTTGGGTTGAAGCAATTCTCCTGCCTCAGCCTCACAAGTAGTTGCCATGACAGGTGTATGTATGCCTGCACCTCCAGCTTCTTCTGTTTTCTTAGGGAGACTTAATCTCTGGGCGACACTAGCCTGTAGAACATTCTAGAAATCCACACTTCCAACACCCTCACTGTGACCAAGGCAATGGGAACATTGCTGCACAGGGCCTGTGGCTCTTGATGTGGCAGTGAGGGTTTTATTCATGTGTGAGCCTGTGAGTATGGGCACTTGAACGCAGTGCCCTCAGATGCCAGAGAGGACACCAGACCCCCACAGTTGTGAGCCGCCTGACGTGGGTGCTGGGATCTGAACTGGGGTTCTCTGCAAGAGCAGCACAGGCTCGTAACTGCTGCGTCTGAGGGCTGTTGGTTTGTTTGTTCCAAAACAGGGTCTCTTTATGTGTTTCTGGCCGTCCAGGACTCCCTCTGCAGACCAGGCTGGCCTCAGACTCACAGAGATCCACCTGCCTCTGCCTCCCGAGTGCTGGGTACTCCCAGCTTAGGTTTTTTGTTTTGTTTTTTTAATTTTCACTTTTTGTGACAGGGTCTGGAACTTGGTAGCCAAGGGTGACCTTGAGTTCCTGATCTTCCTGCCCCCACCTCCTGGAATACTGGCCTGCTCCGCCAACCAGAGAGTGGATTATTTTGGTGGCAGAGGAGGTAGAGGTGTATATTGCAGAGCAACAGAAACATGGGTATGGAGGCAGAAAAAGGATGTGAGTTTCTACTTTCTCTCTTGTTTTCCAGAATCCCAAACTTTCCACCTATAAAGTGGACCAGGTGGGAAGGGTGAAGGGAATTTCAGAACGGCCTGGAAGATTCCCTCCAAGTCAGCATTATGCCCTCCGGCTCACTTACTGCTGCCTTCGATTACCAATGCCTGACTCCCAGCTTCTTCTGAGGAGCTCTCCAGTACAGTTAGAGATTAGTCATGTCTGTCCTGACTGGTTCATGGGGACTGGATGCTAGCTAAAATGCCACCCACTTCTCTCTCTCTCTCTCTTCTGTTTGGGTAGCTGCCAGGGACCACACATTCCTGTGACAGAAGACAAAATAAGGGCAACGCCACCTACCCTGACACACTCACCACAAAAGCTGGTCCTATGGACGTTTTCTGGCAGCGCTCAAGTTCTTCTAAGCAGAGGTCTATGGTCAAGTGTTCAGTGGCTTGTGTGTTCGGGACACCCCACCTCAGATCAACCACCTGGGAACAAAAGGCTTCTGATGACTGGTTTGTTCTGCAGTTTCATTCGACTGAAGAAGTTTCTCTTGTAGGGGGTTCTAGATTACACAAACTGGAGGCTAGGGGTGTAGCTAAGTGGTGCCCAGAATCCCCCAGTGAGGGGCTGGGGGCGTGGTGTGGCAGATTGATGGGGGAAGTCCTATGTATATGTCAATAAAGCACTGTTGGGCCAATAGGGAACCAAGATAGGTGGGACTAGGAGTCCAGGAGAACTCTGGGAAGGAGAAACACAGAGAGTCAAGATGTAACGCCACGGGGTAGGAAGCTCGGAACTATTCTCCGGTAACAATTATGGAGTAATTACTTAACTCAGAGCTAGCCAGTAAGAAACAAGCAAGGCCAACAGCTTCATAATTAATATAGCCTCCTGTGTGTTTATTTGGGACTGATGTGGCACTAGAACCAGGCTGGCGGGAAGGTTTCTCTCAAGGAAAAGATTTCTCTTTACAGCAGATGGCTTACATAATGCACATGATTGATCCCTGGGTTCCATTCTGCACCAGAATAAAAGACAAAAGTGTCACTCCCACCAGTGTTTATCCCTAGTGCACAAATGGACTTTGGGAGCCCATTCCCCATGGAGGGATGCTCTCTCAGCCCAGATACACAGAGGAGGGCCTAGGCCCTTCCCCAAAGGATGTGACAGACTTTGTTGATCCCCTGTGGAAGGCCTCACTATCCTTGGGGAGTGGGTGGGGCTGGGTTGCAGGGGTTGGTGGGGGGCATGGGAGGATGGGGGCGAGGGAATGGGGGGATTGATATGTAATATAAGGTTGCTTCTAAAATAAAATTTTAAAAAAAAGTGTCACTCCTGCCGGACGGTGGTGGCGAGTGCCTTTAATCCCAGCACTCAGGAGGCAGAGGCAGGCGGATCTCTGTGAGTTCGAGGCCAGGCTGGACCGACAGCCTCCAAAACAATACAGAGAAACCCTGTCTCGTAAAAACCAAAAAAAAAAAAAAAGTGTCACTCCTTTAGTACCAGAACTCTGGAGGCAGAGGCAGGCAGATCTCTGTGAGTTCAAGGCCAGCCTGGTCTTCAGAGTGAGTTCCAGGATACCCAGAACTACACAGAGAAACCCTGTCTTTCCGGAGAGATGGCTCAGAGGTTAAAAACACTAGCTGCTCTTCCAGGGGACCCCAGTTCAATTCACAGCACCCACACGGCAGCTCACACGTGTCTATAACTCAAATTCCAGTGGACCTGACACCTTCAGACTGACATATGCACAGGTAAAACACCAATGCACATGTTTTTTACATTTTAAAGAGGAAAAAATGGTTCATCGGTGTAATTATGAGAAAAGAAACGGGTAGATCCCCACTAAGGGGATGTCTTTGTCCCTCTCTCAGGTCACGGTCATGAACTGCAAAGAAAGTCCCTTGGGCTCCTGATGCTTGAGTGGGGGGAGGATTTTGAGGTCAAGGTGCAACACACAAAAAATAAAAGGTCCAGAGACAGATATTGGGGTTCAAGCTGAAGATCAGAGAAGCAAAGCAGCCAAGCCAGTAGATGTTACCTCTACCCAGCTGGAATGGCACTCCTGTCCTCACGAATCCTCAGAGGCAAAAGCTCTCAGTTCCTGTGTCCTCCTTTTATTCCTTTCTCCCCCCAGCCATGTCCTCTGTCTCCACCTCCCTACTGCTGGGATTAAAGGCCAGTGAGTGCTGAGATCACCTTTGTGTGAGCAGTTTCTTTTAGGATTGGATCAGTTTTGTGTAGTCAGTGTGACCGTCTGCCTCTTAATCCTAAATCCTGGGATTACAGGTGTATATCACTACTGCCTGACAGTTTGAGGCTGGCTTTGCTGTCTGAATCATCAGGCAAGCTTTAAAAAATTGTAAATACTATATCACCACATCAAGGCCTGTTTGAGCTACATAGAGACCCCGTCTCGAGGGAGAAGGAAAGAGAAAAGAAAAGAAAGGTTTATTAAAAGCAAGTTTGTGGGGCTGGAGGGCCGCCCTGGTTTCAAGTACTTGCTGTTCCCCCAGAGATCTGAGTTCGATTCCCAGAACTGTACTGGGTATGGCACAACAGCCTGGAACTCCAGCTCTGGGAATCCAAAGTCCTCTCTGGCCCCCGGACACCTGCACACACACACACACACACACACACACACACACACACACACACACACACATTAATAAAATAATGCAGAGGCAGGCGGATCTCTGTGAGTTCGAGGCCAGCCTGGTCTACAGAGTGAGTTCTAGGACAGCCTCTAAAGCAATACAGAGAAACCCTGTCTTGAAATACAAAACAAAACACAAAAAGGGGCTTGGTAGGGCAGAGGCCAAGCCTGGGTTGGCAGAGTGCTTGCCTGGCTGCGCTAAGCCCTGGGCTGTCTAGCAGATGGGGCTGGGACGTGCCTTTCATCCCTGAACTTGGAAGCAGGGGTATCCAGAGTTTAAGACCATCCGTATTGAAGTCAGTGTCAGCCTGGATTTCACCAGACCCTGTCTGAGCAATTGAAAAATTCTGTAGGAAGCTGGGTGTTTCTGAAGGAGAGCATGTCCAAGCTCACTGGGAACAGGCTTTTGGAGGGAGGGCATTGAGACCAGAAGGACATGACCCAGTCAGTTCTCCTTAGCAACCACACGCAGGCCAGTTCCACCTTTGCCACTGGCTGGCAGGGGGCTGGGAGAGGTGGAGGAGGGGCTGGGAGGCTGCAGGGCTGTTCCAGTGAGGCTGGGATGACAGACAGAAGACAGGGTTCAGGGAGGGGCTCCACCTTTGTCGGTTCTGTAGCCAGAGAGAAAGAAATGCAAACCCTGAGCGACTGCAGCAACAGGAACAGAGGCTGAGAGGAGCGGGCAGGGGAGAGGCGGTGAGGGTGCAGCCTCCAGGGGTGCAGCCTGGTGCTTGTGCCACCTGACTGGGGCACCGGCAAGGGTGTTAAAGCGACAGGCACAGGGCTTTCATGAGCCCTCATTGTGTAAGATTCCCTTTCTGTCACTGTTTTGTTCTGGTGACCCGTGCGCATGGGAGCGTGTGTGCATGTGTGCGTGCGTGTGTGTTTGTGTGTGTGTGTGTGTGTACATGCAGAGCCTCGAGGTCGGCCATGTCTGGTGTCTTCCATTACTCCTCGACATCTTGGTTTTTGAGACAGGGTCTCTCAGGTTGGACTGCATGACCATGGAGCTCCGGGGCTGTTGGGCTCCTGACCCCCATGTCACATGCCACTGCACACAGTTTCTATGTGGGTGCTGGGGATCAGAACTCAGAGCTTCATTTATACTTGCAAGGTAATCCCTGTCCTTTCTCAGGAGTCTATCAAGAATGGAGTTGGGCTTTCTGCCTCCTCTGCCGCCATGGCTCCACCGGAAAGCCTGTGGAGAAGGGAGCTCAAAACAAGGCTGGCTTTGAAGTTCACCCTGACTGCACCCTGGAGAAGAAGGAGCCACGGGTGCTGCCAATTCCAAGCAGTTCCTCCTGTAGAGACTCAAAGAGACCTGGGAAGCTGGTGAAGGGGTGTGGCAGTCGAAGGGCAGGCCCCAGAGCAAGATCATTGTGGCTTCTCAGGTGTCTGTCCCCAAACCACAGTCTCTGAGACCACTGCTGAGAGCTGGGCGGTGGCGGCACAGCCTTTAATCCCTGAGGTAGACAGGGCTTGAGGCCAGCCTGGGCTACAGAGTGAGTTCCAGGCTACCCAGGGCTACACAGAGAAACCCTGTCTCAAAAAAAAAAAGAAAGAAAGAAAAGAAAAAGGAAGGAAGGAAGGAACAAGGAAAAAGAGAGCTCTGAGCTGCTTTACTGTAGGCTCAAGACACATTGGTCTAGAATGTTTTATGTGACTTCATTCACAAAATTTAGGCAAACAACAAGAATGGGGTGGCCTGTAGAAACCCCGACTTGCTTGGTGGTGGCTGGGTAATGGCAGATCTCTAAGATGATTTGAGGCTCTGCCTGCAAAAGCCAGGCCCGGTGATACATTCTGCACTCCTAGAGCTGAGGACCCCAGGGCTGGGTATGAGGCAGCCAGGTTGGCAAGCTCCAGGCAGTGAAAAATGCTGTCTCCAAAACCAAATGATGGCACCTGGGGAATGATACCCAACTGTGACACCTGGTCTACACACACACACACACACACACACACACACACACACACACACACACACGCGCGCGCGCGCGCGCGCGCACACACACTCACATGCACACACGCACACACACGGGAACGCTGATAAAGAGATGAGGAGAGCAATACAGAGCAAGAAGGTGGCCTCTTGTTAAAATATTATAAGGGCGCCGGGCGTTGGTGGCGCACGCCTTTAATCCCAGCACTCTTGAGGCAGAGGCAGGTGGATCTCTGTGAGTTCGAGGCCAGCCTGGTCTACAGAGCGAGTTCCAGGGCAGCCTCCAAAACAATACAGAGAAACCCTGTCTCGAAAAACCAAAAAAAAAAAAAATATATATATATATGTATACATATATATATATATATATATATATATATTACGAAGGGCTGGAGACGGCTCAGAGGTTGCGAGCACTGGCTGCTTCCACAGAGGACTCAGGTTCAGGCTCAATTCCCGGCTCCCACAGGCAGCTCACAACTGTCCGTAACTCCAGTTCCAGGGAATCTGACGGCCTCTCCTGGCCTCCAGAGTTACTACACACATAAGGTGCATAGACTTACATGCAGACAAGCACCCAATGGCATAAAATCATTAAGCAAACCTTGCTTAAAAACGACTAGGATGGCTGGCATGGTGTCACATAGGGGGCATGAGTATACACATATGTTGGGGACTGCTAGAACCTTGAACAAAATGGAGTCTGTCAACCGTTTCTTGGCCTTCCGCCTACGTGACTGTGAGCACACATGCCCTTGAGACAAAGGAAAAGGCTAACCATTAAAGTTAAATTTACACAGGGCAGCCCACCCGCCTAGCCAGAGGGAAGTACCCTTACAGAGTAATTGTCTTTGTTAACAAAAGATTAAAGTGTTCCATTGAATACT